AAGAAACATAGGTAATGTAAACATTAATTTGTATTTTTTCACATGTAAACTATCAAATTAAACCTAACCAAAAACTGCGTGTTTCTGAGAACTAGCAAATTTTAAATGATTGTGAATGACTAAATTTGGTATATGGTCAATTCGTTCAGATCAATTTACTTACTAAGAATAAAGTCGGAATTCTTTGCACTCGTTTATTGGTTCAATTGATTACATTACATGCATTTACACATGTAAAATGTCAAATTGAACCTAACCAAAAACTGAGTGTCTCTGAGAACTAGCAAATTTTAAATGATTGTGAATATCAGTGTAGGATCCGCAGTGTAGGATCCGCAGTGTAGGATCCGCAGTGTAGGATCCGCAGTGTAGGATCCGCAGTGTAGGATCCGCAGTGAAGGATCCGCAGTGTAGGATCCGCAGTGTAGGATCCGCAGTGTAGGATCCGCAGTGTAGGATCCGCAGTGAAGGATCCGCAGTGAAGGATCCGCAGTGAAGGATCCGCAGTGTAGGATCCGCAGTGTAGGATCCGCAGTGTAGGATCCGCAGTGTAGGATCCGCAGTGTAGGATCCGCAGTGTAGGATCCGCAGTGTAGGATCCGCAGTGTAGGATCCGCAGTGTAGGATCCGCAGTGTAGGATCCGCAGTGTAGGATCCGCAGTGTAGGATCCGCAGTGTAGGATCCGCAGTGTAGGATCCGCAGTGTAGGATCCGCAGTGTAGGATCCGCAGTGTAGGATCCGCAGTGTAGGATCCGCAGTGTAGGATCCGCAGTGTAGGATCCGCAGTGTAGGATCCGCAGTGTAGGATCCGCAGTGTAGGATCCGCAGTGTAGGATCCGCAGTGTAGGATCCGCAGTGTAGGATCCGCAGTGTAGGATCCGCAGTGTAGGATCCGCAGTGTAGGATCCGCAGTGTAGGATCCGCAGTGTAGGATCCGCAGTGTAGGATCCGCAGTGTAGGATCCGCAGTGTAGGATCCGCAGTGTAGGATCCGCAGTGTAGGACCCGCAGTGTAGGATCCGCAGTGTAGGATCCGCAGTGTAGGATCCGCAGTGTAGGATCCGCAGTGTAGGATCCGCAGTGTAGGATCCGCAGTGTAGGATCCGCAGTGTAGGATCCGCAGTGTAGGATCCGCAGTGTAGGATCCGCAGTGTAGGATCCGCAGTGTAGTATCCGCAGTGTAGTATCCGCAGTGTAGTATCCGCAGTGTAGTATCCGCAGTGTAGTATCCGCAGTGTAGTATCCGCAGTGTAGTATCCGCAGTGTAGTATCCGCAGTGTAGTATCCGCAGTGTAGTATCCGCAGTGTAGTATCCGCAGTGTAGTATCCGCAGTGTAGTATCCGCAGTGTAGTATCCACAGTGTAGTATCCACAGTGTAGTATCCACAGTGTAGTATCCACAGTGTAGTATCCACAGTGTAGTATCCACAGTGTAGTATCCACAGTGTAGTATCCACAGTGTAGTATCCACAGTGTAGTATCCACAGTGTAGTATCCACAGTGTAGTATCCACAGTGTAGTATCCACAGTGTAGTATCCACAGTGTAGTATCCACAGTGTAGTATCCACAGTGTAGGATCCACAGTGTAGGATCCACAGTGTAGTATCCACAGTGTAGTATCCACAGTGTAGTATCCACAGTGTAGTATCCACAGTGTAGTATCCACAGTGTAGGATCCACAGTGTAGGATCCACAGTGTAGGATCCACAGTGTAGGATCCACAGTGTAGGATCCACAGTGTAGGATCCACAGTGTAGGATCCACAGTGTAGGATCCACAGTGTAGTATCCACAGTGTAGTATCCACAGTGTAGTATCCACAGTGTAGTATCCACAGTGTAGTATCCACAGTGTAGGATCCACAGTGTAGGATCCACAGTGTAGGATCCACAGTGTAGGATCCACAGTGTAGGATCCACAGTGTAGGATCCACAGTGTAGGATCCACAGTGTAGGATCCACAGTGTAGGATCAACAGTGTAGTATCCACAGTGTAGGATCCACAGTGTAGGATCCACAGTGTAGGATCCACAGTGTAGTTTCCGCAGTGTAGTATCCGCAGTGTAGTATCCGCAGTGTAGTATCCGCAGTGTAGTATCCGCAGTGTAGTATCCGCAGTGTAGTATCCGCAGTGTAGTATCCGCAGTGTAGTATCCGCAGTGTAGTATCCGCAGTGTAGTATCCGCAGTGTAGTATCCACAGTGTAGGATTTACAGTGTAGGATCCACAGTGTAGGATCCACAGTGTAGGATCCACAGTGTAGGATTTACAGTGTAGGATTTACAGTGTAGGATCCACAGTGTAGGATCCACAGTGTAGGATCCACAGTGTAGGATCCACAGTGTAGGATCCACAGTGTAGGATCCACAGTGTAGGATCCACAGTGTAGGATCCACAGTGTAGGATCCACAGTGTAGGATCCACAGTGTAGGATCCACAGTGTAGGATCCACAGTGTAGGATCCACAGTGTAGGATCCACAGTGTAGGATCCACAGTGTAGGATCCACAGTGTAGGATCCACAGTGTAGGATCCACAGTGTAGGATCCACAGTGTAGGATCCACAGTGTAGGATCCACAGTGTAGGATCCACAGTGTAGGATCCACAGTGTAGGATCCACAGTGTAGGATCCACAGTGTAGGATCCACAGTGTAGGATCCACAGTGTAGGATCCACAGTGTAGGATCCACAGTGTAGGATCCGCAGTGTAGTATCCGCAGTGTAGTATCCACAGTGTAGTATCCACAGTGTAGTATCCACAGTGTAGTATCCACAGTGTAGTATCCACAGTGTAGTATCCACAGTGTAGTATCCACAGTGTAGTATCCACAGTGTAGGATCCACAGTGTAGGATCCACAGTGTAGGATCCACAGTGTAGGATCCACAGTGTAGGATCCACAGTGTAGGATCCACAGTGTAGGATCCACAGTGTAGGATCCACAGTGTAGGATCCACAGTGTAGGATCCACAGTGTAGGATCCACAGTGTAGGATCCACAGTGTAGGATCCACAGTGTAGGATCCACAGTGTAGTATCCACAGTGTAGTATCCACAGTGTAGTATCCACAGTGTAGTATCCACAGTGTAGTATCCACAGTGTAGTATCCACAGTGTAGTATCCACAGTGTAGTATCCACAGTGTAGTATCCACAGTGTAGTATCCACAGTGTAGTATCCACAGTGTAGTATCCACAGTGTAGTATCCACAGTGTAGTATCCACAGTGTAGTATCCACAGTGTAGGATCCACAGTGTAGGATCCACAGTGTAGGATCCACAGTGTAGGATCCACAGTGTAGGATCCACAGTGTAGTATCCACAGTGTAGTATCCACAGTGTAGTATCCACAGTGTAGGATCCACAGTGTAGGATCCACAGTGTAGGATCCACAGTGTAGGATCCACAGTGTAGGATCCACAGTGTAGGATCCACAGTGTAGGATCCACAGTGTAGGATCCACAGTGTAGGATCCACAGTGTAGGATCCACAGTGTAGGATCCACAGTGTAGGATCCACAGTGTAGGATCCACAGTGTAGGATCCACAGTGTAGGATCCACAGTGTAGGATCCACAGTGTAGGATCCACAGTGTAGGATCCACAGTGTAGGATCCACAGTGTAGGATCCACAGTGTAGGATCCACAGTGTAGGATCCACAGTGTAGGATCCACAGTGTAGGATCCACAGTGTAGGATCCACAGTGTAGGATCCACAGTGTAGGATCCACAGTGTAGGATCCACAGTGTAGGATCCACAGTGTAGGATCCACAGTGTAGGATCCACAGTGTAGGATCCACAGTGTAGGATCCACAGTGTAGGATCCACAGTGTAGGATCCACAGTGTAGGATCCACAGTGTAGGATCCACAGTGTAGGATCCACAGTGTAGGATCCACAGTGTAGGATCCACAGTGTAGGATCCACAGTGTAGGATCCACAGTGTAGGATCCACAGTGTAGGATCCACAGTGTAGGATCCACAGTGTAGGATCCACAGTGTAGGATCCACAGTGTAGGATCCACAGTGTAGGATCCACAGTGTAGGATCCACAGTGTAGGATCCACAGTGTAGGATCCACAGTGTAGGATCCACAGTGTAGGATCCACAGTGTAGTATCCGCAGTGTAGTATCCGCAGTGTAGTATCCGCAGTGTAGTATCCGCAGTGTAGTATCCGCAGTGTAGTATCCGCAGTGTAGTATCCGCAGTGTAGTATCCGCAGTGTAGTATCCGCAGTGTAGTATCCGCAGTGTAGTATCCGCAGTGTAGTATCCGCAGTGTAGTATCCGCAGTGTAGTATCCGCAGTGTAGTATCCGCAGTGTAGTATCCGCAGTGTAGTATCCGCAGTGTAGTATCCGCAGTGTAGTATCCGCAGTGTAGTATCCGCAGTGTAGTATCCGCAGTGTAGTATCCGCAGTGTAGTATCCGCAGTGTAGTATCCACAGTGTAGTATCCGCAGTGTAGTATCCACAGTGTAGTATCCACAGTGTAGTATCCACAGTGTAGTATCCACAGTGTAGTATCCACAGTGTAGTATCCACAGTGTAGTATCCACAGTGTAGTATCCACAGTGTAGTATCCACAGTGTAGTATCCACAGTGTAGTATCCACAGTGTAGTATCCACAGTGTAGTATCCACAGTGTAGTATCCACAGTGTAGTATCCACAGTGTAGTATCCACAGTGTAGTATCCACAGTGTAGTATCCACAGTGTAGTATCCACAGTGTAGTATCCACAGTGTAGTATCCACAGTGTAGTATCCACAGTGTAGTATCCACAGTGTAGTATCCACAGTGTAGTATCCACAGTGTAGTATCCACAGTGTAGTATCCACAGTGTAGTATCTATTGCATTTCAATGAGACATAATTTTTCTATATGCTCACCAAATTTTATTAAATTTCATTTACAAGCAACAGAGTAATTCCAAATTTAGTGGAAAGGTAACAAAATATTCAGTTGTTAATAAATAATTAAAAACTTAATTTTTTTAAAAACGCATTTTAGGAATGTTTTTAATTCGGCTTCCTGCAATAGATTATGAAAAAAAATGTTTTAAATTTGAAAATTCAGTTTTAAGTGGCCGAGTTGGGAAATTTTCACCCATTACTTATTTCATATGCCTTGATTTCTATATTCAGTTTTTATTATAAAGCATTGTGATCTTTATTATCGTAAAACTAACAGAAACTGTTGTAACATAATTAAATAGGAATAAATTGTTTTACAGATCAAAAGAAATTCCTTCGTATAAAACGAGTGGTGGCCCTGAAAAGGGCCGTTTGTTTACAATCATGCTTTGAAAATGTGACAAGAATAACATTTTCACCATCTTACTTCCTGGCAACCTTCTTTGCCGCGGGCTTTTTTGCTTTTGGTGCAGCAGCTTTCTTTGGGGAAGCTTTTGCCTTTTTTGGAGCAGCTTTAGTGGTTTTAGGTTTGGCAGCGGTGGATTTTGCCTTTGGTGGTTTTGCCGCAACTTTCGGGGTCTTCTTTTTTTCGGCAACAGCTTTCTTGGTCTTGGCTGCCACAGCCTTTTTCGGAGAAGCTGCTTTCTTAGCCTTAGGAGCAGCAGCTTTGGGTTTAGCAGCAGGAGTCTTAGCCTTGGGCTTAGTTTTACCTTCAGCCTTGGTGACGTTCAATTTGAAGGATCCTGCAGCTCCTTTTCCTTTAGTTTGGATCAAGGCCTTATTGGCAACTGCAGCTTTCAAATACTTTCTGATGAAAGGGGCTTGCTTCTCGACATCGACTTTGTAGGTGGCAGCGATGTATTTCTTGATGGCTTGGAGGGAAGAGCCACCTCTTTCCTTCAAAGATGCGATGGCTGCATTAACCATCTCTGATGCTGGTGGATGACTGGCTTTAGCACGGGGCTTTTTTGCCTTCGCAGCTGCAGCCTTTTTAGGAGTTGCAACTGCAGGCGCTGCTGGTGATTCTACTTTATCGGTCATTTTGATAATGAAACAATTCGAAAAAAAGTTTAATAACTCTTGAGATACTCTCAACGCAACTGGTGAAAGAGAAATGAAAATTTTCCCTGACGATCCGTGACTTAGGGGATTGCACGGACGGTGAAGAAAGACCCTTACGCTCGTGCGCCGCTTGCCATTCGAATTCTCGATAACTTGGGAACGTCATTCAAAAAATTTGTTAACTTTTAAGTGTTAACGCTTTAATAAATCGTTCTAAATATCTTTAATTTCAATTTTACGAATATTTTACTTTTTGACTAATAAAAAATAATTTTTATTTTTACATCATTCTTGGGTAGAATTAAACATTTTTCGAAGCTCTGCTTACATTGATCGAGCGTACCAAGTTTCAAAAATTGTTAAAAATATGTTAACAAATTCCATTGTCAAAAATTTGAGTTTGCAAATTAATTCTGTATTTGTTCCCCTTTATGAATATTTAATTTGTTTATATTTTAACAATATATTGAAGGTGTTACGAGTAGTTTAATTTCAGTATCAGTTCAAATTTTTGATATGGTGAGCGTAAACGTGTAGAATGATTGTCTTGATCAATAATGAAAAAAATTTTAACATTTTTTTAGCATTGTTACATGTATAAATTTTAAACTTAATTTATCGTTTGAGGAATTTTTATTTTTAACTATGGACTTGCAAAATAAAGGAAAATTTTTACATGCTCCAATAAAGAGTTTATGTACATACATATATGTAAATATGAACTGAACAGTTAAAAGGGACCTTACTTACGAAAAAATCAATTTTTTATTGATTTGTGTCCAGATCACATATATTTATTACTTTCAGTACATATACTAATCTATAATTAATATTAAAATGTCATTTTTTTAATGTTTGAAAAAAAGGTAACAAATGAATTATTTACGGAAAATCTCCTTTCACTTGTAAAAAGCTTGTATAATATTAAAAAGAAATTAATGAAAATTTGTTTCTAAATAAACATAAAGGACTACCTGCTTTGGAGATTAAAAAATTTATTGCACAGCCGTAGCAGATTCCGTTCACAACTGCGCATCGTGTTAAGTTTTGCAAACTTGCAGCAAGCTTATGCCAAGTTTGCCCTGCAAGCTTGCCATATGAGGCCTATTTGTTACTTGCACCAAACATGCTATATGTTAGAACTGCAATCTTGCACGGCAAGCTTTCTGTAAGTCTGTTGCAACAATTGTGCTGACTGGAATTAATGTGCAAAATAATTCGTTTGTATATCTATTTAATTTTTTATTACGCTAGCGTTTTTATTAATCTCAATTTTTCATCAACGATTGAAGCATTAATAGTTTAAAATTTTAGCAAATTGAAACTTTAGTCAATTAAAATTTAGATGAATTGAAATTTAATTAATTTTTAAAAATTAAATTAAATCCACTCAGTACGTGACATCATTTGTGGCCGGTGCCTAAGTTATAAATTTTAAAAAATTCCAGATCTTTATTATCAATTTAAAATTTTGTAAAAATTAGGAAAAATATTTTAGTTTACAAGAATTTATGCATAAAATTTGTTTTATAAAAATAAATAAAATATTTTTAACCCTTAAAGTGCATCGTTGAAAATTCGATCATTCAGCGCATCGCGGGTGCCTGACACCCAAGTGACTTTGAAGGTTGCTTACTCAGCCGCTATTGAATATTTTGTTACAAAAATTTTATCCTACATGGTTTAACATATCTATTTTAGTATGCAAGTAGCACTTTAATCATTTATTCATTTTAATTATATGAGATGATATCCGATTTTTTCGAATTAAGTAATGTTTTCGAGAGTCCCAAAATTGGGCTGGGTGTCAAACACCCCCCATGCACTTTAAAGGTTAAACTAAACTAGATGTTTTTTGGGTTGTTGATTATCAATTTGTGGTTGAAATGAATAATTTGAAAGTTATAAAGATTGTGAATGGTACATCTGTTTGCTTTTATTTAATTATCTGATTCCGCCACTGAGAATCTTTTCTTTAGGTTAACTTAAGATTTGACAAAGTAAAGAATAATTTAAAGTCTATTTTATGATTGAATATGTAATGAAGAGTTACTAACCAAGTTTGTTGCGAATATATACTAGTATTCACGAATAACTGACCTTCCGTTGAATAAGCCCTATAAATCTGAAATCAATTTGTTATGTGGTTTTGAAAAAAATTGTTACCAAAAATCATTACATAACGATTTCTTTATTTCTTATTTTTAAGATCAATCAATGGAGCAGTTAGAAACAAAATAATTTCAACGTAAAAAAATGTGTTGGCCCTGAAAAGGGCCGATTGTGTTTGGAAGGTGTTGGAAAAAAATTAAGCACGTTCTCCTCGGATACGACGAGCCAATTGGATGTCTTTTGGCATGATGGTGACTCTCTTGGCGTGGATGGCGCACAAGTTGGTGTCTTCGAAGAGACCGACGAGGTAAGCCTCGCTAGCCTCCTGGAGAGCCATCACAGCAGAGCTCTGGAAACGCAAGTCGGTCTTGAAATCTTGAGCGATTTCACGAACCAAACGTTGGAAAGGAAGCTTGCGGATGAGGAGCTCAGTGCTCTTCTGGTAACGACGGATCTCACGGAGAGCGACAGTTCCTGGCCTGTAACGATGGGGTTTTTTCACTCCACCAGTTGCAGGCGCGCTCTTTCTGGCGGCTTTGGTGGCGAGTTGTTTCCTTGGTGCCTTACCACCAGTGGATTTACGAGCGGTTTGCTTGGTACGAGCCATGACGATGCTGTAAGTTCGGAGACTAACAAAACAATGAAATTTTGCGGGAAAAATGCTGTATTTATGGACTTTCGACCCTTCTGTTCAATAAGCAGCTAAAGGGAGGGGAAACTAACAACACGATTGGTAGATTAAAATTGTGGTGGGAGAAGTGTGCCACACGATGTTATAAAATAATGCTCACTTCCCTCGAAAAGCATTCTCAGTTTGTTCTTCGTTCGAGTTTGACGTACGAACTTTATTATCTGCAAAAATGACTGGTCGCGGAAAGGGAGGTAAAGGTTTGGGAAAAGGAGGAGCAAAGCGGCATCGCAAAGTTTTGCGTGATAACATCCAAGGTATCACCAAGCCAGCCATCCGTCGTTTGGCTCGTCGTGGTGGAGTGAAACGTATCTCCGGATTGATCTACGAGGAAACTCGTGGTGTTCTCAAAGTGTTCCTTGAGAACGTGATCCGTGACGCCGTCACTTACACCGAGCACGCCAAGAGGAAGACTGTCACCGCCATGGACGTCGTCTATGCTTTGAAACGTCAAGGCCGCACCCTTTACGGTTTCGGCGGTTAAATATACACGTCATCATCATCATCATTTGCATACAATCGGCCCTTTTCAGGGCCACCAAATTTTCTAACTTTGGAATTCTTTTTTTTAAAACATGTTTTCAAAACAAAAAAATATAGTTTGATGTTGATAATTGATTTTATTAGTAAAAATTTCATTGTTTATGAAGACATTGATATTTCGAACACGTAAAAGTTTTTAGTTTAGCTAGCTCTAAGCTACTTGTCACTGCTCTAGTAAAAATTTAGTAACTTTTAATTTTTACAATAAAATAACTAAATTTTCACTAGAGCAGGGTGCGGTAATTGAAGAGAATTGTGACAAATGGCTAGTGGAGAAAATTGGGTTTGGCTAAACTTCAATACGTCATCTAGAGTTTACTTACTTCGGAAACCATTTTTCTTTTTCGTTTTTTTTTTATTAACACGATAAAAAAGAGAGACAAAAACCAAAATTTCTGACGAAGTAGATAAAACATAAAAGTCACTAGGCCACCAATCCCAATGGAAACCAACCCAGCAGAATAGATTTTATTTTAACTAATCAAAATTGAGTCTTACGGTAAGGTAATTTTTGCTGTAAGAGACTCCATTTTAATTGGTTCTTCTCTTCTTCTTCTCTTTTAGTGGCCGGTTGAAATTATATTTTTGATTGGTTAAACTCTCTTCTACTAATCTGCTCCATGTGACAGCCATAACAAGCGATTATATTCTTGCTCGAATTTCATTTCGATATGTCGAACTTACGAGATATTGCGCTAAACTTAAATAATAAATTTAATATAATCTTTTATTTCTTCTAAATGGAAATATTCAGCTACTCGTAAAATGCAAGATTCATGTATAAAATAAATCCTTCACGGTTTAATTCTCAAATTCTCGTTTGAGTATCTCATGGAGAATTTGATAAAAAAAATTGTTTACTTTTATTTTCTGGAATGCAAAAATCTAATTGGTTGTCCATTATCAGATTGTGAACAATCAATCAGGTTTGTGTATTGCGGAAAATTCAAAATAAAAATTTTGCATTTAAGGCGGTTTTTTTAAAATATAATGGTGGTAAAAATAAATAAATACTGACTTAAAGATGTTAAAGAAAAAATTAATTCATTCGTAAAAAAATTTGTTGGCCCTGAAAAGGGCCGTTTGTATTCGGAGAGATGAAGATTTAGATTTACTTGGAGCTGGTGTACTTGGTGACAGCCTTGGTGCCTTCAGAGACGGCGTGTTTGGCAAGTTCACCAGGAAGGAGAAGCCTGACAGCGGTTTGGATTTCCCGGGAGGTGATGGTGGACCTCTTGTTGTAGTGGGCCAAGCGGGAAGATTCGGCAGCGATACGTTCAAAGATGTCGTTGACGAAGCTGTTCATGATGCTCATGGCCTTGCTGGAGACTCCAGTGTCGGGATGGACTTGTTTCAACACTTTGTAGATGTAGATGGCATAGCTTTCCTTCCTCTTGCGCTTCTTTTTCTTATCAGTCTTGGTGATATTTTTTTGAGCCTTGCCGGCTTTTTTAACAGCTTTTCCACTTGCTTTAGGAGGCATTTTGGATATTCAGAGATAAACACGTGTAAACTCAATGAGAATACGGAGTGAATTGATACTCCGACCACAAACCGGGTTTCTTTTATGTTCTGTCGCAGTGGCTATGCTACATTGTGATTGGTTCGTGCACTCGCTGTAAATGCCCACCTGTCACAGTATTGTGGTAGAAGAATAGTGGTGGGGGACCCTAATGGAAGTGCATAAATAGTCGATTTTACTGAAATTTTTGTATTAGTCATCCAACCTTTGAGTTGTTCGTTTCGTTGCTACTAAACTAAATCGAAAAAATGTCCGGACGTGGAAAAGGAGGCAAAGTCAAGGGAAAGTCAAAGACTCGTTCCAACAGAGCTGGACTTCAATTCCCAGTTGGTCGTATCCATCGTCTCTTGCGCAAGGGAAACTACGCTGAGCGAGTTGGTGCTGGAGCTCCAGTCTACCTCGCAGCAGTAATGGAATACTTGGCTGCTGAAGTTTTGGAATTGGCAGGAAATGCCGCTCGCGACAACAAGAAGACCAGAATCATCCCCCGTCATCTCCAACTTGCCATCAGGAATGACGAGGAATTGAACAAACTTCTTTCTGGTGTCACCATCGCCCAGGGTGGTGTTCTTCCCAACATCCAGGCTGTGCTTTTGCCCAAAAAGACCGAAAAGAAAGCTTAAATTTCTACCAACATCCTCTAAAACAATCGGCCCTTTTCAGGGCCATCAAATATTTTTTACGTTTGAAACTTACGTTCTTTATTTTTCTATTTATTGGGTACATATTTCATTTACATTAACGAATTTGAATTTCGGCATTCTACTTTTCAAATTTCACTTATCACTTTCTTAATTTCGCATTCTACTTTTAACTTTCAGCAATCCACATTCTAGATTTTACTCTTATTTTTTACTTAAATTCCGTTTTTACATTTTCCAAATCATGAATTTTACTTTTCACTTTCCTTATTCCACATTTCATTTTTGTCGATGCAGATTTCCGTTTTTATTTTTTGATATATTTAATTTTAAAACATTGTTACGTCAAACTTTTTTAACAAAAGGTAATAATTGATATTTCGAAACAATTTTAGTTTTTATTATTTTTAGGGAGAATTTTTTTTTTTTACTGTAGAATAAGAAAAAAATTAGTCCTACGTAATTATCCGGAATAATTATGTAATTGAACTTCTGTTTATTGAAGAAACACAAATTACAGTAGAAAATTGAATTTTTTAAAGAAACACAAATAATCAATTCTTTAACATAATAACATTATCTAATTTTTATTTTAGTTTACATCGTTTTAAAAAATTGAAAAAGAAATCTAATATTCATTAATTAAAAAATCTGTATAAGGGAAAAATTTTAAAACAAAAATCTAAATTTGAGTTTAGAAATTCCAATAAACTATGGTTATCATTATTTTAGAGTAAATAATTTTAAAAATAAGCATAAACTAAATGAAATATTTTGGTTGGAATGTTTAAAAAAAAATTGAAAAATGGATATTTTACAAAATCACATTTATTGTGCTTCTGTAATTATGTACATTACGAATGGTCGATATTTAATCGGATTAATTTCTCGTTCCTCTCGGCTTTCGTTTTACACTGTATGTAATTTATAAGTGTAATAATAAAAGCGCAGTTAAAACCGTGCCTTTTCTGTACAGAGATCTTAATTTAAGAATTCACTAATATTTCATTTATTATATTTCATATCAGCTATTTATCATGATAATCCACCTTCTTTTGTGTATAATATTGCATATAAATAGCAAACTAATAATTATTCTATCATCCACAAGGCAAGGAATATTTGGAATAATTGCGATACTATTTTCATTTTTTTTTTTTTTTGTTTTCTTTTTTTTTTTTTTTTATATCAACAACGAAAATTTCTTTACTTTTATTCCAAATTATTATAGTAACTCTTAACTGCTATTTGGCAGTTCAATTATTATTTGTAAGCGATCGATTTTACGTTATACAATATACGAATCGCATAATTTTTTGTACAATTATTGCAAGAGTATTTATATAAAATACTCTTTTTCAGTTTGTCCTTTTTCATTGATAAAAATGAAAAGACTGCCTTACAAAATGTGTTCTTGACAATCTTTCATTATTTATTATATACTTAGTTTTGTTATTTTAAAAAAGCCATTACCATCTACGTAACAATTATACAATATATGTGAAGTTGGCAATGTTCTTTTTTTTTTCTCTTATAAACATGGAATTGATAAATGCCACTTTTAAATAGAAATGCAGGTACAAATATAAGAAACAAGATGAAAAGTGTAAATTGACATTAAAATTACTTATTGATATTTAGAAATTGTTACTAGTATTTTTTTTTTTTTTTTGTAAATACAAATTTTCATTAAATTAATAATCAAAAATTTGAAACATTAGTGAAAATTGTTTGTATCTTGAATTCACATTATATATATATTTCATTTTCAAGTTATATATTATTAAGTCTTCGTCTAAGAAAAATGTTCTATTTTATTCATTATTTCTCCTAATATAGAAAACTACTGATAAAAAGTGTAAAGAGGGGTTATTCTCCATATTTTATAATTCTTTAAAAATACACTCTTTCACTATTAGAAATGTCAAAAATTAAGAAAAATCAATTCCTGCTAATTTCCCTTTCCCCCTTAACATGAATTTCTTTTTTTAATTATAAAAATTTAGTACCTTTTTTTAAATTATTAATTGAAACTTTTATTTGGACAAAACTTTTCATTCAGGGAAAAAAGTTAAGCCGCAGTCGTAAAATGATGATCTTTGGATGAAAATAACATTAAATATCATTTATAATTTAATTTGCAGTAAATAGTAACTATATATCTATATATATGAAATGGAATATATTACACATTACCTTTTTGTTATTATTTTCTTTGTTTTTTTTTTTTTAACATCATTATTTATTATTCTTTATGAAAGTTGTCGCGTCACGAATGAACTAATTTCTAATGTTGTAATGTAACATCATTTCCACGCTTGTTTCTGAGCTTTTTGTGAAGACAATTTTTTTGTGACATAAGATGAAATTACTAATCCCGCGAGAACAATGACAATTAAATAATAATCGAAATCTTCTTTAAGAACGTCAAATGTTTTTGACGGCGCTACTCTAGTGTAGAATAAATCTGAAAAACAAAAGAATTGTGTTTTATTCTTTAAAAAAAAAAGAAAAAAGGTTTTCTTAAAAAACAATTTATGTAATTTATTTTTTAAAAAAATAGAAATATAATTTTAATCGTAATAAAATGGAAAATTAATTTTAAAAAATACAAGAAAATAAATAGATTGTTTAATAAATTAAGATTTTCTTTTTAGGACACCCCCCCTCAATTATGTTCTAGTGAAAAGAGTGAAATATAGTAGAAAAATTCGTTTTTCTAACTTCAAAATTATTAGAATTAAAATTCAGTAAATTTGATAAATAAAATTTTGTCATGAAAAATTTGTTAATGTTAGGGAAATTGAAAAAATTCAATTCTTATAAAGAAATTTGAAGTTAAAATAAAAAAATATTACATACCAAGACCATGTACAAAGACTAGACAAGTACTTTCAAGGCCACTGGGACTAGTATGAATTCCCGATACTCCAAAGACACTTTGATTATAATTTATAACAGAGTCCATGTGAATTGGAATCTCTGGCATATAAGGTATCACTCCTTCTTCTCGTATTTCTGGATTTATTGGTCTTCTTGGATCAACCAGCATCCATGGCAATTCTAAAACGCCTCCATTTGCCAAGGCCACTTGAACAAATAAAAAAAAAAAACACATTTTATTGAAAATTTAAATAAATTTTCACACATAAATGTTATTTAATTAAAACAATAATTCTAAATAATAATTATTATTTCTATCACTTTAATTTTATATTTAAGAGGGTATTATTATTATTATCGTTAATAATTATTGTGAAAAATTTGTTAAAAATATTTTGTTTAAAATTAATTTTCTTACCTATAATATGTTTACTAGTTATTCCTTTCTCGGTAATTGTTTCTTTCATCGATTCAATTGCCCCTGGAAATATAAAAGCTTGTCTCTCGACAATTGGTAATTTTGTTGTTGACAAAGAGGAAAACACTGAAACAGAAAAGAAATTACAGTAACAATTGTGTGTTTTTTTTTTAATTTTCACTAAAAGGAAAAAAAAAGAAATTTAGCAAAATGTATTTTTAAAAAATTCTTCTTTCATTTCTAACTAAAAACTAAAATCATTTAAAAGAAATGCCAATTTCAGTTACCAGTCGAATTATTTTGTGTCTTTCCCTCGTAGAGTTCCAAGGATGCAATTTCTGTTCTTCGACTTCTATCATTGAAATAACTATAAACTAACCAATTTTCAGAATGTACCACGTGCACTGGACCACGAACCTTTTTATGTACCATCGAGAAAATCATTGATCCAGATACAATGTCCAATAGATAAACATTCAATGTATCTGTGAGAATTTTTTTTCTTATTAATTATTTTCAAATGTTAAATAAAAAAATAATCTAAATACATTATCAATAAATTGATAAAATTTAAAAAAAAAATTAATGTGAAGTAAATATAAAATTTATGGAATGAAACAAAAAATAAATATAATATCAATAGAGAGAGAGAAACAATTACTTTTATGAGTTGCGCTGACTCCTTGAGTAACAATAGCAACGAGATTTGGATTAATATATTTATAAAGTACCGAACGATCATTTAACACACGTCCTTGTGAATGTACATGCTCAAGTGGATTTTTCGATACAATTTCAATAATCTTTTGATTCTTTGGCGAGAGCACCAACTCCCAAACTTTATCAGCGACTAGATTCTAAAAAAAGAAAATAATATCCTCATTTATTATATGTATCAACCGACAAACAACAAAATTTATCTTTTCTTTAGATTTTTAATTAAAACAATAAAACTTTGAGTAAAATAGGCAAAATTAAAAAAAAAAAATCCTAATTATCTGAAATTTGTTAGAAAAATCTTCCAATTTTTACGAAAAATGAAAAAAATTGTCAAAATATTTTTTTCATCTATTTTATTTTATGATATTTGAATTTCTTGCAAAAAATTTCTTTGAAAATAATTTTGTTAAATTTTTTAAAATAATTTCTTAAATACAGGCCTAGGATCGACTTTAAGACACAAAAAAAGTAGTTTTAGTTGATTTATATTTTAAAAAAAGTCGAAAAAAACTAGTTTTTTTATTTTAACAAAATTTAATTGATTAATGAATATTTTACTTTAAATAACTAATGTTATTAGATATTAAATTCATTTTATTAATTCTGTAATAAGAATAATTCTATAAAAAGATTATCAAGAATTTTTTTTTTTTTAATATGTCAGAATCGAATTAATTGTAAGACAAATTTTCACAAATTATATTTAAGTACGACAAATTTCGAAAAAAAATTATTAAATTTCCATTTATATAATTTTTGAAAGTCTGATTTAAGCAATTTATTCGAATTTAAAATTTTGTTAGTTTTTAATTTTGATGGTTAAAAAAAATTTAAGTCAATTACTTAATTAAATTTTATAGATTTTTAAATATTTTTTTTTTTTTAAACTAATAATCATTTTGGAAGAGTTAAAGTTGAAATTTTTAGAAATAGTTGAATTTCAAAAGATTTTGTTAATTTTTAGACAATAATTAAATTTTACAGAATCAAAAATAATAATTTATCAAATAATTTTAGATAAAATTTTTTAAAAGTAATTGAATTTTCAAAAATTTTTAATTTAAATTTTTGAAATTAATTAAACTTCAAGTGATTTTTAATTAAAATTTTTTGATGATTTCTGTTACCTAAAAAATTTATTAGAAATTACAGACAAAAATACAATAATTTGAAAACTTTTTAAGTGAAAAAATGGTTTCAGATAATTGAATTTTCGAAGAATATTATAAAAATAATTAAAAATAATTGAATTTTAGTAGAATTATATAATTAAAATTATTAAATTTCAAAAAATTTTAGATGGAAAATTTTAGAAATAATTAAATTTTAGAAGTATTTAAATATTAAATTTTGAAAATAATTGAATTTCAAAAGATTATGTTAAATTTTAGACAATAATTATACCAAAGAAAATTTTTAGTGATTTCTGTTGATGAAGAATTTATAAGAAATCACATAAAAAAAAATTGAATTCCAAAAGTTTTTAATTGAAAAATGTTTCTAGATAATTGAATATTCGAAGAATATTATAAAAATCATTAAAAATAATTGAAATTTTTGCAAATTATTAAATTTCAAGTGATTTTGAATTAAAATTTTTTAGTAATTTTATTTGATAATTTTTTAAAAATTATAAACAATTATTAAATTTCATAAAAATTTTAATTGAAAAATAGTTTAAGATAATATTGAATTTGTGAAAAATTTCATTAAAATAATAAAAAAATAATTAATTTAGTGAAGGATTTTCAGTTAAAAATTTATTAAATAATTGAAATAAAGAAGATCTGAAGAAGATCTGAATTGTATACTAAAAAAAGACGTATTTTGTTTAAAAATTTTGTAAAAAAAAATGTAAAAAAAAAGTCGAAAAAATCGCATTTTATTAAAACAAGTCGAAAAAAGTCGTATAATCCGAGGCCTGTAAAATACATTGAAAATATGTGTGTACCCTCATGATGACAAAAAAAAAAAAAACTCAATTAGAGAATTTTTAATTAGAAAAAACTAACCTTTTCATGACTATAAGATAAGGAAAATCCATTGAGTACACCAGTAGTTTGATCGGCAGTAAATAGATACATGCTTTTTCCCACTGAAACTGCAAATGGTGTGGCTTCTTCTGGAATAATGTGAATTTGATTTTTTTCATCAAGAATCAAAATACTACGTAGAAATTCATCTGTGGCTGCATGTAAAAGCATTGATTGTTTTATTTTATAATCCAACTTTATTAATTTTCCTATTGATTGGCCAGTAATTGGATTAAATGTAAATACAACACCGTTTCCATTTTCCTGTTAAATAACAAACGGGATTTATTATTTTACTTTTCCAAGGTATAACATTAATAAATTTAAAAAATTGTAAATGAATTTGAAGTTATGAACTAAAAAAATCATAAAATAGTAAGTATTAACTAATTGAAAATATTAAAATAAATTTTTATCGTTTGTAAATAAATTAATCTAAAAAAATAAATTTTTTATTATTTAAAAAAAAAAAATATTTTTCTTTAACAACAAACCTTATTGGCTGCAACTAAAGCGCATTGAGGAGGATGAGGAAAATGTCTACTGCCTCTTTGCAAATATAAAATCATTTTATTTGAATTTTTTGACAATCCTTGAATATTAGATACTCTCGATTGCCAAATTATCTCTCCTTTTCTCGTCTCGATACCAAAAATCTAAACATACATTTAAATAGATGAATTATTACATAATTTTTATTTTATTTTATAAAACGTTGGTGAAGTTCGAAACGTTTATAATCAACAATTGAAAAAAAAATACATTTTCCACACAAAAAAATAATAATTAAATTTTTGTCTACAAAATTTTTTTTTTAAATCAAAAATAATAATATAATTTGCATAAAAAAATATTTTCTCTTCTCAATCGTTGATCATAAACGTTGTGAAATTCACCAATATTTTATAAAAATTACATTATGTTAAATAAAAAAAATAAATTTTTTCTTTTCTTACCTTTCCACTGGAAGTAACGGCAACGATCATTTTGTGCAAACCAAATTTATCGCGAACTAAATCGGCTCTTTGATTTGATTGTTGTGGTTCAATTCCCAAAAGTGATTGAATCAATGATTTTGCCTGATAAACTTGAGAACCAATCCTTCTTATAATCATATCGATGATGTTCCCTTTATTTTTGCATAAAAATTAATTAAAGTCAATTAATTTCTTGATAATAAAGAAAAAAAAATTGACAATATAAAAGCAGTCAAATTGAGTTGATATTTATATAATATAATTTGAAATAATAATTTCTTTCGCAAAATAATAATAATCGGCACAAATCAAACTTTTTTTTAACGATGGCATATAGTATATGATTTCTAATTTTCATGCCACTAATAGAGTACAAGATACTATTTTCTTTTTTTCATTTTGTACATAACTCAAAGTGAGAAATTATTTCAATCTCACATTTTTTTCAAAAAAAAAATAAAAAAAAAAAAAATTACTAATATCAAAAACATGAAATTTTGAGAGAAAACAATTTCTTAATATTGTAAATAATTAATTTCTAAACAAACATGATTCATGCAATTTGTTTTTTTGTCTTATTTATGATTTGTCAAATATTTAAACGAAAAAAATCAAAAATAAATTACCATGCATTAAGCAAAATTTCTTTCTACAATCACAATAAGTAAATACTAAATAAATATTATTAATAAAATTAATGAATAATTATTTTTAAATTAATAAATTAGTTAATAAAAATAAATAAATAAAAATTAAATAGATGAATAACTAATAAAGTTAAAAAAACGAGTAAAATTTATATCAGTAACAAATTATAATAGCAATTGACAAATAAAATAATTCAATACTTTTTTCTTCAAATAAAATAAATCACATGAATAATATTTAAATATTGCAAAATACGTTTAAAAAAAATCAATTTTTCATTGAATTAGAATATATGATGAGCATTTTTCTACAAGTAAGTATAAGCAGATTTTCATCCTAGAGAAAAGCGATAATCTACAGGGGAAACTTGAAATCTCCTCAATTTTTGTTTAATATATTTTTTTTTATTTTTATTTAATTAATAAATTTTATTATTTATTAATCATTTAATTCAACAAACAAACTAATTATAAAAATTTCTATTACATTCTTCACTAAAAAAAAAAAAAAAAAATTAAATAAAAATTTTTTAACTATCATTATTTATTGATAAAAAAATTTTAAACAAAACTAACATTGTAAATAAACCAAGCATTTAAAACATAAAATTGAATATAAACAATTTTTTGGAGTCAAAAAAGACTTAATTTTCAATAAAATGATACTTTTAGAAATGAATTTGTATCATATATTTGAAGAACGAAATAAAAAGAATTATATTAAAATTTTTATTATTGCGAAATATAATTATCTGATCCTAATGCAAAAAAATCGATAATGATATATTAAGAAAGTATTTAAAATTTTTTTTTTGAATAAAATATGTTAAACAATAAAAATGAAGATAATTCAAGCACCTTGTCAATATTGACAAATCGAAAATATTGATTAAAACGAAATTCAAACCATGCTGCTGATAAAGCATTTCAATAATTCGAATGTGAAAATTTAATTTTCAAACTAGCCTGTTTTGTTTTTTGTCTTTACTTACATGAACCGTCTACATCAATACCTGTCAGCAGCCATTCACAGAAGAAAATTTATTAATAAGTTACCAAAATTTGTTAATATAATTTTGAAAATATTAGGTCCATCGGCTAGTTAATTAATTTTCATAATAAATAAATATTAAAGATTATATAAAAAGAGCATGAAATATTGCAATATTATATATGTACATTAAATATGATAATTTTAGTTGTAAATTATGTTTCACACACGTTCCAAAAGCTCATGAAACGATAAAGATGATTAAACCTCAAAATTTTAATTTTCCCAATATTCTATTTCTAAATTATTTTTGCTTGCTCAATTCATAATTTTTATTTGAAAAAAAAAAAACTAATTTTCTCTTCTTTTCAATATTTTTTTTATATTTTTAATAACTCACTTTTAATTATTTCTTTCTTTTCTAAAATTCTTAAAAAGAGATTACAGGATTTCCACAAATTTTTTTTGATTTCAAAATTCCATGATTTCCAAATCTTACTTAATATAATTTTCATGATAAAAGAATAATAATTTTGTAAAATATGACAAATTAATCGAAAAAAATTCAATTAATTGAAAATCTTATTAAATTAACAGTTAATTTGGTTATATAAAAATTTGTTCAAAAAAAAAAAATTCATCGACTAACAATTTTGTTGGAAATTGAAAACTAATTAAAATCCAATTCGATTTAATTAAAATTCAGTTAAATAACAATTTAATTACATAAAGTAATAAAAATTCGTTTATATGTGAATTTTGTTAAATTAAAATTTCACAAATTCAATAATAATAATTGGAAAAAAATAAATATTCATTACATTCAAAAATTAAGTACATCAATGAATAAAATAAAAAATCGACAAATTTATTTTATTTAAAAATTAATATGAAATCTTTTTCTTTTAATTTGGAAATTAAACATTGGGAGAAATGAAAATTTTGAGAACTATATGAGTTTCGTTGAATTTGTCGTTTAACGTAAAAAAAAAAGAAATAAAGAAAATTAATATTTTGTGTACTCACTTTCTTTTTGATCGAATTCCGTTTCTATCGCTTGATCTCTGTCTGACATTGGTAGTTCAACAATTTCCGTGGTAACAATTGTACTTAAAGCCTCTTCTCTCACCCAAACCAATTTATTATGTTGCAATAACGCAAGACTATGATCCTCCGAAAGAACAAGATTTCTACACATTATTCCCTTTGATTGACGAGGACATATTGAAGCCATTATCATTGGTGCTTGCAATGAATTATGATTACTTGTAAATGACAATGCTGGCAATGGTTTTAGACTTGAAAGTTCTGTTGCCGTTACTTCTGTAATCTAAATTTAAGAAAAAAAAAAAAAGACATTTATAATTTCTCCTACAAAGTTAAATAAAATGTCATCCCGCAAATAGTAATTAAAAATAATAATAAGTTATTATAAAATTGAAAAAAAAATTTGAAATAAATAAATATTATAAAAAGCTTACGCCATTTTTATTAATCATTTCCAATAATGCCTTCTCCTTTTCAACGGTGACAATATAAACGGAAGCATCGCCTGAAATTTCTTTTTCCAATATTGTTGGATCATTTTCAGTGATGAGAATTCGTTTTCTTGCATTGCCATCGGCGCTAATTACAAGAGCTGATTTATCACCGCGTACCAATTCAAGTCGATAAGGACTTTGAACTCCCGCTCCAAATATGCTATTTATTGTGATTGTCTGGGGCTCAGAATTTGGTTCAAATATATTTATTAAAAAGAGAATTGCCAAATCATTTTCACCTTTCAAGCAACCTAAATATGGCGCAGCTAATACGCAACTAAAAAAATAAAATTCAAAATTGCAACATTCAAATATATATATTATTTTCAAATCAAGTAATTTTCCTTGATATTAATATTATATACAAAAAACAATTTAAAATTTTTTTTTAAATTCAAAAAAAAGAACAATTTAAAAAAAAGGAAACTTACTCAGTCTCTGGACTTATAAACGGAGCGGAAACAGTTCGTGTTTTTAGTTTCTCTCCAGTTTTACTATCGTAAGAAGTAATTTCAACGCCACTATTGAAAATTGGCAAAATATGATGTAAAGTACCGTCCTTAATGTACCATTTAACGTCCTCTATCCTAAGAAACATAAATAAAATAGATTTAATAAAAAAAAAAAGAAAAAAATTTATCGAAACCACACAATTTTTCTTCCATCAAATAGACGAACATGATTATCCTGTTATAATATTATAAAAATAGTCGTATATATACGAAAAATTCAAAATCGCGAACATCTAGAATTACGAGGATAATTATGCATTTTCAAAGATCAAATTACAAGAACATAATTTTAATAGAGAAAGACAACATAGAGTTTTTATTATATACAGAAGTGAAATTTACAAATTCAATTTCGTCATTATTATTATTATTTGCAGTGTTTTTTGGTGTTTTTTTTTCTTTTTTCTTTTTTTAAATAAACGTGTCGGTTTTGAAAGAGTGAGGTGCAAATTAAAAAGATTATTTATCAAAAAGAACCTTTTAACATCGTACAATCCTACTGTTGAAAATGATATAAATGGAGAGTCAATTCTGAAAAAATTTACATACAATATTTATTAGCAAAGGAAACTAATTCCTTTACATATAGATTTTTTTTTTTAAACTTTCTTTTAGTTAAAATTGTTCTTCCGTAATTATAATTTCAATAAACAATTTAATAATCGACTTTTCGTTTGTTTATTTTTAATTTGAGCACAACTATTTTTAAATTTTAATTTGGCTGAAATATTGTAACACAATAAATTTTGTCTTTATACACTAATTTATACTTTGCAAAAGGTTTATCACCCGTTTGTTAATTTCAAATAAATAAATGTATAAATTAAACATAATAATAAATGAAAATATAAATTAAGATAATAGTGGTAATCCACGAAAAATTTACTAATTTTCAGAGCACCTTCAACGATTTGTTTGAAACTTGGCAATATTATTAACAGGCCTCGGATCGATTTTAAGGCGCAAAAAAAAGACGTTTTAGTCGATTTACATTCGAAAAAAGTCGAAAAAGTCGATTTTTTTATTTTTTAATTAAATTTAATTAGTTAATAAGTATTTTACTTTAAATAATAAATGTTATTAGATATTAAATACATTTTATTAATTCTATAATGAGAATAATTCTATATAAAAATATTATCAAGAAAATTTATTTCAAATATTTCAGAATTCAAGACGTAAATTTTAAAAATTTTAAATTAAGTAGGACAAATTTTTAAAAAATATATTATAGTTGAAATTTTAAGAAATAATTAAATTTTAGGTTTTAAATTAAAATTTTTGATAAATAATTGAATTCAAGTGATTTTTAATTGAAATTTTTTGATGATTTCTGTTGATGAAGAATTTATTAGAAATCACAGACAAATATTCAAGTTCAAAAGTTTTTAATTGAAAAATGCTTTCAAATAATTGAATTTTTGAAGAATATTACAAAAATCATTTAAAATTATTAAATTTTGCATGAGTTACAGTTGAAATTTTTAGAAATAATTGAATTTTAGAAGGTTTTAAATTTGAAATTTTTGATAAACAATTGAAGTGATTTTGAATTGAAATTTTTTGGTGATTTCTGTTGATGAAGAATTTATTAGAAATCACAAACAATAATATTCAAGTTAAAAAGTTTTTAATTCAAAAATGCTTTCAAATAATTGAATTTTTGAAGAATATTACAAAAATCATTTAAAATTATTAAATTTTGCATGAGTTACAATTATTAAATTTCAAAAATTTTTAGATGAAAAATTTTTAAAAAATATTTAAATTTTAAAAGGTTTTAAATTGAAATTTTTGGATATTTCTTTTTTTTTAAATTGTAAACAATTGTTAAATTTCATAAAAATTTTAATTGAAAAATAATTTAAGACAATTGAATTTGTTTAGAATTTCATTAAAATTATTAAAAATAATTAATTTAGAGAAAAATTTTAATTGAAAATTTGTTGAATAATTGAAAGAAAGAAGATCTGCATTGTATACTAAAAAAAAGACGTATTTTGTTTAAAAATTTGGTAAAAAATGTAAAAAATTCAAAAAAGTCGCATCTTATTCAAATAAGTCGAAAAAAGTCGTATTTTGAAAAAGAAGTCGTATAATCCGTGGTCTGTTATAACAATTGCTCAAAACTGTTTAAACGGTTAAAAATAGAGTTCGGTTTTTTTTCTAAAAATTAATTATAACAAGGCGCTTAAAATATGTTATTAACATTTTTTTTTTATATTTTCTTAATCCAAATTAGGATTTCTTTGATAACGCGTCAGAAATTGACGTACTATTATGAAACTAGATTTTTAATTCTTTTTTTTTTCAATACAAATTATTTACTCTCCCTACCAGAAGCAAAGTTTGAGGAGCCAAAATCATTTTTTTCTTATACTAAAATATTGTTAATTACATTCTTTTTAGAAAAAAAATTTCAAAACCGCTGTATGTAAATAAAAATTAATTAATAAATATTCTAACTCACCTATCAGGATTTCTCTCCGTCATTGGCCATTCGTTTACAATATGTCCACTTGCTAAATCCCAAGCCCTTACAATTGCTGGTACACCACCACTTACAGAAATTAATATCTCATCTTCTATTCCACTTAATGCCCTTATTCGACCACCACTACCTCTTTCCAAAACTCTTCGCCAAAGTATTTGACCTGAATTTGAAAAAAAAAAAAAAAATTTTCCCCTTGAGACATTAAAATTTCAATATTTTTTTTTTTTATTTATTTATCGATATCGGAAGTCTAAAAAAATAATATCAACACTTGTGTGAATGTGTGCGTAAAAATCCATGCATATTTAACGAAACTCTAAGTTTTTTTTAAACGGACATAAAATATAATAGAACCTTGTAAACCGATCGATTAAACTTTTTTTTTCTCCCGTTTAAAAAGCTGTTGAAAAATTAAACTTTTTTTTTCCACAAAATATTGAATTAATTCCTTTTTTTTTATAAAATAGAATCCTTTTTTTCTTTATGCAGTGTACAAAACTATGAGCCAAAAGTTTTGAACGTTCAAATGAACAAAATTTGTTTTGCAACTTCTTTAAGTACGAATTTTATTATAAAATATTGTGTTTTAAAAATCTAAAAAGAAGTTATTTAATTTAATAGTTGTTTAATTTACTGTTTTAATTTACATTGACATCATAATTTTTAATAATTTATAGATTGAAAAAAAATATTTCGTTCATTTGAACGTTCAAAACTTTTGGTTCATACAAAACTAAATTTTCGAAAAAAAAAACATTTCTTTCGAAATACAATATTTAAATAAATTAAATTTTACAATTTTATTTTCAAATTTTGTTATTTTATCTAATAAGATAAATTATATTTTCCGCTTACATTGAAAGGAAACTATAAATATTATTTCACATTTTAAAGATAAAAAAAAAAAAAGAAGGAAAAGTGAATAATTTCTTTTAAAAGATCGAGAAACTTTATAAAAAATTTGCAAAGGAAAAATATTTTTATAAACGTCAACACATAATTCTATGTGAAAAAAAGAATTTAAAAAAAATATAATTTTTATTCGTAATAAAACTTATTTCTCAATATAAAATAAAAGTTTTTTATAACGAAAAAAAAGACTATTTCGACTCATTTTCCCAATACCACTCATTTATTGATTAATTTCAATTTACTTTTAAAATTACTAACTACCATTTACCAAAATTTTTCACATTATATTTTAAACTATAAATTAATTTTCTAGCGAAAATTATCAAAAAAATGCAATTAAATCTAAATAATTCAAAATAAATAACATTTCCCCCTTTCTATATATTGTAATTTGAGAAATAAAGTTGAAAATTTTTTATGTCAACAAAAACTTGAAATCAAAAAAATGACATTTTCAAATATCACAAAATTAGAAGAAAAAAAAATCATAATAAATACGTTTAGATTTATCGACAGTAATATTTGCATATAAAGAAATGAAGTATAGTAGAAGACCTTCATAAATATTTAATTGTAATGACACTCACCTGATTTGAGATTTAGAGCGGCGATGACATTTTCTTCAGTCGCGACAATTATTTTTTTTGTCGTTGACACAGTATCAAAACTGGCAAATTTAACTTTTCCAACATAACTTTGTTTCCTAAAATATATTATATTTCATTAGTCAAACCCTCTATATTAATTAATTTTTTTTCTGAGTAAAATTTATTCTATATTATGACAAGAATATTGTCATTGGAAAAATGAATTATATTTTGATAAATGAAAATTTACCAGTCAAATTTTCCAATTTGATCCTCATAAAGACCCAATGAAACACTGAATAGTCCAATGAAAACTATAAAATATTGTAATAAATGTGCATTTCTTAAAATACAATTAATATTTCTTTCAAAACTCCATAAGAAGGAAGCCATGTCGAAGAAAAATTAAACTGTGAACGTGGCCCGTTCGTATTTGCGCTTCTGCTTGTGTAAAGCCGCCGGCGGCCATTTGTAAAAATAATAATCGACTACGTTCAGAGAGAACGATTTGTACAATTTGAGAATTTACCTATTACGCCAACTGGTGAATATATAAATTATCCCACGAAAATTTAAACCTATTAAATTTCTAGTTTTTTTAATTTATCAAACAAAAAAAAATTAATTTCAAAATTATACATTATTAATAAATTAATTTTAAGAGCTGAAAAATAGTAAAAATATGGGAATATTGAACATAACCTCGAATTAAAAGAGAATTTTTTTTAAACGGTTATTAGATATTAAAACCATTTTATGAATTCCTTAATTTTAAATGAGTAGGACAAATTTCTAAAAAAAAAAAAATTAAATTTTAAAGTTTTTATTTGAAACCTTTTTTCAATAATTGAATTTTTATAAAAATATTAAAATTATTAAAAATAATTGAACTTTGGAAGTTATAGTAGAAATTTTTAGAAATAATTAAATTTTAGGTTTTAAATTGAAAATTTTGAAAATAATATTGAATTCAAGTGATTTTTAATTTAAATTTTTGGTGATTTCTCCTGCTGAAAAATGTATTAGAAATTACAGATAAAAATTGACTTTAAAAATTTTTTCAATTAAAAAATACTTTCACACAATTGAATTTTCGAAGAATATTAAAAAAATTATTTAAAATGAAAATAATTATATTTCAGAAGAGTTATAATTGAAATTATTAAAATTTCACAAAATTTTAGATATGGAAAATTTTTAAAATAAATAAATTTTAAAAGGTTTTAAATTAAAATTATTGATAATTTTATTTGTTTTTTTTTTTAATTTTAACTTTTTTTAAATTGAAAAATAGTTTAAGATAATTGAATTTGAAAGTTTATTTCAAAATATTTTAGAATCCAAGACGTAAATTTTAAAAATTTTAAATTAAATAGGACAAATTTTAGAAAAAAATATATTATAGTTGAAATTTTTAGAAATAATTAATTTTCAAAAGATTTTGTTAAATTTTAAACAATAATTAAATTTTACAGAATTGAAAATAATTTATCAAATAATTTTAGATAATATTTTTTTTAAAAGTAATTGAATTTTCAAAGATTTACAATTTAGATTTTTGAAATTAATTGAACAAGTGGTTTTTAATTGAATTTTTTCGTGATTTTTGTTGATGAAGATTTTTTTAAGAGATTATAGACAAATATTCAAGTTCAAAAGTTTTTAATTGAAAAATGCTTTCAAATAATTGAATTTTCAAAGAATGTTATAAAAATCATTAAAAAAGTAATTGAATTTCGGAAGAATTATAATTTAAATTAAAAGAATTTCAAAAATTTTTTAAATAATTAAATTTTAAAAGGTTTTTAATTGAAATTTTTGGTTATTTCTTTTTTTTAAATTGTAAACAATTGTTGAATTTCATAAAATTTTTAATTAAAAAATAATTTAAGACAATTGAATTTGTTTAGAATTTCATTAAAATTATTAAAAATAATTAATTTAGAGAAAAATTTTAGTTAAAAATTTGTTAAATAATTGAAATAAAGAAGATCTGAAGATCTGCATTGTATACCAAAAAAAAACGTATTTTGTTTACAAATTTTTTTAAAAAATTAAATAAAAGTTCAAAAAGTCGCATCTTATTCAAATAAGTCATATTTTCGAAAAAAAAATCAGAAAAAGTCGTATAATCCCGTAATAGGTGAAAAAGCTGCCAAAATAGGAAAAAAAAATAAATGAAATGATGACCTATCCATGATGCCTGAAAAATATTAAATTAAAAATGAAAAAAAAAATTCAAACTTTTATAAATATTTATGAAAATAAATTAAATATTTAAAATATACAGTATTGTAGAGAGTTTATTTTAAAAAGTTTCTTCAAAATACATATAAATAAAAAATAAATGCTTCCTAATATTGTGTGTAGACATGCAATGTATATGTACGAGAGTAATGTTATCATTCATTTTTATAAAATGAATTATTTAAAAAGTAAAAATATTAATTTCGAGGCATTTAATATTTTGTTAGTGTCTGTCAGCAGTAGTCAACGCAATAAAATGCCATTATTTTTCCTCAAAATATTTGTGTTTCAATAATTTTTTATGTTACATATTTTTTTTTTTTTTTTTTTTTTGAAAATATTTCCATTTTTCATAATTTAACAAATAATATTAATTTTTAATATTATCATTAAATAATAAAACAGTAATTATTATTATAAAATTATAAATAAATTAATTCAATAAATAAACAAAGTGAATATTAATTTTCCAACTTGAAAATCCATTGAAAACTCTGCATTTTATTGCGTTACCATATCAGCCTTTCATGAAGTCACACCTTTTTTTTACACACACACATTTGTTTCAAAATACAAAATCGAATATCGTGAAATAATAATGAAAAATATCGTTGTTATCATGTCGTACTATACAATCATACATTCTACTGAAATAATAATCCCCGAACAATTTACAGTGATTTTTTTTTTTTCGAAGAAAAAGTATAGCCTCGCTTTATAATAATAATAATAATAATAATAATAATCGTAATAATAATAAAATAATAATAATAATATTAATAATAAAATTTGTCGCGTGTTGACAATTGAGGTTCTCACGACTTTCTTATAATTATTATAAAGATACAAAATAATTTTATTTTTTTTTTTCATTGCAAATAAAACTTGAAAAGCAGATTCACGCTGACTAGAATATTTTACAATTGATTAAATTCATTGTGGAATTATTTGCAATATTACGCAGTGAAATTCGTAAATGTCACAATAATAATAATTTTATTGTGATATATAGGCATGCAAACTTTGGTTTAAAGCAATATCATGTTAATTTTTCACGAAACAAATTAATTTCTTTTGCTTTCTATATAATTTTTTTTTTTTATTTCTTTAAAACTTTTTTTTTTTTTTTTTTTTTTCTTAAAAGACAGCTACTGGCAATTCCTTTTCAATATCGCATTGACTCCTAAGCCTTTTATTATTTTTCTTATTTACATTTTAACACGTTAGCTGACACACACTTCCAAATATATTTCTATAAATAAATCTACAGAAGCAAAAAAAAAGAAAAAAAAATATCAGTCAAATATCAAAATTCACACCTCTTTTTTTTAACCATGAAAATTCAAAATCAATAAACATTTTGTGCTCTCAAAAACGCTAATTAAAAAGAAATAAAATTATAAAAATGGAAATTTGTGCTAGTTATCGATAAATGGTTTATGGCTTAACAATATTATATTTAAACTTGAAATTTTTTTTATTTTATTGACATTTATCTTCGATTAAAATTAAAATTAATTAATTTACTTATAATTTTTGACTAATTAAACAATTTTCAAAATAAATTATAATAATTTATTAAAAAAATCGAAATTGTTTCATTTTTAATAAATTAATTAATTTAAATTTTCCACGTAAATTCTTCATTTAAAAATTTCAAGTTCTTTATAATCAAACTCCTTTTTTTTAAAAATGCCTATACAATTCTGATTAAGAAGAAAAAAAAAATGTATTACACACTGAAAAAAAATTGGAATAATTATGGATATATTATGGCTTCAAAGCTCGATTTCACTTTCGTTTCTTCATTTTTACCACCCTCATTTATTTATTATTATTTTTTTTTTTTTTTTTGTTAAATAAATTAAAATATTCTTAGGCTTCATTTGAATATTGTACAACTACTATATTCTTAAACTATTTTTAGCTGCTGTCACAAACCTTCTTGTGGTACCAAAAAATTATAATAATTACACAATAGCTCTCTTAAAATGATCGACTGTAAAAATTGTGAATGTGATTATTCAAAAAGTTATTGAATAAATGCACTATTTTTCTTTCTTTTTTTTTTAATAATATACAATAAATGCAACACGCATGTGATATATTAACTACTAATATGATACAAAACTGTTCTGTACGCTGTAGCGCAATTATCTTAAACTCATCATTTTGTTAATAAATAACAAAAAAAAGTAAGTTTGATTCTGAATTTGGTTTTTAAAAAAAAAAAAAAATTAAAATAAATTGAAAATAAGAGAAAGTAAAGAAAATTACAAAAAATACAATAAATTTTTGTTTTAATTTCCATAAGTAGAATTCAATTTTGTTTTAATATTTTATTTTTAATAATTCTATTAGTAAAAAAAATCTGTATCATACGTTATGAATTTATTTTAAGTTATTAAATTAAAAAGTTTAATAAACAATTTTTTTTTAGAATTTCAAACCAAAATTCAGATTCAACATTCAAAAATATGTGGATTTTTAAAGAAGATTTAAATTTTTTTACTGCGTAAAATATAAAATTTTGAAAAATACATAATAAATATTTCTTGAATATATATATTATAGATTCTGTAAATTACCTATATTATTTATTAAATATAATTTTAGTCAATTCAATTAAACAATTTTGAATAGGATATTTTTAAAATTTAATTTTAATTAATTCAATTTTTTTTCGAAAAAATCAAAAATTGATTTGTTTTAAATTTACGCAGTAAAAAAATTGAAAAAAAACTCGAATTATCAAAAAATATCAAAAATTTGGTGTTCAAAATTGTGCAAAAAACAAATTTGTCACATATAAAAGCACCAAAGATTATTCTCTCGTTCCAGAATACCATTGTATGCACATTCTATGTGATCTATTTTTCATAATATTGATTATCTAATTGCATAAAGGCCTAGTTCTTGTTATTATAAATTACATAAAAAAAAAAAAAAAAAAAATTAAGACTTTCTTTAAATCTGTAAGAAAAATGAAAAAATTGTCATTTAAGAAAGTTTCATTCACATTGACATCATTTCAAACCAAAAGACGTTTTACAATAAAAAAAAATTAAATTAAATAAAAATTAAAAAAAAAATTGCAAATCAATTTACAATTTTTAAAAAAGATATCAAATTTATTTGCTCTTAAATTGTTATTTTTAAAAAGAGATAAAAAATTTTTTAGTAAAAATTTATTTTCTTTGAATCCTATATATAATAATTTAATGAATATAAATAAAATTATTTAAAAATTAACAATTAGTTTGCAACAATGTTAATGGATTGAAAACTCACAAAAATTGATAATTGAGACTAGCTGCAAGGCATTTTTTTGTTTTCAAATTGAAATTAGTTTTTATTCTACAGTATATACATTTAGCAAGCTGTAACGAGTTCGTTTTTTTTCTCCCCCCTTTTTTGTTGTTAAATATTTTTACTCTTATTTATTTTACTTTAGACACATTTAAAGATAGTCATTTGGAATAATTTATAAAAATTAATTCTCGTATTCTTCTTCTAGATATAATTGCAATATTTTTTCACATTAAAAAAAATATTGTTTTTTTTTTTATGTGAAAAAATTTGATATTTTAAAAATGTAATCTTGTTTTTTATTCAAAAAATGGGGAAAAATTAGTTTTTTTTATTATTATTATAATTTTATGAATAGAAAAAAAATCGTAGAGTATATATATGATATTAATTATTATTAGTGAAAAAAAAATTCGAAATCTTTATATTTTAATTTGAAAAATAACTTGATTTAAAAATAGGTATATTTCGTGATTTTCTAGTCTCGAGAGACTTTGTTCCTTTTCCTTTTTCTCCTCTCATTTTTTTTTTTTTTTTAATCGTATCATACACATAGAGTAGATATCTTTCTTTTGATTATTCCTTGTTTAACTTAATGAGGTAAGTTTTATACACCGTTTTTCTTTCATTTTTTTTTTTTTTTTTTTTATTAGTGGCTCGTGAAATAAATTCGTTAAAAATCGCAAAAATATTAATTCGTTTCTCTACTTTCATATTTTTCATTTTGTTGGGAAAAAACTTCTTCAAAGAGCTCAAAAATGTTCCATTTCATCAATATTTAGAAATAATGGAATCATGAAAAAGAATATTTCAGTCACAGATTTAATTCTCGTTTTCGTTTTTTTTTTTGTTTGGTCCTTTGCAAAAAAGTGATTTATTAAAACGAGAAAATTAGTAAAATTAAATAATAAATATATATTATATATTAAAATAAATAAATAAAAATAAATATTTAAAGAAGCACCTTTTCTGTGTACAATATTAGGCCACGAAATTTTTCGTTTGTCTTCTCTTTTACTTCGAAGAAATTGACTTATTATTTAAGAAAAGAAAAACGAAGACGAGAATAAATTCAATGGCAAAATGATTTTTCTTATTATTATTTGTTATCCTAAAAAAAAGGACTAAATTTTCTGTTTTTTTTTTAAGCACAGATCAATAAGAAATAATCTTTGCCAGACAAAATTTACATTTGCGATTATTACTTTCTAAATTCTTGTCTCGTTTCTTGTTTTAATCACCCTATTCATTTCGTTATTTGCCATTTTGGAATTTTATTTGTAAAAATTCTAGACATTAAAATATTTTTAAAAAATAGAAAAAAAAGAACAATAAATTGAACAGTAATCGAACAAATATTAGAAAGAATGATTCGATTACAAGTCAAGTTATATCGATGTGCCCAAATGACATTAAGAATTCTTAAAAAAAAATGTATATAGTATAGATACTGAAAAGTATTTACGAAGTCTTTTAATTACGTATAAAAATCAGTTCGTCTCGTATTTAAGCATTATTTTAAATATATGGCAGTACTGCTTGTATTCAAAAAATTAACTGTTTATATGATATACATATATTTATTTATAATATAAAGTAAAAACCTCTTTGAGCGTAAAATCGTACATATTGAAACATATGTACTTGATTTTAATATAAGATGCATAAATATTTCCTAAATTCATTTACATTAAATTTCGAGTAGATTGAAATTTATAATGTAACAAATATTTAACTGAAATTTTATACAATTAAATTTTTAATTTAATTTTTATTTAAATATTTTTATTTTTTTATTATCAAAATTTTTATTTTTAATTTATCGAAATTTCTATTTTAGAAAATTTTCAATTACCTGAATTTTTATTCAGCCGAATTTCTAGCTTATTAATTTGTTATTTAAAAAATCGCCTAAGTAAAAATTCTGTAAATTAAAAATTCGAAAAATAATAATTAATAATAATAATAATATTATTATTATTATATATTTTTATATTTTATTTTTATAATAATTTCTTATTATTAAGAAAGTCTGTTAAATAGAAACCAAAAAAAAAATTGTTTTTGTAAGAAATATTCATGCAACTTTGTTTTTTTCTTTCTTTTTTCCCTATCAAGAACTGACACATTCTGAAAAAACAAATTTTCTTTCCTATGGCACACAATTTATAATATACGAACTATTGCTCTATATTTTGTAAACTTCTAATTAAAATGCTTGAAACTTTATATTTCTAATTGTACATGAATTAAATATTTAATAAATGTGGCTTTTTTGTTTTTTCTTTAAACAGAAATTAAATATTCGAACTGGCACTCTAAGTGAGTTTAAAGCTTTACTATTGACCACAATTCTACTCGATATATATATATATATATTTTTTTTTTCTCATAGATTTCTGTTTTCATGAAACTAGTTTTTTGTTCATTAAATTTCAATTATCATTCTAAATATGCACCATTAAGTAGAATTGCCATTTTTTTTCTCGATAAATATGGCACGATGATGAGAATTTTTTTTTTTTTAAACAAGCACTTCGTATAATCTTAATTTTAAGTATGGAAAAATTGTGAAAGAAGAAAAATAATGGTGCGAGAAAGTTGAATTATGAGTGAAATGAAAAGAAAATAGATAGAAATTATGTGAATTCATCGAACTTGTTAAATGATGTGTAAAGTCTAGATTCTTCGATGATGTGTTTATACCTTCTTTTTTTTGTTTGTTTTCATCTTTACCTACTTTATTTTGTCTGGTCAGTGTTTTTTCTTCATGCTTACAATAATGTGCACCTTCGTTGACGACGTTTTTGTGGTTCGGGTCGTAATACAGCGCGAACTGCCTCGTCAAAAACTTGTTTTAATCCACGTTGCGTGAGTGCTGAACATTCCATGTATTTAACAGCTCTTATCTGGAAAATTATGTTAATTTTATTAGGAACACAAAAAAAATTCAAAACAATCAATGATGAACAAAAAACTTTTTTTTTTAATAAATTCAAGATAAAAGCTAAAAATATTAATCTTTTCAATAATAAAAAAATCTTTTGTACTATTTTATTCAGGAATTTTTTTTAAAAATTTTTTATTAATGTATATATTCTATTTTTAAAATCATTAAAAGCTGTAGTAGTTGACGTAGTTTTTTTAGTACGGAAAAATTTTACTTTAATTAAATGATAATTTCTATCTTCTCCATGGAGTTTTGGGTTACTAATTTTTTTCACATATTTACATGTGTGTACAAGAGATTTGTAAAGTTTTTGGATTTTTAAAATTTTGAAAAGATGCCGTAACATTTAATTAATGAAAAAGTAGCAAAAAGAAGATAGAAGGTTCAATATTAAGTGATTTTTTTTTTAAATTCCTATTGCATTGGGGTGTGGGAATAACTCGAATTCAAAAATTACAATTGTAAAGGCCACCTAATAGGCAATCGTATTTTTTAAATAAAATTATTATTATTACATTTGCTTTTGTTTTTGATAGGTTTTGATAATTTCGTATTTATAGGCATTGCATAATTTTTTCAAAAAAATTTTCTTTGCGGTAATTTAAATATTTTTTATGTTTTTTATTATATTAGTTTATTAATTACAGGCCTTGGATCGACTTTAACGCACAAAAATCTCGTTTTAGTCGATTTATATTCCAAAAAAAATTGAAAAAGTTGATATTTTTATTTTAACAAAATTTAATTGGTTAATGAATATTTTACATTAAATAACTAATGTTATTAGATATTAAATTCATTTGATTAATTCTATAATGAAAATAATTCTACAAGAATATTATCAAGAAAATTTATTTCGAATATTTCAAAATCGAATTAAGGCCATCCGGGAAAAATCCCTAACCTAAAAGTGTTTTCCCGCGCGAGATATTACTCGTAAATAACTTGAAATATCTTGTTCGGATTTGTCGGATTAATTAGATGAGGGCGAGCTGATTAAGAATCATCTCCATTTTTACAAGTAATTTTATAAAAAAGTATTGAAAATCGTGATTATAAAAGTTTGATTTTTGATAAAAGTGGGGACAGTAGGGGAGGCGAGCACACAGACATTGAATCTATGTGTCAGTGGCCCAGAAGGTGGCGCCAATTCTAGCTAGTGGCCGCTGCTGAACTAACTTACCCCAAATTACTCCACTTTAAATCTTTAATAAAATTATTTCCTCAAAATATTATTGCAAAAATGGAGAAGAGCCCCACTCAGTGACCCTTCCTCTATTATTCCTCCAAATGCCAACTCGAAATACTTTATCCTTTAAAGATGAGAAGTAATTTACGAAACCCCTTTTTGCCAATGTTTAAACATTTTTTTCAATAATTATTTATCAAGATTATGCAAAATTCCGAGAAGAGCCCCTGGCAGGGTACCTTCCTCTATTATTTCCAAAAAATTACAACCTAAAATATTCTATTTTTTTCAAATGAGAAGAAATCTACAAAACCATTATTTTCTCCCGGATGGCCTTAATTGTAAGTCAAATTTTCACAAATTTTATTTAAGTAGGACAAATGTCGAAAAAAATTCTTAGAGTTCCATTTTTATAATTTTGTCAAGTCTGATTTAAACAATTTTTTCGAATTTAAAATTTTGTCAGTTTTTAATTTTAATGGTCAAAAAAAATTTCCTGCAATAATTAATTAAGTTTTACAGATTTGTAAATAACAATTTTTTTAAAAATAATAATAATTTTGGAAGAGTTATAGTTGAAATTTTTAGAAATAATTGAATTTCAAAAGATTTTTATTAATTTTCAGACAATAATTAAATTTTACAAAACTAAAAATAATTTATCAAATAATTTTAGATCAAATTTTTTAAAAGTAATTGAATTTTCAAAGATTTACAATTTTGATTTTTGAAATTAATTGAACTTCAAGTGATTTTTAATAGAAATTTTTGGTGATTTCTCCTGCTGAAAAATTTATTAGAAATTGCAGACAAAAATACAATAATTTGAAAACTTTTTAAGTGAAAAATAGTTTCAGAAAGTTGAATTTTCGAAGAATATTATAAAAATCATTAAAAATAATTAAATTACAGAAGAGTTATAAGTGTAATTATTAAATTTCAAAAAATTTTAAATGGAAAATTTTAAAAAATACTTAAATTTTAGAAGCTTTTGAATTGAAATTTTTTAAAATAATTGAATTTCAAAAGATTGTGTTAAAATTTCAGACAATAATTATAATAAGAGAAATTTTTAGTGATTTCTCTTGACGAAGAATTCATTAGAAATTACATAAAAAAAATTGAATTCCAAAAGTTTTTAATTGAAAAATGCTTTTAGATAATTAAATATTCGAAGAATATTATAAAAATCATTAAAAATAATTGGAATTTTTGCAAATAATTAAGTTTCAAGTGATATTTAATTAAAATTTTTTTTGTAATTTTATTTGATAATTTTTTTTATAATTATAAATAATTATTGAATTTCATAAAAATTTTAATTGAAAAATAGTTTAAGATACTTGATTTTGTGAAGAATTTCATTAAAATTATTAAAAATAATTAATTTAGTGAAGAATTTTAGTTAAAAATTTGTTAAATAATTGAAATAAAGAAAATCTGAAGAAGTTTCTGCATTGTATAATAAAAAAGACGTATTTTGTTTAAAAATTTTGTAAAAAAATGTAAAAAAAAAAGAAGTCGAAAAAATCACATTTTATTAAAATAAATCGAAAAAAGTCGTATATTCCGATGACTAATTAATTAACATTATAAAAACTTTTTTTGTATGAAATTAATAATTAAAAATTGAAGATTTAGTATATTCATTTATAGTAATGAACATTGTGCTTTTTTAAAAACGATATTATTTAATCTTTTTTTTTATTATATATTTAATAATATTTATTTTATTTATCCAAACTTATTAAAAGTATAAATTACTTGTTTCACTACTTAGAAACGATTAAATTATTATAGAAAAATATTTTTGTTTTCTCAGATGTAATAGCAATATTAAAAAATTTCTTATTTAAAAGAACTACTTTTTAAAAATTTAATGTTCTTCAAATTATTATTTATCTAATAAATTTTGCTTAGTATTGAAAATATTTTAATTTAAAATTTTTAAATGAAATCTATTAATTTTCAATTGTCTGATATTTTATTATATTAAAACAAAAATTTTCCTAAAATTCTTTTCATTTTGTCATCTTGATAGTGTCAAAATCATTACTGCAAAGTATTATAATTTTTTTAAACTAAGTCATCCAAATATAATGAATTAATCCGATAATAAATATATGAAAAATATACCTTATTCGCAAGTTTCTGTCCCTGTTCACGTTTAATAGCACTGAGTCCTTGTTCGGCGAGTGCAGTGAGTGTTTCACGATCATCTCGCAAGTCAATTTTTGTTCCAACAAGTATCATTGGCGCATCAGGACAATGATGTTTAATTTCAGGATACCATTTACTAGTCACATTCTCAAAGGAAGAAGGACTTGTCACCGAGAAGCAAATAAGAAAAACGTCTGTCTGAGGATATGAAAGGGGACGCAATCTATCATAATCCTCTTGTCCTGCAGTATCCCATAATCCTAAACTCACTGGAATTCCATCCACCACCATAGGAGCAGAATAATTGTCAAATCTATAAGGAAAAATAAATTTTTAATCATTTTTTAATTTACTCTATTCATTTTTTTTTAAATTTTAATCTAAATTTAAATGAGTAAATAACACAAAGTCTCTCTAATATAATGTAAATGACTTTGTGGGCGCCTTGAAAATTATTATCTTTTCGTCAAAAAAAAAAAAAAAAATGTGTTTATTTTTAATCATTAAAGAGAAAGGAAGAAAAGCAAAAAGATAATGTGAAACGAATTGCTTCCTGTGAAGAGTAGGGTGTTTGTGAGCCCTGCTAAACTATTAATAGACACCCTAGTTTACTGTTCTTAGGAAGACTTATGTGACAAAATAATAAAAAAAAAATAATTCTACTTTAGTGTCACATCATTGAGATATTCGCATAAAAATAATCTGTCGTTGATCTTCAGTTAGTTAAGTGCTGAGCGAATTCTGTGGTTTTTTTTTCTGTTTCACTTGGACAAAATTAGGGGTGTTTTGAAGAAATTAAAAAAAAAATTTCAACTAATGAAAAATTGCAATTTTGTAATTAAAAAAAAAAAAAAAAAAAAATTATCAAGACAAATACTTACACTGTAGGCACATATTCCCCGGGAAAACTGTCTGTTGTGTAAGATATTAACATACAAGTTTTTCCAACAGTTCCATCACCCACAACAACACATTTAATTGGTCTTCCAGAACTCATGATGTTCGATCTGAAATTTTTTTTTTCAAAAAAACATTATTACAAACTAATAATTAAAAAATGTTTAAATTTAATTAAATTTCAATTTAAAACGAAAAAAAGTTTTTTTTTAGATTAAAAAATAAGTTATAATTTATTTGTATTTTTTTTTTAAATATTCTCAGTAACAATTTAGAAAAATTAGTATATAAAATATAATAAAAACTATAAATAAAAAAAAATTAGTCAAATTTTATTTGCCTAAAGTTCTGAACGTTAAAATAATAAAATAATAATAATAATAAATAATTTTTTTTTGACAATTTTTAAAAAATTACTATACAAAACTCAATTTTAATAGAAAAAAAAATTTCTATATCTTTTTTTTATTTACGTTAAAAATGAAAAAAAAGTTTCAAATATTATTTCGAAACTTTTTACATATATAAAGTAAAGAATTCGAATGAAACTGAATTATATTATGAAAAATCGATAAATTTTTATTACTAACTTAACATAAAAACAGACGCACTGAATGTGAAAAACAATTTTATTTTAATAAAAGTAATAAAAAAAAAAAAAACATAAAAATTAACACCCACATAGACGGCAATTAGAAAGAGAGAGAGAGATAGAGAAAGAACTTTATCGATTGTTAAGTTAAAAATTTCGTGTCCACAATTGGAGATCTTAATTATACGAGACTTCTTACCAAAAATGGATTAGCAGACTTGTGTAAAAACGTTGGGATTTCATAAGACGATTTCCAAATCAATCTTCTCAATCACTATTAAAAAAAAAAAAAAAACTAGGTTGCCATGATGGTTGTTTTTACAAAAATTTTTGGCTATTTTTCCCGAAAACAATGTAAATTAAACTTGAATAAGCAGATGTTTCTGAATCACTTCCTTATTTCACTTTTTTTTTTTCTAATAAAGAACACTGAATATATATAGAAGCGCTGGGTAGAGGTTATCTCATTTATTTCTTGCCGCAAGAACTGCCATTCGATTTACCTTGAAAATGGCGATTTTTCTTGATCATAAAAAAACATTAATGTTTTTTAAGCACCTTTTTTTTGAAAAAGTTTTAATCACAGTTTTCCTTTTTTTTCTAACTTTCTGTCCAAAGACCGATAATTTGAGAGTGCCCTTTTCCCATATGTATATCACAATAAAAAAAAAAACCAAGATACGCAGTTTATAAAACCTATTGTGAAAAAAATGCCAAAATTAATACAGCTGGACAACAATGGAGTATGTTTAGGAATTTTCAACTAGCGACGTCTGGCACTTTGTTTTCAAAATAGGAAAATTTAAATTTATATACAATTTTCTAAATAAATAATTTTTGTTAAATTTTAAAAAATAAAAATTTATTGTTAAAAATACGTGAAAAAAATTTATACAGCTTACTTGAAAAAGAAAAATATAATTATTTAAAATTTGTAAAAATAGATTCCTACATTTTCAACAATGTGATAATAAAGTATAACAAAAAATATTACGCTTGTGTTTTGATTATTTATTTGTTAATTTTTTATTTAAATGGAAATAGACACGGTAAGATAATTTTATGAAAATGTTTCTAATGTAGTCATTTTTTTAACATATTATAAACTCGTATTCTAACATTGTAATTTCAGTGATTGTCGTGATCTTGACAATTGCCTCCAGAAAAACGTTAATGGTAAAGTTTTAATAATTACAAAGATAATTAACTATTTTTTCAAAAAAAGTAAATTAAAATTAATTATTCGTTTAAATTAATTATGTATTATTTTTTTAACAACCTGAAATTCAATGTCAAATATTTTATTACATCCTAACCTCAAAAAAAAAAAAAAAATATTTTTACATATACAAATAAAAACAATTAAAAAATTTATTACATTAAACATGGTATTTTATTCAAATAGAAGAAAGAAGAGTGCAAAAAGCAAAAAATGGACGTACCAATATTAGTTCAAGTGACTAAAGGGGAAAATTTAATTTACGAAACAATTGGAAGGAAAATTGTTGACGATGATAATTTAAAAGCATTACGCAAAAGCGCGGAAGAAGTTCAAAAAAATTTAAATTCTTATTTAACAAAACTTGTAGATGAAGAAAAAAAAATTCAACCTACCGGTGAATATTTTAGAAATTTAAAAACATTTTTCCTCTATATTTTAAATAAAATTAATAAAAAAATTTATGTATCAAAAATATTGCAGAAAAATCTAAAGATGAAAGCAGTGATTCTGAGAATATTTCGGACGAGGAAGAAGATGAAGATGTAAATAATTTGTTAAAAACAATTTCTTCAAAAAAATGTTAATTTAAGTATATAAAAATTTTTTAAATAAATTAATTTTTCCACCTATTTTTGAATTTATTATTTGTTCTTAAAATCCTTTCTTTTTTTTGAGAAATAAAAAATTCTTCTAATAGTTTAATTTAAAGAAAAATTATTAAAATTTTTAAAATAATACTTTGAAAATTTTTTTTTTAATTTTAATACACCATCTGTGGAATTTATACTGAACTACATATACATGAAGTTTGGGAGAGGAATTAGAATTGTCAAACACAATTTTCAAACAAGTTTCGTAATTTATTTAATTCAAACACGTGTTGGAATTAACGTAATAATTGTGAAAAAATAAATCATGGGAAAAGGTCGTAAAAATAAGCCAAAAAAGAATTTCGCCGAGAAACGACGTGAAAAGAAAAAGGTAAGTTTAAAACTGATTTATTCTCGCACGCATATGAAACCGGTTGTAAAGAGGTTATGTTTGTTTTTAATATCTGACATTTATATTTTTATTAAAAAAAGAAAATTTTTCACATTTTTTAATTATTTCACTATATATATATATATAGTAAATAATGTTAAAAATATTATCTAGTCGTTTTGTTTTTATTTCTCTCATTTTTAGATATATAAATTTTCCTGTTAACCTAACCTCAAAAATATTCTGCATAGCAACAATATGTTTAAATATATTTTTTTTTGCAAATAATATTTTTATATGTATTTTATGGTTTTATTTTATTTATTTTTTTACCTAAATAATACATTTAAAAAAAAAAAAAACGTCAAAAATCTATATTTTCGTAATAAATTATTTTTGAATAGAGAAATCAATATTTAAGAAAAATTTGATTTATTTTTTTAATTAAAAAAAAAAGATCTTTTTTATGTGTTTACAATTATTTTATATAGAATAAAACTGATTGGGATAAAACTCCACAACGATGTTACGCCGATATAATTCGTGAAAATAAGGATTTTGAAAATTATTATAAAATGCAAAATATTGTTCCCGAAGAAGAATGGGATTCATTTATGAAAATGATGAGGGAAAATCTTCCAGTTGCCTTTCGTATAACAGGCTCAAAATCAGAGGCAAAAGCCCTATTGGAAATAATTAAAGGTGATTTCTTTAAGGAAATATTAAATTTAAAATTGGACGATCAAGAAGAAGAACATGATGAAATTGATAAAGTGGAAAAAATGAAACCTCATTGCCTTCCCTTTTATCCTGAGGGTTTAGCATGGCAATTGCAACTCACTAGAAAAGATATTCGACGTTCTGAAACTTATTTCAGGTTACATAATTTTTTAATCGCTGAAACAAATAGCGGAAGTATCAGCCGACAGGAAGTTGTCAGTATGATACCGCCATTAGTACTTGATGTTAAACCTTGGCATAAGGTAATTAGAAAAAAAAATTTACCTCTTTTTCTTTTGTAAAGTTTACATATTTTTGTAATTTATAATATAGACCTCAGATTATACGACTTTTTCCGACTTTTTTTTTCAAAACTACGATTTTTTTCAACTTATTTTAATAAAATGCGACTTTTTCGACTTTTTTTAAGCATTTTTTAAAAAAAAAATTTTAAACAAAATACATTTTTTTTAGTATACAGTACAGATCTTCTTTATTTAAATTATTTAACAAATTTTTAACTAAAATTCTTCACTGAATTAATTATTTTTAATAATTTTAATGAAATTCTCCACAAATTTAATTATCTTAAGAAGCTGATGTACGCAACATTTATATAAATTATAAACGTTTTTTAAAGAAATAATTTTTTAAAATGAAAAATTCCATAATTTTTTGTCTAAACAATATTTCTTGTAGTTTTCATTAATCAACAAGTTATAAAAAATTATTTTTTTAGGCAAAAAATTATAGAATTTTTCATTTTAAAAAATTATTTCTTTAAAAATCGTTTATATAAATGTTGCGTAATTCAACTTCGTATTATCTTTAAATATTTTTCAATTAAAATTTTTATGAAATTTAATAATTGTTTATAATTTAAAAACAAATTATCAAATAAAATTACAAAAAAAATTTAATTAAAAATCACTTTAAATTTGATTATTTGCAAAAATTTCAATTATTTTTAATGATTTTTATAATATTCTTCGAATATTTAATTATCTAAAAGCATTTTTCAATTAAAAACTTTTGGAATTCAATTTTTTTGTTATTTCTAATAAATTTTTCATCAACAGAAATCACTAAAAATTTCTCTTATAATTATTGTCTGAAATTTTAACACAATCTTTTGAAATTCAATTATTTTCAAAAAATTTCAATTCCAAAACTTCGAAAATTTAATTATTTCTAAAATTTTTTGAAATTTAATTTCAATTATAAACTCTCCTGAAATTCAATTATTTGAAACCATTTTTCACTTAAAAAGTTTTCAAATTATTGTATTTTTGTCTGCAATTTCTAATCAATTTTTCAGCAGGAGAAATCACCAAAAATTTCTATTAAAAATCACTTGAAGTTCAATTAATTTCAAAAATCTAAATTGTAAATCTTTGAAAATTCAATTACTTTTAAAAAATTTGATCTAAAATTATTTGATAAATTATTTTTAGTTTTGTAAAATTTAATTATTGTCTGAAAATTAACAAAATCTTTTGAAATTCAATTATTTCTAAAAATTTCAACTATAACTCTTCCAAAATTATTATTATTTTTAAAAAAATTGTTATTTACAAATCTGTAAAATTTAATTAAGTATTGCCGGAAATTTTTTTTGACCATCTAAATTAAAAACTGACAAAATTTTAAATTCGAAAAAATTGTTTAAATCAGACTTGACAAAATTATAAAAATGGAACTCTAAGAATTTTTTTCGACATTTGTCCTACTTAAATAAAATTTGTGAAAATTTGATTTACAATTAATTCGATTTTGAAATATTCGAAATAAATTTTCTTGATAATATTCTTGTAGAATTATTTTCATTACAGAATTAATCAAATGAATTTAATATCTAATAACATTAGTTATTTAATGTAAAATATTCATTAACCAATTAAATTTTGTTAAAATAAAAATATCAACTTTTTCGACTTTTTTTGAAATATAAATCGACTAAAACGAGATTTTTGTGCGTTAAAGTCGATCCAAGGTGTGTAATTAATAAACTAATATAATAAAAAACATAAAAAATATTTAAATTACCGCAAAGAAAATTTTTTTGAAAAAATTATGCATTACCTATAAATACGAAATTATCAAAACTTTCCAAAAACAAAAGCAAATGTAATAATAATAATTTTATTTAAAAAATACGATTGCCTATTAGGTGGCCTTTACAATTGTAATTTTTGAATTCGAGTCATTCCCACACTCCAATGCAATAGGAATTTTTAAAAAAAATCACTTAATATTGAACCTTCTATCTTCTTTTTGCTACTTTTTCGTTAATTAAATGTTACGGCATCTTTTCAAAATTTTAAAAATCCATAAACTTTACAAATCTCTTGTACACACATGTAAATATGTGGAAAAAATTAGTAACCCAAAACTCCATGGAGAAGATAGAAATTATCATTTAATTAAAGTAAAATTTTTCCGTACTAAAAAAACTACGTCAACTACTACAGCTTTTAATGATTTTAAAAACAGAATATATACATTAATAAAAATTTTTTAAAAAAAATTCCTGAATAAAATAGTACAAAAAATTTTTTTATTATTGAAAAGATTAATATTTTTAGCTTTTATCTTGAATTTATTAAAAAAAAAAATTTTTGTTCATCATTGATTGTTTTGAATTTTTTTGTGTTCCTAATAAAATTAACATAATTTTCCAGATAAGAGCTGTTAAATACATGGAATGTTCAGCAATTTGATCTAAAATTATTTGATAAATTATTTTTAGTTTTTTAAAATTTAATTATTGTTTGAAAATTAACAAAATCTTTTGAAATTCAATTATTTCTAAAAATTTCAACTCTTCCAAAAATTATTATTAAAAAAATTTTCATTTAAAAATCTGTAAAACTTGATTAAGTATTGTCTGAAATTTTTTTGACTATCAAAACTATAAATTATGACAAAATTTTTAATTCGAATAAATTGTTTAAATCAGACTTGAAAAAAATTATAAAAATGGAACTTTAAGAATTTTTTTTTGAAATTTGTCCTACTTAAATAAAATTTTGAAAATTTGTCTTACAATTAGTTCGATTCTGAAATATTTAAAATAAATATTCTTGATAATATTTTTATAGAATTATTCTCATTGCAGAATTAATAATATGAATTTAATATCTAATAAGATTAGTTATTTAAAGTAATTTTTATTTATTAAATTTTGTTAAAAAAAAAATCTACTTTTTTGACTTTTTTTTTGGAATATAAATCGACTAAATTGACTGTTTTTGTGCCTTAAAGTCGATCCGAGGCCTGATAATATAATTTTGAATGATTAAAAAAATTGAAATGACGAATGAATTGAAATAAATGTTATTTTTGGTGATTACAACATTTTAATTTATTTCGACATTATTAAAAAAAATTGTAAATTATAAATAAAAGAAATTGAAAAATATAAAATGAATTTTTTTAAAATAGGTTTTAGATATGTGTGCAGCTCCAGGTTCAAAAACAGCACAATTGATAGAAATGATTCACGCTGAGGAAAAAGAAACACTTCCTGGTAGTTGAAATTATTATTTTTTTTGTTGTAAAGTTGTTTTAAATTTAAACCGGATGAAAAAAAAAATTATAATTGTTTTGTTCTTATTTTACAGAGGGCTTTGTTATAGCTAACGATTTAGATAACAATAGATGTTACATGTTAGTTCATCAAGCAAAACGATTAAGTAGTCCAAATATTCTTATCACCAATCACGATTCGTCAGTGATGCCAAATTTTACAATTACCAATCCTGATGGATCAAAGGGAATATTGAAGTAAGTTTTGAAATAATTTATTTTTCAAAAAATCATTTTTTTTAACGCTTATTTTATAAAATCCAGGTTCAACAACAATGAAACCTTTGAATTATTATAATTGTTTTTTTTTTTAATATTTCCTCCTAGTTTTTCGCGTATAGTTAGAATAATTTTAAAACTTTAAAAAAAAATCAAACAAATTTTAATAAATTCTAATTTTTATTTGAAAAATTTATATTCAAGGAAATTTTAATCTTTTCTAAATTTAATTTATCCCAATTTTTACATAACATAAAGTTGAATTAATTCTGATAATGTTATTCCTCTTAAGATATTTCTAAATGAGAGAAAGGATTAAATTTTTATAGAAAATATAATCTGAAAATTGATCGTTTATAGATTTGACAGAATTTTGGCCGACGTTCCTTGCAGTGGTGATGGAACAATGAGAAAAAATCCTGATATCTGGTGCAAGTGGAGTCCGGCAAATGGAAACAATCTTCATGGGTAAAAAACAATCTTTGTTATACTAAAATGAAAACTGTCAGTTATTTTAAAAAGGAATTTTATTATAAATTTTAATTTTGATAAATTGAAAAGAAATTTTTAATTTTATCTATATATTTAAATTATTTAATATGTGTAAATTTTTGTTAATTATTTTTAGAATACAGTATAGAATAGCGAGGAGGGGATTAGAAATGTTGACAGTTGGAGGAAGAATGGTGTATTCAACATGTTCCTTAAATCCATTAGAAAACGAAGCTGTACTTCATAGGCTTTTAACTGAAACAAACGATTCTGTTCAATTAATTGATTGTCGAGATCTTGTTCCTGGATTAAAATGCAATCCTGGTTTGTATTTTCTTTTTTTTTTTTCTAATTGGGATATTAATTTCAATCATTGAAAAGAATAAATAAATAATAAGTAAAATAATTTATCTCAGGTGTTACGAATTGGCAGCCAGCTTCGAAAAATTTACAATATTACAAAACTTGGGAAGAAGTTCCTGAGCATTGGCAAACGCAAATTCGACCAAAAATGTTCGCCCCAAATCCTGAGGATGTTGACAAATTTCATTTGGAGCGATGGTAATTTTCTTATACATAAATTTTACAAGGATAAAATTAAAAAATATTTTGCAAATAAATATAAGAATAAATTTATAATTTTTGTTACTTAAAACAATAATAATAATAATTGAAATTAATTATTTTAATATAAAATTATATGATTATTAATAATTTGGTAAATAAATAATTAAGGAAATTTTTTTTTTTTGAATTTGCAGTATGAGGATATTGCCACACCATCAGGACACGGGCGGTTTTTTTGTCGCTGTTTTAGAAAAAGTGAAACCACTGCCTTGGGAAAATAATGAAGAAACATTGAACGAAACAGTAGAGACTTCGGAAATTCAGGAAAGCAAAAGTAGCGAAGTGACAACTGTGGAAATAACTGAAGAGAGAAAAGAGGGTGATAGAAAGAGAGCTGCCTTAAACGATGACAAGAAACCTTGGGGTCCACAGAGGAAGAAGAAAAGACTCACTGGCTATCGAGAAGATCCATTTGTATTTTTCAAGGACAACAACGAAGATGTTTGGTCTTCAATAAAGTGAGAATCTCTTTATTTTTATTATTCTCTCATTTAATTCAAAGTTTCCGATATTTTTCATTCTTTAAACTTTCATTGACAAATTAATTATTAATGCGTAATAATAATAATAATAATAATAATAATAATAATAATAATTTATAATTAAAAACACAAATTTAATTTAATTTTCAAAATAACGAATTCAAATTATGATTGTTATTGTTTTCAGAGAATTTTATAACATTTCCGATGATTTAGATCCAAAATGTTTGCTCGTGAGATGTAATGAGGGTAAAAAGAAGAATATTTACTTTACATCAGCGGCAATTCGTGATATTGTTCTTTCAAATGAAAATAAAGTGAAAATGATTAACACGGGTGTAAAAACATTTGTTCGTTGTGATAATAAAAATATGAAATGTGCTTTTCGTCTAGCCCAAGAGGGAATGCCAAGTATTTTTCATTTTGTTGGCGATTTAAGAAAAATACAAATTTTAAAGGAAGATCTTATTATGTTATTGCAAAATGATGATCATCATACACCGCCAGAAATTGTTAAACTCAGTCAAAAAACTCAGGAACTCGTCAAGGATTTTGGTATTTAAATAATTATTTATTTTACAAAATATAAAAATATTTATATTATTCATTTTTCTTTTTTTAATCTATAGATGAATAATATTTGTAAATTTAAATATAATTTCAGTAAAATTATGAATTAATTGAAATTTTAGTTTTGAAATTTAAAAGAAAAGTTATTTGAAAAATAAAAATAGTAAGTTAACATTTTAATTAATAAAATTTGAAATTTTCTTTTTATGAAAGAAAGAGAAATTTTTATTATAAAATAAAATTTTATCTTGTTACAGCAACAGGAAGTTGTATATTATTGTATAGAGAAGAAGAATCAGAAAATCCGTATCCTTTGAGATTAGAAATGGTTGGATGGAGAGGAACAATGTCATTGAGAGCTTATGTTCCAATTCACGATGCTATTCATTATTTACGACTTTTAGGAGCCGATTGTTCTAAATTTGGTGAGAATTTGCAAAAAAAAATATGATTTTTAAACTTCTTTTATTAAATATTCAAAAAAAAAGTATTTTGAAAAATACCTTCTTCAAAACAAGAAATAACTGAAACTTTCTCAATTTTATGATTTAGAGAAAAACAAATTTGAAGCCAATAGGCTGCAGGCATCAAAAGTGGACGCCGAAGATGATGATAATAATGGAAATGCAGTTAAAGTGGACAAAGTCGAAAATGGATCGACAAAATCAGATGACGAGAATAAAGATTCAGAAGAAAATAATGTAACTAAATAATATTTACGTTAAAGAAACTGCGTTTCCTTGGAGAATTTCAGGTACTATCTTTTTTTTTAAATCACTGTTTCAATTTGTTTTTAAAAATAAATAGTAATAAACAAGAAAAAATGAAATAATTTCTAATTTATTCTTTATAATCATTTAACTTTTTTTTCCATAATTCCTTATTTTTTTTAGCAATTTTGAATGAAATTTTAAATACTTTATAATTAATTAGTTTGAAATAAATCAAAAATTAATTCAGTTAATAATCTAATAAAATTTTGTGTATAGGGAAATATAAAAATCGCTATTGAGTTGAATGATATTTTAATAGTCAATTTTTTTTTTTTTTTTTTTTTCTATCAAACAATGAATGTATGAAATTACAATATAATTTACTTTATAACATTTGAGCTTAAAATACCCTTGAAAGTTATTGTTCGCTGTCCTCGAGCAATATCTTAAAGATTAATGATTTTGCAAAATGGGCGGATCGAGAAAAATATCTTTTAGATGTTTGAATATTTTGCAAAAAAAAAAAAAAAAATAGTTACAGTCGATGAAAAATTCACTTGTTCTTAATTTTATTCAAATTGTATATTAAGAGTGAATTTTAAAGTATTTCAACTAATCTGCGTCAAAAATTTTAATCCTTCTACTAGATATTGAAAATTGAAATTTTTTAATAATTTTAATTGATTCAACAGATTATTATTATTATTTTTAATTTTTGAATAGTACTTAGTTTCTAATAATTGCTAATGTTACGTAAGAGGACGGGTTTTCTTTTTTACTATAAAAAGTATTTTAAACATATACATTTTCAAAAAAGAAAAAACAGATCTCAAATAGATAACAAATATACATAATATATAGATTATCAAAAAAACATAAAAAGAAATTATCAAAATTGACTAGAAGTTTTGATAAATTTAATCTAAAAATTTATTTACTGCTAGTAATCCCTTCCGGTTGGTGATGTTAATTTTCCACTGAGATTTTGTGCGTTCGACGATGATTTTGTGCCTGAAACATTATTTTCAAAAAATTACTAAATTATCATTAAAACTGTAAATAATAATAATAAATAAAAATTATTTTTGTCTTTAAAACAAAATAATAAAAATAAGTAATACCTACTAATAATTAAGAAAAATTTAATAAAAAAAAAAAATTGATTAACGATTTGGATAAATAAAAAAAAAAAAAAAACATTTTTAATTTTACGAGAAGTTAAATAATTAATGAGACTAATAGAAATAAAAATTTTGATGAATTATAATTTTAAAACGTACAAGATTTATTTGCTTTTAATCGTGGATTACTACTGCAGGGATGATCACCCATTAAGTGATCTTTCCATTTGTTTTGGTTTACCAAACCACGGCAAAGAGGACATTTTCCATAACCGTCCATTGGCTCTGAAAATATTTACAAAAAACAGTTACAACCAATCGTTACAAAATCAAATTATGTAAAAAATCAATTAAAAAGAAAAATTTTCAATAAAAAATTTTTTTTAAAATTTTTTAATGTTTTTACTTGTGCATTTTTCATCTTTTGTATGTTCCTCGAATAATTTTTCATTTACAGCCTGTTTACATGTTTCACATTTGACGTAATTATTCCTTAAATCGCATTCATCTGAAAATAAATTTCAAAAATTAATTTCAAAAACGTGAATTGTTGGACAGTTTTAATTTTGAATTTCAAAATGTTATTTTTTTTTTTATATAATTTACTTACACAGCAAATGTGAATTAAGATGAGAAATTTCAACGACTTGTTTACACGATTCGCATTTCGTTAACATTGGACAACTTCGCCAATAATGAATATTTAAACCTTCTTCCGAATAAACTTTTCCTTTTGATAAGCAAAAAATACACATTCTGAAAGAAAAATCGATTAGAATGGCAAAATTAAATATTAGTTAATAAGTTGATGTTTATTTTAAATAATTTTTTAAAAATAATTTAAAAATTAAAAGTTCTTTTTTTTGATCAGTTCATAATATTTCACCTAAAGTTGTAAATAAATTAAATTTAAAAAAAAAATTTGCCGAAAATGAATTGTAAGGATACCAAATATTTTTTAGGAATTATTCGACATTTTTAAAAATAGGCCGCAAATATTATGGATTGACCCTTTTAAATTAATTTATTATTATTGTTTACTAAATTTAATCCTTAAAAAAAAAGACGAAATTAAACTCTTTCTTTTTGAAAGAACTTGTCAAGTTTTTGAGAAAAATTGGAATTAAAATTTGAAATATTTATTAGAATTTGAAACACTAACTTGTCACCCTTGTGATCTCCACTATTATCAGAAGGAGATGTGACGCTGGTTGAACTTCCTGTACTAACTGGAGGACTTGTCCTTGGCGGAGATTTAGTTAAACTAGCAACGTTACTGTCAATTGACCTCGTTCTCGTTGGTGTCATCATTGATTTCTGACCAGTTTCCATTTCTTTCTTTCTCTATAGGAAAAAGTCAATTACACAAAAATATTAATTACATATAAGGAACAATTAAATTCCTTTCAGTTTAAAATTTTAATTTCAAAGCAATTTTTTTTTTAAAATTGAGAAAAAAAACTCGAGAAAAATTAAAAAAAAAAATTCAACTGAATAAGTTTTGCAAAAATAAGAAATTCAAAAGTACGTTACAATACTTAATTAAAAATTTAAAAGAATTGATTATAAAAACATTCTTGGAATAATAAACTATAAATTGAAGTTTTTATAAATAAAATTCCATTTATTTTACGAAGCTGAAGTACGCAACGTTTATATAAACGATTTTTAAAGAAATAATTTTTTAGAATGAAAAATTCTATAATTTTTTGCCTAAAAAATATTTCTTGTAGTTTTCATTAATCAATAAATTATAAAAAATTATTTTTTTAGGCAAAAATTTATAGAATTTTTCATTTAAAAAAAATATTTCCTTAAAAATCGTTTATATAAACGTTGCGTACTTCAGCTTCGTTTTATTTTTTAAATTCTTAGCTTATGAGAAAAAATACCTGAAGATCAATTCGATCGAATTCGTGAAATAATTGTCGATACAATAAATTTCGCCTGGTAATATCGTCATCAGGTGGAAGTTGTTTGCGCACTAATCGTGGATTTACTTTATAAACAAGAATTAAAATTCTCTCAGATACTTTTCTCACAGCTTCCGCGGGATGATGTAAACCAGATGATCCCAATTCGGATAATGTTCGACATGTTAATCCACTGCAACAATCACAATGTCTTATCAGAGTACATGAATTTTGCATTTTTCAATAAATCACGAGACGGGACCACCCGAGTCATTGACAATATTTTCAATTTAAAAAAAAAAAGTTGAACCGCAAAAAAAAAAACATATACACTTCTAAACAAACGAAAAATTTTACGGTTCAATATTTATTTTTTCTCAGCTTCACTGGAATAAAAAGATTTCTTAAATTTTGTTTCATCCAATTACAGAGAAACAATATATTATTATGGAGACATAAAATTAGAACGTCCAACAAGGGGGGTCCAAATCTCCTTTAAAAAAACGTGCATTTATTTTATTCCTCATTTTCATGTGCTTTTGTATTTTTCATAAACTTCCATTGGTTTTTACAAGAAATTGATATTTTTATTTCTTTCATTAAAAAAATAAGTTTAATGAATTATTTTTACACGAACCAGTACATAATTTTATATATTTTATATTAGAAATAATTATATAAAAAAATTGAACATTCTTAAAACAAAACAAAAATTATTAGTTACATTTTATTTATTATTTTTTCTTTAAATAAATGATCTGTTGTTTCCTAAAATTAAATTAAAATTAATTGTAAATATTTAAAATTTTGTATTAAATTAATAATTTTTTAGTTTACTTTCGAAAAAAAAAGTTTTTCAATTATTTAATTAAAATAAAATTCTTGTGATTTAAATTTTTTATTTTAAATTCAAATAAATAAAAAAAAAGTGTAAATTGATAACTGATAACATTATTTTTTTAGTATTAAATTATTATTATTATTTTTATTTACCAGTGGAAGTTTATTTTGAAAAAAAGAAAACTGGCACTTATTTGTATCACCTTTGTTTGTCCGTTGATATTCCATGATTTAAAATAAGTTGTTCGACCATTTCAAGTCTACTGAGTGCCAATCTCTGATGAGTACTACTGCTGACAGTTCGCGTTAAATGAACAGGAATAATATGTAAATCACGAACACATTGACAATCGGCCATACTTAAAATTGTATGAACAGCCATATTATGAATACGCGGTGTTGTATCGCCTGATTTTGTCAAAAGTTCCGGCAATAATCGATCCACACTTCTAGCAATTTCCGTCGATGAAACTCTGTAAACAAAATTAATTTTTTATATTATCATTATAATTTTATATCAATTATAAGCAATTTTTAATTTTATCAAAGAATTTACAATTTATTGTAATTAATAAAAAAATTTTTTTTTTAGAAATTTTTTTCTTTTTATTTATTGAGAAAAGAAAATGTTTTAAAAATAAATAAATAAAATAAAAATTTCGTTTATTAAAATATTATTATACCTATTGGTAGCGTATTCAGAAAAAAATATCCTAATAAGTTGTGCAGCTAAACTATAAACACTGAAAACTTTGTCCCTAAGTGCTCGATGTAAGAGTAAAATTGCTGCCCTCGCTGTTTTATTAGCTGAATGTTTTGACGTGGTTAGATCAAAATCTTTTAGTTCTTGTTTAAGTAACATTAGTCCTTCCTCTTTGTCGGTGAATTGTTTTGAGTAAAATTTTTCCACCTGAAAAAAAAATTTACATTATTGTTGCGTGAGAAAAGCTAATTTGCTATATATATTTCTATTTTAATTTATTTTTATTATGTCAATCGCTGACGCTGATCGCTTATTTATCGATGATTTTAAAAAATTATAATACTTTCATCGAATGATTTTGAATGTATCAAGATATCATAAAACAAAAAGAATTTTATTGAAAAATATAAATTTAAAGTATATGAGTAGAAAATTCAGCCAGTAGAAGATATTAAAAAAAAAAAAAACGTACAATTTATTGCAAAAGTGTAATTTTTTTTTTTGAAATTTATTAACAATGACTAAATTTAATAATATAAATTGATAAAAGTATTTAAGAGAAAGTTATTGAATTAAAATAAAAATTTAAACATAAAGTAAATAGAAATAATTAAAAGGCGACTAGAAAATTTTAATATTTGTTTAATAAAATTATTATTATTTAACAAATATAAGGACCATCAATATTGTTAAAATTTTCCGCATCTAATAATTATTTCTATTATTTTTTCTTTTGGTAAAATTTTAATACATACCATGTCCATGCCAAAAACGGCTATCGGCAAAGCTGCTTGTTTTTTTTCTCTGTCATTGAGTTTGGATGGAATTTTTGTATCCGCACCGTCCGTATGACATTCTCTTGTAAATTCATTTGTGTGTGAACTAAAAAAAATATCCAATTTTTTTTTTATCAATTTACTAATTATTATCTTAACATTTTTGTTGTGTGTTTTTATATTTTATTTATAGATTGCTGTTTATTGTTTTATTAGTTTTATTACTGGAAATTTTATTCATGAATAACAAAATTTATTGAAAAAAAAGAAGACAAAGTAGAAATTTAATTGAATAAAATAAATAAAATATAGTTAGGCTATAACTTTGAAAATATATTTAATTAATTTTCAATTCTATAGTATTTTGAAATTGATGATTTTATTTACTGTCTCAAAGCAGGAATAGTTCTTTCTTCGTAAGCCTCGTAGCTTGATCTAAGAGCCGGTCCCGCCGACTTTATTTTTCTCCTTTGCAAAGAACCCTTATAATCTCTTTGTCTTTCTAAAACTCCATTTGGCGGACTACTAGTGACATCTGAAATTAAATTTTATTATTTATATATATATTTATGAATAATTATTGAATTTAAAATTCAAGAAAGTTTTATTTCATTATTTGTTTAGTATTTGTGTGATAAATTTTCTTTAAATTTCAAAAATGAGCGAAATTTGAATTTTTTTTTGTCAAACTTTATTTTTAGAAAAAGCAAAATGAAAATACATACCTGGACTTTGATTTTTTTGGCGTAACGGTGAAATTGGCTGCGAATGTGGAGGACCAGTTGGTGAAATAGTTCCTTCACGATTTGGCGGAATTGTCAATCGGGGCAAAGTATTCGTATCGTCTGAACCGGAAACTGCACCAGTTCCATAAATTTCCAAAGGAATTGTTTCCTTCTCTTCAACTATTGAAAGATTATTTTTCTCCAATGGCTAGAAAAGAAATTCAAGACAACTCGTATAAAATAATTAACTATTTTTTCTTCTCTGGATGATTTTACATGAATAATTATAATATAATTTAATAAAACAAAATTTAAAAACAAAAAACAAAAAGTAAGAAACAAATTTATAAAATTAAATTAAAATTGAATTGTATAATTAAATTGTCTGAAATTATTGAATTATTAAAGAAATAAAAATGTACATACTCCATTAACTTCGAGTAAATCTTCAATTTCCAAACTTTCGTAAACTTGTTGTCGATATTTTTGTGCTTGTGCTTTTTTGGCCTTCGCTTTATCATAATCCTCAAGTGCTATTGCATATTTTTTTTCCAATTCATATTTTCCTAATCGTTCACCCGCCTTTCTTAGATTTTCCATTGCTACTTTCAATTTTGATGCATATTCAAATCTTTCCTCTTAAAAAGGGGGGGAAAAAAATCAAATTTTAGACTTTTCGACGATTTTACGAATCTAATAGTTACATATTCTTTGAATTCAAGATGTAAAAAGAAATTTCCGATTATTTTCTCAATTTTAATTTCACTTTGAATACTTTATTTTTTTCCATTTCTTGATAATTTTTTTTTCATTTTTCCAATTTTTAAAATTTTTATTACACTTATTAATTAATAATATTTTTTATTATATTTTCTATATTATAAATAAGAATATATAAATTAATATTACAGGCCTCGGATCGACTTTAACGCGCAAAAAAGTCGATTTTTTAATTTAATTACATTTAATTAGTTAATTAAATATCTAATGTTATTGTATATTATATTTAATTCATTTTTTCATTCTTTATAAGAATAATTCTACAAGAATATTATCAAGAAAATTTCTTTCGAATATTTCAAAACCGAATTAAGACAAATTTTGAAAATTTTAATTAAGTAGGACGAATTTCTAAAAAAAAACAAAATAATTTAAAGTTCTATTTTAAACATTTTTTAAAGTCTGATTTAAGCAAATAACTCGAATTTAAAATTTTTGCATAATTTTTAGTTCTAATAGTAAAAAAAAAAAATTCCGGAATATAATTAAATTGAAACTTTTTTAAATAATTAAATTTTTAAATAAATATTAAAATTATTAAAAATAATAATTAAATTTTGAAAGAATTACAGTTGAAATTTTTAGAAATAATTGAATTTCAAAAGATTTTGTAAAATTTTACAGAATTGAAACAAAGCTGAAGTATACGCAACGTTTATGATAAACGATTTTTAAAGAAATAATTTTTTAAAATGAAAAATTCTCTAATTTTTTGCCCAAAAAAATATTTCTTGTTGTTTTCATTAATCAACAAATTATAAAAAAAAAACAACTATTTTTTAGGCAAAAAATTATAGAATTTTTCATTTTAAAAAATTATTTCTTTAAAAATCGTTTATCATAAACGTTTGCGTACTTCAGCTTAGTGAATTGAAAATAATTTATCAAAATAATTTTAGATAACCTTTTTTTAAAAATAATTGAATTGAAAATATTTTAAGATATAATTGAATTTGTAAAGATTTTCATTCAAATTATTGAAAATAATTAATTTAGAGAATAATTTTAGTTAAAAATTTGTTAAATAATTGAAATAAAAAAAAAAAGATCTAAAGATTTTTATTGTATAATAAAAAAAATGTATTTTGTTTAAAAATTTTGTAAATAAAAAGAAAAAAAAAAAAAAGTTGAAAAAGTCGATTATTAAAATAAGTCGAGAAAAATTCGTATAATTCGAGGCCTGATATTATTTTTAAATTTTCTTTAAAATTTTTATATTACATTATTTTTTCTTCTTTCATTTACAAAGAAAAAAAAAAAATATTGGAATATAAGCAAAAAAAAAAAAAAATTATTTGCGAATTATTTTTATTACCTTCAACAGCTTGAAGCTTTTTTGTTTCCATTTTTCGAATGATATTGGCAGCCTCTCGATCGACGTACATTTCAAATGCCAAATCGTCATAAGGCGACGTATAATGAGGATTATATGGAGCATCTCCTTGGCCGCTTAATTCCTGACCAAAAGGTTCACCCAAAATGTTAATGGCAATGAGACCCACCTTAGAAAGTTTAAAAATTTTCATTATTATTATTATAATATTATACCTCAAACAATGAAGAAGCACTAAAAGAAAATAATTTCAAAATTTAATTAAAAATCGAAATACAAAAAAAAAATTAATTTTCATAAATTAAAATTAAATAAAATAATTCAAAAAAATAAAATTTTAATAAGAATCACAATTTTGAAAATTTTTTTTCATCTAAATTTTAGATTTCCAAAATTTAATTATTTTTTTAATAGTGGTTTAATTTCTAAAGAAAAAAAAAATCTATTTTCTAAATAAATAATACAAATAAAGAATTTAAAAGAAAAACAAATAAATAACTCACCTGCTCGTGAATATTATGTGAATTACTATGGGGTTTATGGAGTTTAAATTTAAGCGAGACGGTTTCTGTTTCCGGAAGTGCAACACTTTTTAATTCTCTACTTTTATACATTGTCGATGCATTATCGGAAAGTGTGATATATCCTAAATAATCAAAATCCCTCGACGATGAACCATTTTCTCGAGATGCCCAAATTTCCAATTTTTGAGCTTAAAAAAAAAACAACAAAAAATAGGTAATTTAAATTTTATTAAACAAAAATATTAATTAATTGAATTATTAAATTATTATTTCACAAATGTTAATATAATAATAATAATAATAATAATAATAATAATAATAAATGATAAAAATTATAGAAAATTTTATGAACAAACTTACGAATTAAATATTGATGAACCAAAACTTGTATTCTGGTTAGTTTCGCGGGTCCATGAAGACGAAGAATAAGTTCTTGAGGATAAATGCATTTTCTTGCACTTTGCCATCCTCGAACTGTTGGTCCATGGATATTTAATTCCAAAGACGAATGTCGTTCTTCTTCACCTGATTAATTAATTACGCAATTATATGTAAAAAGTTTTTTTTGAAACTACTTTTAATTCACTTATTTTTAAAAATAATAAAAAAAAAAAATTTTTTTAACCTAAAATTAAAATTTAATTAATTTTAAAAAAAATATTTAAAAAGTAACTAAAAAAAAATTTTTTTTTTTAATTTCTTTCTAGTACTATATTTTTTGATTAAAAAAAATTAATTAATTAAAAAAAATTAAAAGGTTTCTTGATTATTTTTTTTCTTTTATTTCGTAAATTTAATTCTTATCAGATATATTGTGCCAAGGTTTTAACAAATCCATAAGTGCCACCTGGCACTGAACTCATTAATTGCAAAACTTTGCCAAACGTTTATTATACTCAATAATATTTGATTTGACACCACATTCAAAATTATATTGCCATAATTATATTGTAAACGGGGGGGTTTTTTTTTTAAGTTTAAATATAATTAATTAAATTTTTTTGTAACTTTTTTTTATGTTTTCAATTTTTAATTGTAAAAGAAATTTCAAAATTTATATTTTACGTTTTGTTTTTCAATTGATTACAGTTTATTTTGATTGATAGGACGAGGAAAAAACATCATAAAATCATAATTTGAAATTAATAAGTTTAATGTTTACTAGAATTTTGTTATTGAAAACACATTAATTTTAATATATTGGAAAAATTTACAAAGAAAATGCAATTATAATATTGAAATCAATTAATTAAATTTAGATTTCAATATTCAAAATTAATTTATTTACACAATTTATTCCACAGAATTGAAATTAAAAAATAACCAAAAAATAAAGAGTAAATTTCGCTTTTTAGAAATTTTTTTAATTAAAAAAAAAAAAAGAATTGAAACATTTTTGCGAAATTGTTCACCCCACAAGAAAAGAGGTTAAATTGTATTTAAATGTTTGATGAAATAATAAATATGTATAAAGAATGTTTTCTTACTCGTGGCATGTACAACATTGAATCCAATTTTTCTAGGCATGCTGAAAAATTTGCCCTCAACCCCCACCCCCCAAAAAAAGAACTAAATATGCGAAACAATTTTTTTTTGTTTATCTCTTTTTTAAATATACACGACAAAACTAACGGAAACGTCAAATGTGAAAGGCACAGCCATTTGAAAGCTCTTTACGCGGAGCTTGCAAAGCTTCGAACATCCACTCACTACGAAGCTTGGGGCAAAACTGATGCCGGAACAGCTTCGATCTATCATTGCGCAGCCTAAACGGCTTTTAATATATTAAAAAAATTAGATCGTATATGTCATTATTATTATATTGTCAATAATTGCGAAAAAAAAGCTAATTTCAATTCTTCTATAAAAAAAAAGAAATTATGATTTTTAATTACAAATTTTTATTATATTTTTTTTGCAAATTTTTTTTTCTTAAAATGTTATAGAAATAAAGATAATAACAACAATAATATATAGGAGAAAAATAAAACAACAAATAAAAGAAAATTTAAAAGAAATTTTTGAGGTTAAAAATTCTTGATAAAATATAATTTTTTCATTTACAATACAGGTGTTAATACTTCTATTGTTATTTAATTTTATTTTTCTATTTATTGTTAAGTGTAGAAAAAATAAAAATAATTTTAAAAAACAATGATTAAATAAATAATAGAAAATAAAAAAGTTGGCAAATAATAACAAAAGGGAAGCAAAAATATTAATTTAACTTAAAATTTAATCTGTAATATTTTTATTATTTATTTTTCAAAATTTAATATTATAAATTGTATTAAATATCTCGCAATATTTATTATAACTTTTTTTTCTGTTCAAAACTATTTCGACGAAATTCATTTTAAACATAATTACGATATTTATTTTTGCAGAAAAAAGAATGAGAATTTCATTGAAATTCTCTTTTGTAATAAAAAAAAAAAAAAGGGAGGTTGGTTTAGAGTCGATACTTTTTGGGCTTGGCGAATGTAGCTCTTTGTATATATCTAATCGAGGGTAATTTTTTTTTTTTGGGTCGTCACACTTATGTTTTCTTGAAATTTTTGTGCGCGGATCAGGGGTAGGGGTGTTCAACTAACAGGTCGTGATTTCTCTCCCTATAGACTCCCTCAGTTTTTATTAAGGACCCTATATCTGAAGATAATGTTGACGGATATTGCCAAAAGGGCAGTGCCGTCTGCGCGCGTCAAAATATAGACGGTAATTTTAGCAAATGGATCAATAAAAGAGGAGTTTGCAAGAACGAGACCATGCGAATCATAACATACATACTACGCCGCATCCACGTGCATCTCAATCACGTGTGTGTTATTTACAAAATTGGCTATACAAAATAGAATATTCCCAAAGAGAGAAAAAAAAAGTATTGATTCTTCTTCTGTTTGTCTTTATAAAATATTGACATTTTACAATAATTTTTATTTTTTTTATTTCTTAGCCATAACATAACCTAAAACTTAATATAATTTCAAAAACTAGTTTAATTTTCATACACTGTAAAAAAAATTTTGTGTCGATTTACACGCCGAATGTAAAATAACTTATTCAACAATGTTAATTTATTATGCTTTGTAAATTTATAACGTTAAAAATTTTAATTTTACACTGCTGAACGTTGTGAATTCACACGGTTGTGTAATTTTACAATGTTGGACATTGGAAAGTACTGACTTGAAAATATCTTTATTATCAAATAAAATAACATTTATACATAGTACAGTTAATGTCTTAAAATATACAAGGACTCTATCTTTACAATATCTGCCTTTAGTAGTTTTATTCTAATAATATTTTATTATAAATTTTAAAAGATGCTAACATATCATATATTATAAAATTTTTTATCAGTAAAAATTTTTAATAAAAACCTGATTAATTAGAAAAGTATTGGAAAGTATGGCCACATATGTATGTATATATCTGAGGCACGGACGTTGTGAACCTAGGTGGGAGAAAGAGTTGAGCGATTGGACGGTCACATCTTGGAAAGGGTAAAATTCTGAAATTACACCGTCCGACAAAATTCAATTTTTTTTTGACCCACAAAAAAAAATCCAACATTTTCGGAAACTAGGACCCAAAAAAATACCTGTGTCTGGCTGTTTTGCTAGATCAAGTCGTTTGTGGTTTTTAGGGGTAAAAACAGCCCCGAAATAAAAAGTAACAAGATATCTTTTAAAAATTATTAATATTTTATAAAACTTGGTAGGTATCTGGGGGTTTTCGGGGTCGCTGATTATTAATCTGATGTCAGATTTTCAGAATTCAAAATAGCGGATTCAATATGGCGGTCAAAATTTTAAAAAGTTATTAAATTTTTTTTAAACCTTGGTATCTAGGGATTTTTTGGGTCACTGATGACGAATCTGATGTTAAATTTTTAAAATTCAAAATGGCAAATATAAAATAAAAAAATTAATAACTTTTTAAAAATTTGATCGCTATATTGGATCCGCCATTTTGAATTTTGAAAATCTTACATCAGATTAATAATCAGTGACCCTGAAAACCCCCAGATATGTACCAAGTTTTATAAAATATTAATAATTTTTAAAAGATATCTTGTCACTTTTCATTTATAGGGGTTGTTTTCACCCCTAAAAACCACAAAATTTTTTTTACGAAAATTTTACGAAAATGTTAAATTTTTTGTGGGTCAAAAATTGTGTCGGACGGTGTTATACCCCCACCAGAGGACAGAGACTAGGTCTTTTACCCCTTCCCACACTATTTCTCCCACCTAGGTTCTCAACGTCCGTGCCTATTTACCTTTTTACCCAAACAAAGAATATATAAATATTATTAAATATATAAACTTTAATAAAATAAAGAAACATTCAGATAAGTTACTTAAAATAACAGGCGCTGAATATATATCTTAGAATTAAAAAATTTTTGTATAACTTTAATGTACAACTCTCAATGATAAATAAATATGGTTTTCAAAGTCAAAGTCAACGTCCGTGCCTCAGATATACTCAAATGGTTTTTTTTCGTAACCTTGAGAAAATTGTTGTTTCAGTGTAATTTCCATTTTATTATAATTATTAATATTATTCATATTATTAGTCAAATACGGTGTCAGGCTGTAGTTTTATATATAAATTTTCCATTTCCACATAGAAAAAGAACAATTTTTATTTTCTATTTTAAAAAAGGCTGTCGCAAATTTGTCAATAGTTACGTACATTTTCATGTTTGTTTACATTTGACGAGTTGCACTTGGCCTTAAAAAGAATGATTAACTTTATAAAAATCGATTATTTAAACGATTATTTCAATTGGGGCGCGTTTGTATCAATTTCGGTGTCCAAAATTATGTGTATTTTAATAAGATACTTTGCCCGCCGAAACTGGAGCCATATGAAAATCTTAAAAATGTTTCAATTGCGACGCGGAAAAAAATTTGATCTCAAATAATTAAATTAATAATTGTTTAAATGTGCATCTTTATAAGTAATTGTATCAAAAAAAGATTAAAATAATTTTTTTTATTCATTTTGCAAACAGTTATATTAAATATAATAATAATAATAGTTATTTTTTATGAACGCGCTGTAATTGATGCACTCGCCGTAATTGGTACACTTATCCTATTGTGAATTATATGAAAATTAAAAAAAAAAATTTTTATCTATTTTAGAAATTTTATTTTTTTGAAAATATGAAAATTCTTAAAAATCCACACGATTTATTGTTCAGAATCATAAAAAAAAGCCTTAAAAAAATTGCCGATAAAAAATAATAAAAATTGTAGAAGAAGTTAAATTTTTAAGAAATAATTGATAAAATTTAAGCCAAACATAATTGCTTTTGTTTAAGTGTAAATTTTTAAAAAAATTTTTTAGAACTTCAAATCATATTTCACTATAAAAAATGAAAGAAAATAATTTTTAACAATTTTATAATTTTTTTTGTTATTTTTCAGAAATTTTATTTTTTGAAAAAATTGAAAAAAATTTCGAGTTTTATTTAAAAAATTATTCACGAATTAATTATTTTTCAATTTTCCATATAGTATATTACAGTTTTAAATACTCAATATTGTTAGAAAAAAAAATTTACAACCTTTAACAGCCTTAATTTCGAAAAGTTGAAATTTCAATGGTTCCTCCCCTTAATACTTTAATTTCTTAGTTTTTTTTTTTCCTCTAAAAAGTAATTTTTTCTCAAAACCAAAGTCATCAATTATTGAAAAAATTTTTAATACAGTCATTAGGGAATTTTTTTCCCATTTTTTCGGGATTAGTATTTTTTGTTCAAATAATATTTTCAATTATTTTGAAGCTAAAAGTTTATATTATTTATTTTGAGGCCAAAAAAGAAAAAAAATTTCTAATTTATTAGTGATTTTATAAGAAAAAAAAATGTTTTCAAAAATCGATGACATGGGTTTTTATAAAAAAAAAAAAAGTAAAAAAGGAGACAAATCATCAAAATAGGTGAAAAAGATGAAACAATTCCAACAATTTTGGTTAGGATTTTTTTTTTTAAATAACTTGTGCCCAATTTTTTTTTTTTTTGAATAAAATCATTTTTTTTTTTTATTAAAAATACGAGGCATATGTGTATAAATTGGAGGAATGTTTTATCAGTCAGAATTTTTCACTGTGTAAGCGAAGTGAAAAATAAATATAAAAGTCCCCGAGCAAATTGAATGATTTCGGAGCCTCCTAATTTTGATTCTCCGTAAACACGATCGACAAATGTTATTGGCACTTCGCCAATTGTGTATCCAAATTGTCGTGCTTTCACCATCATTTCCATTTGAAACACGTAGCCCTTTGAGACGCACGATTGGGTGAGCTTTTCCAAAACTTCTTTTTTGTAAAGTCTACAAAGAAATCAATATTTAATTAATACAATAAAGTAACTAATTAATTAGTAACGAAATTAATCCTTAAAAATTATAAGATTATGCCAATGCTGAAGTACGCAATGTTTATGATCAACGATTAGAAATTAATTTTTATTTAACACGGAAATTTATAAAAATTGTATACCTTAAAAAAAATAATTTTATAATTTGTTGATTAATAAAAATTACAAGAAATATTTTTCAGGCTAAAAATTATATAATTTTTCATTTTAAAAAATTATTTCTTTAAAAAATAATTTGTCATATAAACATTGGGTACTTCAGCTTCGTAGATTATGCACAATATTTTCTACATAATAGTAACATAATAATTAAAAAATTAATATAAAAAACAAATTTTTATATAATTATTATTTATTTATTTTGTTTTCCAACCTGAAGCTTCCGGTAAGATCACTGACGCCTGGTCTCAATAAAAATTGTGTCAAAAAATTGGCACCGCAACTTATTAATTTTCTAGTAAAATCCCAACCATAAACACCGCCATTTCCTGCATATCTTGTTCCCGTGACAATATCAAAATTAAATTCCTGTTGTTTCTTAATCATTTCGGAAATAAATTTTGGCTGAAATTTATTTATTTATTAATTAAAAATAGTAATTAAAAATCTGAAAAATTTTTGTTTTGTTTTTTTTTTTTTTTTTTTGGCTTACGTGATGTGACAAATCAGCATCCATAATTATTATAAAATTTCCAGTAGCATGTTTAATGCCATGAAGATAAGCAGTGCCAAGACCGAGTTTTTTTTCTCTTGGCCTGAGAACAATTTTTTCCTTTCCGTAAAGCATTTGTAATTGCTGGGCCATTTCCAAAGTACCATCGGGTGAGCCATCGTCAATTACAATTATTTCATATTCAAAATCACTATAGAAATTAGAAATTATTTTTTTTTCTATTTTTATAAGAATTTTACGATGTTTTTATTTATTTTTTTTTCAAATATATATATATTGAAATTTTTCTATTAGAAATTAATAAATAAATATAATATATAAAAAATTATTCTATACCTAAATAAATGTATTAATATTTGTAGAAAATTGATTGAAAAAATTTGTGATTGCTAATAATATATAAAATAATAATGATAATTTTTAATAATTTCGAAGCTCAAGTACTCAACGTTTATGATAAACGATTTTTAAAGAAAAAATTTTTTTAAATGAAAAATTCTATAATTTTTTTGCCTAAACAATTTTTTTTCTTGTAATTTTCATTCAACAAATTATAAAAAAAAAAATTTTTTAGGCAAAAAATTATAGAATTTTTATTTAAAAAAATTATTTATAATAAACGTTGTGTACTTCAGCTTCGTTTAATTTTAAACTTTTAAAATAATAATAATTACTGTTATTATTAAATAAATAATAATTATAATTTTTTATTTTAGAAATTGTAAAAATAATTATAAAACAAAATAATAACAATTAGAAATAAAAAAAAATAATTGTCTATTAAATATTTATTTTAAAAATTGAAAAAACAGAAAAATATCAGTAAGGTAAAATAAAAAAAAAATTTATAACATTTATGACAAAAAATACCTTAAATTTTATGTCAATTTATATATAAAAATTCATAAAAAAATTTTCCAATCTAAAACATTTATCGTTTTCAAAAAAAAAATAATAAATTTTGAGGTTATGTTTACTTACCATTTATTCAAACTTTGAACAATAAGCCAAACAATTATTGGTAAATTTTCAATTTCATTATAAGTTGGAAGTAAAATTGAATATTTATTTTCTGTTTTTAATTTTTTATCATTCTTTTCTTCATCCATTTCGATAATATTTTTTGTTCAAAATTTATTTAGTTATATATATTTTTAATATTTGTTAAAATATATATAATTTTCACTTAAAAATATTCAGTGAAAATTAATCATTATACTAAATATTCCTTACAACTTTTTTTTTCCCCTTATAAAATCTCATAAATTTTTTATACTAAAATAAAATTAAAAATATGTTTATATAAAAATTTTTGACACGTTTATGTTGATCTTTAATTTTAGTTCTGGAAAATGTGTGTAGAAGCATTTGTAGATGTCGCTGTTTTTCAAAGGAAAATGACACGTGGAAATTCTATTTGACAGCTGTCAGTAGTGTTTGTTTCCCAAACTGTATAATTACTTTAACAATTTTGCATTTAGTGATTAAAAAAAAGGCATTAAATATTAATTTATTATACATTGTTGACTCTAATGGCATGAGAGAGAGAAATTTTAATTATCTGCTTCTAAGGTTCATGTCAACCATTAAAAAAAAAAAAAAATGATCATTTTTTCTTTATAAAATGAGCGACTAGAAAATTGGAAAATAAACACAATTATGGGAAAAACAACACGTGTTGTGGTTTGTGGAATGAAAGGTGTAGGCAAAACTGCTCTTTTGGAGCAACTCATTTACGGAAATGTAACTTCAAAAACTGTAAGTTTATATAGGTTATGTTTCTCGTAATTTATTTAAATTCTATACTTTTTATAATTTTCTACTTTTGTTTTTTAAATTTTACAGTATCAATTATTATCAGCAAAAAAAACATTTGTACAATGTAATTTCTGTTTAATAATATTTAATTTTTTAATAAATTTTCTTTTATAATATTAAACGTCGGTGAAGTTCACAACGTTTATGATATCAATGATTGAGAAGAGAAATTATTTTTCTATGCAAATTATTTATTTATTAAAAAAATTTTTTGCAACGTTTCTTGATCAATTATTATTTGAAAAAAAAATTGTAGGCAAAAAATATTTTTTTTTTTTCAATCGTTGATCGTAATATTAATTTATACTCTAGAATATTTTTTCCCAATTATTTTAGTCTATTAAATTAAAAAAAAATTTATTTTATAATTATTTCAAATTAAATATAGTAATTTTAATTGAAATAATAAAAACTATATTTAATTATTTCACATCGATATTAATAATTCCATATATATATATATAGGAAATACATCCGACAATTGAGGATATTTATGTGGCAAATATTGAATCGGATCGTGGAACAAAGGAAAAAGTACGATTTTACGATACAGCTGGATTAGAACCAATGCACAATAATACAAATAATCAACAATTACCAAGGCATTATCTTGGTTTTGCCGATGGTTATATTTTAGTTTATGACACAACAAAACCCGAGTCACTCGATGTTTTGTTACCATTAAAAAAGGATATTGACAAAAATAAAGACAAAAAGGAAATAACAATAATTGTCATTGGCAATAAAACAAGAAATGAACCTGAAATGCAAACATTAGAAAATACAGCGAATAAAGCAATAAATTGGTGTACACGTGAAAAAGTGCGACATTTTGAAGTTAATATTATTGATAGAACAAGTTTATATGAGGCATTTATTTATTTATCATCGCGATTAAATCCACCATTAAATAAAAGTACATTTCCCCAATTAAGTATGGGACGAAAAAATACACGAACCGAAACCACTTGATGGTTTATTGGTGATTTGATATATTTTTTATTCCCATGGAGACCGAATCTCAAGTTTTAATTTTTTTTTTTTTTTTACATAAATTTTCAAAATATTTTTTATTGTTTACAAATAATTACGCTTTCTATTTTTTTTTCGCGGTAATTTTTTTTTTTATCGTTTTTTCTTTCAATTGTTTCTCTTTAGATCTTTTTTTTCTATATTAAAAAAAATATTTTAAAAATAATCTATCGTAAATGATAAGAAATAATTTTTAATAAGTGTACTTAATTTTTTTTTCTCGGAAATAATAAAAATTTTCAAGCATTTATTGATAATCCGTTATCACAGATTGTCAATATCTTTTCATGTTTTTTCGATTTAGTTAACTTTTTCTTTTTTTTTTGATGAATTGTTACTTTTTCAACTTCTTGTAATCAAAAATATGGAAATTTAACAAAAAAAAAATTGTTTTTTTCTTTGGTCTATTTTCAGAAATATTTTGATTACAGTAGAAGTAAAAAGACGATTTAATATTAAAAAAAAAAAAAAAATTAACTTTTTTTTTGAAAAGAAAAGGTATGTGCTGTGATGCCTGTAATAAAATTACTGATTATCGATTAAAAATTAATTATTATTTTTAACAATTAACTAATTATTAATGATATTAATAATTTTTTAATTTATATATTTTATTACCTCTGTTTAGGCATTTTTTATATATATAATATATTTATATTCTCTGCAAATACGTTCCTTTTGTGTACTTAATAATGTTGATATTTATTATAAACATATAATGTTATATTCATTTTACATGAAAATTTATATATACATAAAATTTTTATATTTTATTTATATAGAAATTTAGTTTTTATAAAAAAAAAATTTCCTTATCCGATAAATGATACTATTTATCATTAAAATTTGTTGCATATTATTAATTAGTATATATTGACATCGAGGAATTAAAAAAAAAAAATGAAATCAATACGTTATTGAAAATAATATTTTATTACAAAAAAAATTTCATTTTTAATTTATATAAATTAATATTTCACTGTGATTGACTTTGGTATATGAAGTTTTTTTTTCAAATTACAAGTTAATAATAATAATAGTTATAAGCCACAACATGACATGCATTTTTTTGTTTTATATTCTACATTTTAAATTAAATTATAATATCTTTTATTTTACACTGTATAAAAAGAAACAAAAAAAAAAAAAAATGTCAAAAATAAAGTAATTTTTTGAAAAAAAATAAATTCTTTTATTTACCATTCAATAGACTTTGCGAGTCTTCGTAAATGAATTATAGTTTCAAAGATATAGTCCCAGAGTTTTGTGCTTATTCCAAAACCTAAAATTAAAAACAAATTTTTTTTTTTAATAAAAATAATTTTTTATAAATATAAGTAATTATTTTATTATTTTTTTATCACGATTAGAAAATTATAAATGTGTTTAGCAATTATTATTATTATTTGTTATTTTTCAGTACATATATAGGTACTTTAAAAATAATAGTGCAATATAAAAATTGTAAAAATAAAAAAAAAAGAAATTATTAAAATTTATTTTCCATTTATTCTCAGTTATTAATTTATTTTTATGTAAATTTAATTTCACTCAGTTTAAAAAAAAATGTTTTTTATTTATATTCTTTAAATATTTTTCTTATTTTAAAAAAAAATAATTTTAAACTACTTTGGATAAATTATAAACGATTGTTGTAATAAATTATCAAAAATAAAATATTTTAAATTCTAATTAAATTTTGTTTTAAAAATAAGACTTTGTTTATTTGCGTTTTTTTTTTGTTTAAAATAATTAAATTTATTAAATAGAATTAATAACATTTAATTACCGATATCATGGTGTGAAAAATGATGATAATTATGATAACGTTTCATATCATAGAGATAAGTATCAGCCTTGGGAGAACCATGATGCAAATAATAGTGCATTAAATCGTAACATAAATATCCTGAAATGTAAAATTCAAAATTATTTATTGAATTTAATAATTAATATTATTAATACTATTTCATTTAAATTTAATAATATAATCATCAATATATTATATATTATCATTTCTTATCAATTTTAATAATAATAATAATAATAATAAAAATAATGATAATAATGTTCTTTTTTAAACAAACCTGTTAATGCACCCGATAATACAAAATGCATAAATAATTGAGGGAATAATAATTTATACAAATTAAATAAAATAAATGCAATTATTGCAGCAGGTAAAGGTGGAAAAACCAGTCTTTGATTATCGAAAGGTGCCTGAAAAAATAATTTTATTATAATAGCCACTTAGAATTTGACAAAAACACAAATATGATATAAATAAATTAAAAAAATTAATAATTAAAAAAAAAATTTTTTTTAATTATTTTTGTGGTAATTTAATAAATTAAATAAAACTTTACAAATACATTTAGAAAATTTAAGAAATAACAAAAAAATATTTTAAAAGTATTAAAAAAAAAAAAATACCTTGTGATGAACTCCATGTAAAATAAAATGCAGAGTAATGAGAAATTTGGAATTCGATGGTGGTTTCATGTGAAATAATTTTCGATGTAAACTATATTCAAGAAAGGTCCACAACAAAATTCCACAGGAAAAGGCAATAAAAATTTTAGGCAAAAAATAAACTGAAAAAAAAAATGAAAAAGATTTTTTATTGTATTTCTTTTTTTTTACATTTATTTTATATTTATTTATTATTTATTTTATTTTACAAAATAAAATTATGTAAAAAAATTTACATTATAAGTTATATTGAATGCAAAAAAACAAAAAATATATATTTTTTTAATTTAGTTTGAATAAAAATTTAATTAAAATTTTTCCAATGAATTTAAAATTTATAATTTTAAAAAGATATTAAAAAAAAAAATAACATTTAAAAATAATCAATTTTTTCTTACTGAAATGACCTGAAGTATTTGTCAAGCATCCGAGATAAAAATAATAGAGTGATATTGGTATCCATACGATTGGTACAATAAACCAAGGGGTGACTGTAATACTTTCCAAAAAATTTGAGCGAAAAAGACGAATTGATCGATTTACTGGTAGATTCACCCATTTCCAATAATTTTCAGCCAGTGAACCCACTTGATATAAAATTGGTGAATTCCAATCAATAAGCCTCTGAAATGAGAAAAAGTTTTCATAAATAATAATAATAAATATTAAAGAAATAATATAGAGAAAAAAATTGGAATTTTTAAATTTGAATTAATATTCCGCCAATGAAATTCGAATCTATATATGCGCAGTTTGTATACAATTCTTTACATCAAATTAACAATTATTTTCTAAAAATATTAAATTTCACGAAAATTCGTTTCATGAATTTATGAATTTTTTTATAAAAAGTTTTTGCTTTCAATAATTTAATGTTTAATTTTATTAGTTAAATTAATTATTTTAAAATGTGCCTTTTATTTGTATTATCAGTCATTCATTTGATATTAGTGGTTTAAGGGTATGTCCAATATGTGAAATGTAAACAAACCATGCACATTTTTTCGCACTTCTCATTTGTGTAGAAAATAAAAATTTGTCGTTTTCTTTGTGAAAATGGTAAATTTATATATTAGACTAGATAACTATACTATATTGAACTAATTATGTGAACAAATAAGTATAATTATAATGAAATGAAAAGTACACTGAAATATCAATTTTTTCAAGGTTACGAAAAATTTAAGCATTCGAGTTTATCTGAGGCGCGGACGTTGAGGACCAAGGTGGGAGAAAGTGAAAGAAGGGGTAAAATTTCAGAATTTTACCCTTTCCAAGATGTGACCGTCCAATGGCTCAACTCTTTCTCTCACCTAGGTGCTCAACGTCCGTGCCTCAGATTTACTCAAATGGTTTTTTTTTCGTTTTAAGAAGGTTTGTTATTATATTTTATAATTAGTACATTTAATAAAAAGAAAAATAATAATTAATAATGTAAATAAATTTCAGGTACACAGTTCTTCTAAAAGTATCAAATTGAGACCACAAATTGCAACAAATCTTTGCAACGTTTTGATGCACATAAGTTATATCAAAAAGAGATCGTTTTGTGTATCATTTTTAGAAATGATACACGAAACGGTCTCATTTTTTGATGCAAAAAATTTAATCAATTTATATCAATCATGGCCGAATTGAATCGACTCAAAATTAAACGAATTTTTTTCAGATATTTTGGTAATAGTACATTTGCGGAGACCATTTCACTATTTAATTTGAAAATGAAAATAACAGAAAATCAAAGACAATGTGCAATTCGATAATTAAAAAGTGACAGCTTATAAACATAACCTAAAATGCATGAGAAAAAATTTGTCAATAAAATCAATATAGCCGAGCTTTTTAGAAGGTAGATGGCAGCACTCATCTATTTTCTTTCTTTAAATTTTTTCTGAATCGTTTTTATAAAAAGCAAAACTGCCATCTACCTTCTAAAAAGCTCGGCTATTGGCGATTCAAACAGCTACACTAGCGCCACAGTTGAACTAACTTAGGCGTGACTCGCTCTAAAGCAGTCTCTGTTGTGACAGTTTATTTCAAATTATTTAATTATTCTGATATTTTTATTGCGTTTGTAAAATAATTTTTAAGCGTTAAATAAAAAAAAATAATTTTAAACACATGGAGTGCTACAGAGCGAGTCACGCCTAAGTTAGTTCAACTGTGGCGCTAGTGTAGCTGTTTGAATCGCCAATAAAAATTTTAATCATCGTCATGTTGTAAAATTTAAATACTTTTTTAACTTGAAATTTTGTTATAAAATATTGATTTCTGTATCTAAAACTAAATTAAAACTTTTAATAAATGTTAAATGAACTTAATTATTTTTCAATATTGAAATTATTATTATTATCAATTTGGACAAAACATCAATGAAGATTCAATATTGTAGTAATTTAAAAAAAAAATGAATACAGCAAAAAAAAAATAATTTCTTTTATTTATTTAAACGTTTAGAACTTTAGGTGCGCCTTTTCTGAGAATTCTCGATAAAATGATAAGCAATATCTTGTGTATAATTTTTAAGTTTGCAAGATATGATTTTTTTGTGTCTACAATTTATTTAAATTATTAAATATTATGATTTTCAATAATGTACAAATTATGATTGAATATAATGAATTAAATAATAAAATATAATATTTGTTGTATATTTTATATCAAATTAAATTTTTCATTTTATTTATATAAATTTATATATTTGTAAATTATGTTTTTATAAATTGAAAATCAATATTTCAATTTCTTTTATTGAATTCAAATTGGTGTCGTGTAATTTTCTTTTTTTTTTATTACATATACGAGAACATCGAAATTTAAGCAGGTGATACTTTTTTTTTTATAATATATGTATACAACGTGTCTAACTTAGTGAAACAAAGTAAACTTTTCCCCATTAATTATTTATGATACTTGTCCGTGAAAATGGGAGGAACTTTACACTTAAATCGTGTCACATATAACACATATATATTCATAAATAAATATTTCATCTATTTATGAATTAAAACTATTTTATATTTAATTAAATTATTTGATAAAAACTTTTAATTGAAAATCAATTTTGATGTTTTATCAAAATTAAATGTTTTTTTTTTTATTTAACAAACTAATAAATAATAAAAAGAATTCTTTTTTTTAAATATAATAATAAATAACAAAGAAATTTTAGTATAACAATATTATTTAATGTAATTATTATTTATTAATTAAGCTTCAGGCCTTTCGGCCCAGAAGTGAACTTGGTTTAATACAAAATTACAAAAATATATACAATATTATTTAATGAATAATTAAAAAAAAAATGATGTTCACAATATTTACGTTCAATGATTTAAAAGAAAAAAAAATGTTTTTTTTTTGTTTGTTGCATATGAGCCTCTGGAAAGTAAAACCACACATAAAATTTTGACTCCCATTGAATTATAGCATGGCGGTCAAAAATTTTATGTGTGGTTTTACTTTCCAGAGGCTCATATCATTTTTTGATAATTTAAAAAAAAAAATTTTTTTTTTTTAATTAACAATTTCTAAAAGAAAAATATAATATTAATTTTTTGATTGAACAAATTTTTGCATAAATGTTGATTCATAAATGATAAATTGATAAATGATTCATAAATGTTGTGAACATTACCGAAGTAAATTTATTAAATTATTAATTCTTTTTCTATATAGATATTTATCGTCTTAATTAATAATAATAAGATTAAAAAAAATATTGTGAAACATTTTTTAAAAATTTTTTTTCGTTGAAATTAATAAAATTTACCTCAATACTGTCATAGTCGTCTCTATTTTCTTTGACGAATTCTTGAAAAATATGTAGAGCAGCTTCAGAATGTGGATTTTGAATTAAAACATCGTCGAGGCTTAATCCTTTGAATGGTTGTAAAATTTTACTACCACCAGGATGTTTTTTTAAAAAATCACTAATCTCATAATTTTTACCACGATATTTCACTAAAAATTCATTGTTCCCATTCACTGAGTTATTTTCATTATCACTATCATTTATTTTCATTTCCAATAATTTTTTATTGTTATTTTCAAAATTTTTCAATCTCTCAGTCATAACTTGTTAAAATTTTTTGCCAGTTTTCAATTAATATAATAACAAAACGTGATTATTATTTCTCTTATAGACTCGTGCAAAGTGTTTGATTTATCGTGTGAAAATCTATATTAGTTCCGAACAAGCAAACTATATATCACATAAGATGTAACAGATATGATGTAACAAACTGTAAAAGAATTATTTTACTTAACAATATAATATGCTTATCATTTATGAAAAATATTTATTATAATTTTTAGTTACAATAGTGAATATCGAGAAATAATTTTTTAATTAATTTACTTTATTTGTCATTAAATATTGCAATTTTTTTTTGTTCAAATTTTTTTGAAACTAATTTTACTTTCGTGATTTTCTATTAAAAAAAAAAAAAAAAAAAAAAAATTATATTGAAAAATTCTATTATTACGATGTGGTTAGGTGTTAGGTTTATACACCTCTACCCTCGTGTAACGAACGTTTACTAACAAAATTCGTAAAACTAAAGTATAAATCCATCCCTCCTTTCTTTTTGTATATACAAATTAATTTTTATATATATAGGGGGTAGACAAAATTTTCGATTTTCGGAATAATTATTTGAAAAATGAAAAATACTATATAATATGGAAATATGAAAAAAGTTTTTTTTCTATTTTTGTAATTATGTTATTTATTTTTTTTTTTTTTTACTTTAAAGCCATATGTGTAATTCTAAAATTGTTCAACGTTTAAAGATTAACAGTAAAAAACATTTTTTATTTTATTAAAATAATCGAATATTTACATATCAAATAATTATTTATTCATATTACATAATTATTATTAATAATAACAATAATAATAAAACTCTATTATTATTATTATTATTATTATTTATATAATATTAGTGAGTAAATAAAAAAAAATAAAATAAATACTTAATAATTATTATTTTGAGTCAATTAAATTCCTATTTGTTCTAAATACAGAAATTATTTGTTCAAATACAATTTATTTAATTCAAATAAAAATTATTTGGTTAAAGTATGTAAATATTTGTTTTACAATAGCGTTAAGTAATCGATTATATCAATTAAATAAAATTTTTTTTAGTATATTGAAAATTGATTTCAAAGAAATACATTTTTTTAATTTTAATTTAATTTTAATTTAAAGTTGAACCAATAATTTTAATGAGATATAAAAAATTTCTAATAATATAAAAAATTTTTTAAATTATATATTTTTGTATAATTCATCCAGAGAACTTCTAAAAACAAACTGAATTTTAATTTTCTAAATTAATAAAATTAATAAAATATAAATATATATAAAATATAATTTTCTACAAAAAAAAAAGAAAAAAAATTTTTTTTTAATTTTTATGAAATATTTTAAGATTTAGGAAAAAATAGTTTTTTTTTTGCAAATTTTTCTTTAAAATCTCATAACTTCTATAATTATTTTTAAGTAATTTAGTTTGTTGAAGACTTAAATTTTTCAGTTTTTTTAAATACTTTTTTTGGAAAATATATCATTAAAACCAATACATAAATGTTGAAAAACAATAGGAATAATTAAATTATTTTAATTATTAGTTATTTAATTATAGTTCTTTATTAGATCAAATTTTTGAATTTTTAACACTATGTTTTCTAAAAAATAGTAAAAAGTAAAGAATGACATCTTGTAGAAGAATTGTTTTTTTTCCGAAATAATCTTTGTTTTTTAAATCGTTGATTATGATTTAAGGGAAGAAACCACTGTTCGTTGTTATTATAGGCAACAATTTTTTTTCCTGACATTATTTAAAATTTTTAAATATTTTACGTTTTAAAAATTAAAAAAAATATATACCTATATATTTTGAACCATTTTAGAAATTTTATTATTTTGAACAAATTCTGAAATCCATACGATTAATTGTTCAAAGTTATAAAAAAAGTTTAAAAAAAAATTGTCAATAAAAAATATTAAAAATTGAGAAAGAAGTTAAATTTTTAAAAAAATTAATAATGAATGTAATGAAATTACAATTAATCAAAAATGTTCATTATATATGTAAAGTTGTCAATTTTTTTCGACTTTTTTTGTTTTTCGTTACTGTAGTAAATTTTTCAAATTTTTTGGCAAAATAATTATTTCGTTCATCTCTTATAGAAAAAATCAATTGAACACACGATTCAGAACGATTGACTTGAGTACAAAAATTTTTTAATCGTTTTGAATTGTTTTCAATTGGAGTATATATATTTTCAATTGATTCGAATTGTTTTCAATCGTGTAAAATAAGTTATACTTTTTTAATTGTTTTTAATCGGGTGCCATCGGGAGAACGATATACGCACATGCGCAAACAGTTAATAATAAGAATAAGAAAAGTGTTGAATCAAACAGGAAAGATGTTTTGTAATATATAGTTTGTTCTGTTCATGCGTATGTGTCAAATATTTAAAATCTAAAGTAAAATTCCTAGTGATATGGATAATGTCAATATGTTTACTTATCCTAGCTATATATGAAAAAATTAAGTATGACAACCTTTGAGTTGTTAGTATATAACCTCAAAAAAATAAAAATAAATAAATGGGTACGTAAAAAAATACATGTAAACAGAAATTAAATAAATAATTAGGTACATATAAAAATAAATATAAGAAAAAATTCTATTTCTTACATTTTAAAATAATTTCAGTTTTTCATTTTTTTTTTTTAGAACAAATTTTTAGTTTTTCTAAACTTTGGGTGTCCAGCAGCTTTTCAAAAAAATTTAACAAAAAAATTATAGTGACATTGCACTGGAGAATCAATTACTTGGACTGAAAATCATTGAAATGTTACTGATTCAAATAGCTATAGAATTTAGCGACTGATTTGAGATCAGTGAATTTTTCACTGATTCAAATTTAGAGAGTACCCTATCAATTTTTTCTAAAAATTTCAAATTAAAATTCTTTACAAACTTATTTAGTACTAGAAACGGACGTTAAACCCGTTACATTTGTATAAAGTTATTCATTCATTAAAATATTTTCAAAATTTTCAATTAAAAATCACCTGAATTTTAATTATTTCTACGAATCTTATAATTATTGTAGATCTTCCAATAATCGATTATTTAAAAAAAATATTCAATATTGACTGAAATTAAAAATAAATTTCAGCAATTAATGAAAATTTCAATTTAAAACAAAACTTAATGTCAAAATTTATTTTTTAAACATTTTTTCGATAAATTACAAACATTTCGTCTTGTGCAGCTTCATTCAAAGATAAATTAAAAAATAACTTTTAATTAATTTTTGACAAAATATATGATTTTCTTCTGTGGTGCATGGAATACAATCTATAGAACACGATTGAAAACGATTGAATATAATAAGAAAGTCAATCGTCTTCAATTGTAAGAACACGATTAAGAAACACAATTGGGGACAATAGAAATTTCTTTCCTATTGTTTTCAATCGATTTTTTCTAGAAGGGATTTGAACGAACAGTAATAAAGTCGAAAAAATAATGTAATATAGACCCTAAAACAGAGAATTTAAAAAGGTTAAATATTTCACTGGTACCTCCGGCCCTTAAGGCCAGGTGGGATTCGTCAAATGTAAACAAACATGAAAATGTACGTCGTAATTATTGACAGCGACAGCCTTTTTTTTAAGAGCATTTGAACCTTCGTGACGTCACAAATCATGGCGCATGACACGCAAACTTCTCAGGTATGTGAAAAGCACAATTTTGAATATTTTTTAAAAAAACCTTTTGGAAAATGTTCAGAATAACATAGACTCTGTCTGTTATGTGCGGAAAATTCAAAATTTTGCGTTTAAAACGTTTTTTAAACAATGTTAAGGTCACAAATCATGGCGCATGACACGCAAACTTCTCAGGTATGTGAAAAGCACAATTTTGAATATTTTTTAAAAAAACCTTTTGGAAAATGTTCAGAATAACATAGACTATGTCTGTTATGTGCGAAAAATTCAAAATTTTGCGTTTAAAACGTTTTTTAAACAATGCCTACATATAAGCAATTCGTGTATTTTTCCTTACTTGTGACAACCAACTTAAACATTGTTTAAAAAACGTTTTATACGCAAAATTTTGAATTTTTCGCACATAACAGACATAGTCTATGTTTCTCTGAACATTTTCCAAAAGGTTTTTTTAAAAAATATTCAAAATTGTGTTTTTCACATACCTGAGAAGTTTGCGTGTCATGCGCCATGATTTGTGACCTTAACATTGTTTAAAAAACGTTTTAAACGCAAAATTTTGAATTTTCCGCACATAACAGACAGAGTCTATGTTATTCTGAACATTTTCCAAAAGGTTTTTTTAAAAAATATTCAAAATTGTGCTTTTCACATACCTGAGAAGTTTGCGTGTCATGCGCCATGATTTGTGACGTCACGAAGGTTCAAATGCTCTTAATAGAAAATAAAAATTGTTCTTTCTCTATGTGAAAATGGAAAATTCATATATAAAACTACAGCCTGACACTGTATTTGACTAATAATATGAATAATATTAATAATTATAATAAAATGAAAATTACACTGAAACAACAATTTTCTCAAGATTACGAAAAAAAACCATTTGACTGAGGCACGGACGTTGTGAACCTAGGTGGGAGAAATAGTGTAGGGAGGGGGTAAAAGACCTAGTCTCTGTCCTCTGGTTGGGGTATAATTACAGAATTTTACCCTTTCCAAGATGTGACCGTCCAATCGCTCAACACTTTCTTCCACCTAGGTTCACAACGTCCGTGCCTCAGATATACTCAAATGGTTTTTTTTTCGTAATATTGAGAAAATTGTTGTTTCAATGTAATTTTCATTTTATTATAATTATTATAATTATTCATATCATTAGTCAAATACAGTGTCAGGCTGTAGTTTTATATATGAATTTTCCATTTTCACATAGAAAAAGAACAATTTTTATTTTCTATTTAAAAAAAGGCTGTCGCAAATTTGTCAAAAATTACGTATATTTTCATATTTGTTTACATTTGACGAGTTGCACCTGGTCTTAAGTTCAAATTTAAATTTTCAATATAGCAACGTTTTAAAAGAAAATTAGTGTCAAATTTTTTTTCTTTAGAAAAAGAGAAAAATGACTAATGTCAGACCATTATAAATTGAGCACCTGGATATAATAACTCGCACTACTATACGCCTGACTGCAGTAGGTGCTTGAGCTAGTCAAACCTACAAAAAAAAGGATAAGAAAATTCAAAATTTTGATTTTTGAAAAGTACTACCTTATAGGAAATAAAAAGGCGCATCTTTTTTTCCTTTGAAATTTTTTTTTTTATAACGAATAGATATTTTAAATAATAAGTACCAAATTTCGATTCACAAATTTCATTAAGTTTTAAAACATTAATTATCATATCTTTTACAATTGTTAATGGAATTGATTGAAACTTGATATATACTCGCACTTGGGTCTACTGAACACTACAATATAATGAAAATTAAAAAAATCATTAATTATTTAATAATTTTTTAATATAAATAGAGCGACCTATTGGAAATCACGTATTCTTACATTCGTCGACAAAAACTTTGCAGGAAAGTTTAAATTTGAGAGAACATCCAATGAGACATTTGTTTATTACTGTATAAGGAAATATTATGGAAAATTTTAAGTCGATTTATTAAAAACTTTATAAAAATATTAAAGTTTTAAGAAAGCGCGTGCAACACACTAGCGCGTCACCCGCGGCTCTCTGTGCATGCATATATATATATATATATATGTATTACAAATGTAATATTTAATTTAATTATATTACTAAATTAATTTTACTTGACAATAAAAATAATAATAAATAATAATAAAATTATATTTAAATTATAATATGATATTTTATCGTCGAATATCAAAAATTAAAAAAATAGTAAAATAGTAGTGAAAACATTTTTTAAATAAATTTTTGTTATATTTTAATTAAATACCTTTGCTTATTGGTACATCATGTAAAAAAGATTTTAATTATTTCAATTAAAAGCTTGAATTTTATTTCAAACATTCCTCAACACTGAAATGCTTCACATATAATAAAAACTATCTTATAATCACAAAAATTCTGTATTGTAAAACCCGTTTTTACGTAAAACTATTTATTTTTCTACATATATATATATATATATGTAAAATGATTAAAAAACACTAAATGTTTAACCATTTGAAAAATTAAAATAATAATTGCCTGCAAATTTATGCAACATATTTTCGTCTTCTTAAAAATTTAATTCTATATTCTTTAACAATATAATTAAAAAAAAAAATAATTTTTAATTTAAACGAAATTTTATGGCAATAAAAGAAAATTTAATTATTTCAATTGATATTAATTTTTTAAAAATTGACGGAACTTTATTTTTTCAATATTCTTATAAAAGTCGATGGACTTGAAATGCTTAAAATTTGAAATTCTATTTTAATGTAAATACAAAATCATTATTCGTTGATGAATGCGTTTCTAATGAGCGGGTTATCAGTTGCGAACGTTGAAAGAAACCTATTAAATAAAAAGTGAAATGCTAATCGTTAAATGGTTAAAAAAAAGGGTTTAATAAAAAAATAGTTAAATACATTTTTTTTGTCACGAAAAGGGAATAATTACATAAACCAAGCTCAATCAATTTTTAAGAAAATTTTTAAGTTCGTCCGCCATATTGGATCCGTCATTTTGAATTTTAAAAATCGGACTTCATATTCTTATTCAGCGACCCTAAAAACCTTTCTTCACCAAGTTTAATGAAAATCCGTTAAAATTTGTTAGTTATTTAAGTTTTTACATTACTACTTTTTGAATGGTTGATTTTTCAACTTTTATGTTACAATACCATTCAATTGATTCAACTACATATCATACATCTACTACAAATTTTCAAATTTTTTCATCCCTTAATACAGTAATATACTTAAGGAAACTTTTTTCTTAAAACTTTCTTAGAAACTATGCTGTCTCCATTTACCCCAAATTTTATGAAATTTTCTAAATTTTGGGGTAATTGGGGACAGTCAGTTTCATGCGTTTAAAGCTTATTCAAATTTCTTTCTGATCCGTAAAATTAATCCTGGGAATGTAAATAATAACTTAAAAAAAATAAACCCGCAAATATTATTTTTTAAAAAAAGAAACTTATGTAATTTGTGAAAAATAGTGATTTTGACCTCATTTACCCCAACTGACCCTATATCATTTAATAACGATTTTTTTATTAGAAATCAGTGATATTACTATAGATATTTCACTGTTTACTAATATTTGTTTTTAACTAATTCACTCAGTGAAACAGATGACTGAAAACCAGTGACATTCTATACAATAATCAATTAATATTGAATTATTTATGTATTGACAATTATCATAAAAAATTTAATTTATTAACATCGCTTACCGCAGTCTTCTCTCTTAATTTTGAGTATTGTTTATTTATTTTTATTTAAATTTTAAAGTATTTATGTGTACAATATTTTAAAACTACTGATGCGACAAATATGAACTTTGTAAATGAAAAAGCAAGTTGCAATCTTTTATTTTTAGTACTAAAAATTTTATTACAAATTTACGTTTGTTGATAACTGTCAAGGATTAACGTATATCTAAAAAAAAAGTTGAAATGATTCTACAAAAAAATAGATTCATTTTTTAAAAAAATAAAAATTCACTAATTAAACAATTTGTTTTTTTGAAAATTTTACAATAATAATTATTATTATAATTAAGAAGTTTTTTTTTAAGAATCACAATTTCGAATCATAATGTGCAGTTCAGTAATTATTAATTTCACAGTCCTGCGAAGGTGATGAATCTAAAATATTTCTAGGTGTTACTTGTAGATTTTTTTGTGCTGAAAACGAATCCGCTTCCCTTTTTTATATATAGTTTTAGTAAAAATAAGAAAACTTTATTATCAATTTTAGAATAGTCCTCTCGTTTCGAAAATTTTCTCCTTAAGTTTCCAAATGAAAATAAACAGGACATAATTAATAATAATAAACGTCACAAGGATTTTCAAATTTAGAAAACAAATAAATTTTTTTTAAATTTAAAATGTATTTTTTAAAAATTGCAGCAACCTTTCCAGAAGCTTGTTGAAATTCTCCTGCAACCTTACGTAGCAAGCTTGTACAGCAATCTTTCACGGCAAGCTTGCCGCAATCATTCTTAGTATGCTTGCAGCAATCTTTCATGGCAAGATTGCAGCAACCTTTCCTGGAAAGCTTACAGCAAGCTTTCACGGCAAGCTTGCCCTGGGTGGGACATTTCGCTAGCGCAGACAAGCTTGCAGCAAGCTTGACAAGTTTGCAGGGTAAGCTTGCCGCAAGTTTCCGTGCTATCTGGGCGCAATTAAAGAGGTTTTAGTTTCAATTATGTAAAACAATTACTTATAATAAATAATCGAATATTTAATTTAAAAAAATTTTTAGTTGTTTCAAAAAAATTATTTTATTAATGCAAATAAATATTTATTTGAATCAAAAAACATGCAGTATTGAATGAAATAATTTTCATAATTGATTTAAATAAAAAGCGCACAGTAAACTTGGTTGTATCTTTTGCTATTGCAACGTTTTGATGCACATAAGTTATATCAAAAAGAGATCGTTTTGTGTATCATTTTTAGAAATGATACACGAAACGGTCTCATTTTTTGATGCAAAAAATTTAATCAATTTATATGAATCATGGCCGAATTGAATCGACTCAAAATTAAACGAATTTTTTTCAGATATTTTGGTAATAGTACAATTGCGGAGACCATTTCACTATTTAATTTGAAAATGAAAATAACAGAAAATCAAAGACAATGTGCAATTCGATAATTAAAAAGTGACAGCTTATAAACATAACCTAAAATGCATGAGAAAAAATTTGTCAATAAAATCAATATAGCCGAGCTTTTTAGAAGGTAGATGGCAGTTTTGCTTTTTATAAAAACTATTCAGAAAAAATTTAAAGAAAGAAAATAGATGAGTGCTGCCATCTACCTTCTAAAAAGCTCGGCTATATTGATTTTATCGACAAATTTTTTCTCATGCATTTTAGGTTATGTTTATAAGCTGAAAACGTTTGAACGTTGCAAAGATTTGATGCAATTTTTGGTCTCAATTTGATACTTTTAGGAAAACTGTGAGTTAATTAATTTGTTAAAAATGCAAAACAATAAAAATAATAATATTAACTTCACAATCGATTTTTCAGTTCTTTTTTAGGGCTGCTCACGAGACGAGACTATAGTGTCGGTCTCGTCTCTAATTCTTGTCGAGAGTCTCGACTGACTGGATTTTCATATATAATTTTGTAAAAATATTTTTTTATAATAAAATATTTTTAATTTAAATCATAATAGTTTTCTTCTGTTAAACATAATCTAATAAAAATAGAGAACGATCTGTGAATCTTTTGTTAAACCCTATAGTAAACGCAAACATCCCTAACCTACAAATTTATATTTAAATTTAATCATAGAATTTGCTAATAAAAAAAATTTGTATAGAAATTAATGTCTTCTGTGTGCGCATAGTTTGCTGTAGTTATTATAGTTATAATTATAATAAATAAAGTAAATTTTATTTGGCAATAAATAAGCTTTTATTTAAATAATTACAATTCTTGTATACAATACTTTTTTTAAATCGATCTATTTCTAATTTTTTTTTTTTTTTGTAATTACGAATTATATACTATATTATTTTTATATATATTGCAGAAATTTTGCGCGCATTCAAGGAATTCATCAATTTGTTTCGCAATAGAAATACTACACATGGGGTTCCATAATTAAAATATATTTATGGTTCCTTTTTACGCTCCTATTGTATATCACTTTTTTTTTTATTTCATCAGAAACTAATAAATATTTTCAAAGATTTTACATTACAATTAAAAGTCAGAAAAAAAGAGATTCTGGTTATATTAGAGGTTTTGATAGTAAAATTTCTTAGTGATAATAATAAGAATAATAATAATCTTATTTACAATAAATATTAATTAGATGTTTAGAAAACAAAGAAATTATTAAATACGTCATTCAAATTTTTTGATTCTAAATTAATAAATTTAGTATAAGTCAATTTTATTTACAATTTTTTGAAAATTGATTTTCAAAAATTATAGTTTTGATTGAATTTATTATGTGAAATTTTGTTATAAACTAATTGAATTTTCAATTTTTTTACCATTATGTTTATAAAAATTACTACGGAAAGAAATTTTATTATCAGTTATTAATATTTATTAGGAACACTTTTAAAAACTCATTACACTATATATTATGGAGCTTTTTTAATATTCGATAATATTTCTTATGAAAAGCTGTCTCTCTTTGAATTATTTTGTTTAATTTAACATAAATATTATTTCTTGATGAAATCAATTAATTTATAAATTAAAATTCATTCTTGTACCCTGAAAATTTTGAAAAATTTAAATTTAAAGAAAAAATAATTTATAGGCAAACTAAAGAAAAATTTGTATTTTAAAATATAAAATAAAAACCTATTTTTTTTAAAAAAAGGAGAAAAAAAACTTCAATAAAATATTGTGTAACTCATAATATATTTAGAAAAATTTTTAAATGAAAGAAAAACACTTTGGGTTAAATGATTTGTTCTTTTATAAATTATAAAAATTATACAAAAAAGATGACGGTAAAAATTTGACAAATAAATAATTTTACAGCAAATAATTTTTGTAGGGACAACGAAGTAATTACTTTTTCTAAGATTAATAAAATGGTTTTTTTTTTTTTACTAATAAACCGGTTTTTTTTTTTTTTTTTTTTTTTTGTAATTAAACTAAAAGAACTGATATAATTTACTTATTGTTAAAACATTACGTTATATCACTATAATTTACCAATCTATAAATAAATGTACAATTATTTTTTTCGTAAGATTTACCAAAAATTATTATTTTTTTTTTGTCAAAAGCAAGAGAGGAGTTTTCGATGTGGGTTTTATTACTTTTTTTTTAATTAAGAAATCTCTCTAGTCAGCCCCAAAAATCTGTTTCTATATTTACAAGTGAAAATAAGGGGGAAGAATCGTTTGAAGCAAAAAGAAAAAAAAAAAAAAATACAAATCAGTCGACGGAAAATTTAAGCTTCGAGGATCCAACGTACTTTTTTACGCTTATATTTATAACCACGCTTTAATTATTTAATTTTTTTTTTCACCATTTAACGAATATATATAATATATTTTTTTCTGTAAATGAAACATATATATAAAAAACATATTTTCGTAGTAAACATTTTTTTTTTCTTCTTTTTGAAAACGTGGTATAATATAATTCGATTGAACACACGAGATTTGGAACATTCGTTTGCGCTTTATTTTTCCTTATATATATAGAAAAATAAAGATCGCTTTCATTTTCTAGTTAATATCGGAACCTTGTCTTCTACATTCGTCGTGATTAGAGAAAAAAAAAATTATTATTCAAAAAAAAAAAGTAGGAAAAAAAAACATTTTAAATACAATAAAATATTGAAGTTATATTTTGAATATTGTAATTAAAATTAATTTTTCATTCCATAAATATGTAATTGTCAATTATAAATTAAATAAATTTTGAAGTTTAAATTCATTTTTATAATATTTTTATAAAATACCCGCATATATGTAAATAAAAAAAGAAAAAGTAATAATATTTTTCTCTCGTCACGATTCCGTTACAATATCTTACGTGGCTTTTTTTTAATACATTATATATATTATATAGCTTTGAACTTTTTCACTTCCGCAAGAAGCAATCACAATTGGAGTATTTTGAAAATGAAAATTTAAACGAAAAATTCGACGCATTAACATTTTATAAAATACAATTTTTTTCAATTATATATAGATAATTCCTTTATAAAATTTTAATTTAAAAAAGTTTCAATTTGAAATTTGAATTTTGGAATTTTATACTATTTTTACAATTATTCAAATATAATATCCTTATATGGGGTGTGATTTTCATTCAAAAATATTTTTTTTTCGTAATCTTTATGAAAAATAAAAAATGTATTACTTTATTTTTCGATTTGATAAAAATTATAAAAGTTAGGATTTTTTTTTTTTAATTTAACGTCTTCAGAAGCCGAGCACTTTTGAAACCTGTTGTCAAATTCAATTAAATAAAAAGTTTGTAAAATAAAAAATCGTTTAAGTAACAATTTTGTACTAAAGAAATACAGTTAAATGAAATTTCTGTCAAATAATAATTCGAAGAAATGAAAATTCGGCTATATGTAAATTCTATAGATAATAAAAAAAAATCACCAATTCGACAATTTTTATTAAATAGAGAAATAAAAAAAAATATGTATTTTCTTAATTTTCATAAAGATTTCAAAAAAAAAAATATTGCAGACAAAGAAAAATTTTTTTCAAATGAAAATATTACATTAAATGCGTCCTATATCGGAATTTATAATTTTTTTTTTTTAATATTTTGAACTCGAAACCTTTTTTTTCGAAAAGAATTATTTTTTTTCAATTTAATCTTTAAATTTTAATCTCAAATTAATAAATCTGTTTCCACATATTGAGCGATGATTATAACAAAATTATTATTAATTAAATTTTCACAAAATACACATATGAAAAGTAAACGTAAAAAATTCAGCATTTATGTATCTATCGTAAATGCTTTAACAAATGGACCAGCATTTAAATAAATTAAATATATAATTTTAATTAATTTTTTTTTAATACTCAACAAATTAAAATTTATGTTTTGTTGTAATATACGTTTTTACACTAATTGAGATAAATAAAACACAGATGAGCATAAAGGAAATTTATATAACAAAACTTTATAATTATTAATTTTAATAAAAATTTTTTTTTTTTTTTTTTTGCTATTCAGATTTGTCTTATCTTTTTTTTTTTTTAATTATGCAAATGTGCAGTTGGATGTGTGTGTACTCGGTAATATTCTGATTATGTAAAATTAGATATAATTATCTCATTTTCTAATTGAGCCTTAATTAATTGAATGCTCCAATTAATTAAACAGATTTATACATTAATCGTAGTTGTCATTGTTATCAGGGTTATTTAATTTTTCATTTGTGAATTTTAATTGAAAAATTTGAAATTAAAAAATTCCAACTGCATTGAGATTGTTTTTGCTTTATTTTTTTTCTTAAATACTCCGTTTTTTTTGTGACTCTTTAACAGAAGAATATAACATATACTTATATATATATATTATATCTCTCGGCATATATCTTTTCATCTTTTATGTTCATTTTGGATCACATCGTAGCTTACAGTTCATTTGGTCTTACTTAGCTTTTATATATATAAATATTTATATAGGATATATTATAATTATAATATAATTATTTACAAGTACAAGATCGGGTGACCAACATTGAACGCGACATAAATTTTTTTTTTTTATTATTATAAATTTTTCCTTTTAATTTGATAATTACGAATTAGTGACGATTTTCTTAAAAATTAAATAATTTTGATTAATTTTTTTTTTTTTTTCATTTAGATCACTGTATTTATTATTTCATTTAAAATATATGCCAGAATGTTGATAACCTGAAAAAGAGAGATAAAATTTTGAGAAAAATTTTTGAAAAAATCTGAAAAAAAAATTAAATTATAATTTTCTTGTAAGTAATTAATTTTTTTGGATAATCAAATTTAGAGATAAATAAAAATGACTTTTTTTTCTTCGTAATTTTTTAAGATTACGTTTGTTTGAAATATTTGAAATATAAAATTTCAATTTAAAAAAATAACGACTGAATAATTAAAATTAATCTCTTTTTTGGGTTTTATTAGGATTTATATTTTTTTAATTTTCATTATTTAAATATAATCGAGAGATATTTTTATTATTTTATCACGGTTTTTTGTATTATTATTTTTCTCAAGTTTTTTTTTCTTGTAAATTTTCTAAAGAATTTTATAAATTATAAATTGACCTGAAAAATCTAGAATATATAATGAAAATTGTTTTTCAATGAATAATAAAAAACGATATAAATTTTTTTAAATGTTATTTCTCAATCTTCGATAAGTAGAATTTAATTCCTTGAAACATATGAAAATAAATAAATTTTTTTTTTTGCTAGTTCGATATATACAAAATTGTCACTTGTTCGTAATTAGCGTTTTATATTCAAAGATAAAAAGAAAATTTAATGTATCTTTTAGATTAATTTATAATTTTCTAATATATATATTTATATAATTATATTATATTATTCTTATGATATAATTATATAATTATATTGTATATTATATTTTTGTAAAAATTAATTAATATTTTTAATTAACGAATCAAAAAAATATTTCTCCCAATCTTTTTTTTTTTAATGAAAAATAATTTATTTTTGAACTAAATTTAGAAAAAAAAAATTAAATCGTAAATATGTAATTTAATTTTTCTACCCTTTTGTTCCTTTTTTGTATTTTTTTATATAAAGAATTCCATTATTATCAAAAAAAATGTCAGTCAATTTAAAAAAATTTTTTTTTTAATTTTTGAAATGTTTCATTTATAGACAATATTCTGCGAAACTACGTTAAAATGTATTCAGTAAAAGACAGTCTTTGATTTACTTTTATTTCTGCGATAAAAAATGATTATGCATTTTATTTTCTACTTAAAAATTGCGCGTTCAGGTTAAAAAGGTTTTTTTTTCTTTTTTCTTTTTTAACTTTTGGTCATCCCGAGTTTTTATGGTTTTCTGTATATAATATTTTTTTTTTTTATCAATATTTGACGAATCTTAAAATTAAATAGCACTCTTTTTTGTTCAAAAGGTATAAATATTGATTATCATAATTAGGAAATTTACTAAAAATCATTGTTTTTCTTTTTTTTTCCTAAACGAAAACGCATTTTTTGATTTTAATCTTTTTATTTCGTGTTTTCGATATTCTTATAATTATTTCTGTCGATTTTAATCAAATGAGTGATTAAAAATTCAAAAATCCAGTTATAAAATACAAAAATTATTTTTATATTTTGAAAGTTTTCTTAAAAAAAAAATTTTTTTTCTCCTTTACAAACAATATAGAAATTTTGAATTTTTTTAAATTAAATAACTTTTTTTTAATTTGAAGTAAAATATTTTTTTTAACCGAAAGAAATAATTATAAAAATGAAATAATTTTTTTCTGTAGTAAAAAGTTTATAAATGAAAAATCAGAGAAATCTAGTTAAAAAATTTGAAGAGTGAAAATTTTTCAAATTAGTTTTAAATCGAAAATAGTGGAATTTAATTTTTATATAATAATAAAAATTTTGCAAAGATTTTGTATAGACCACATCGACGCAATATATTTAAACTGTAATAATACTATATGTATATATTATATATAGGAAACTATTGCCCATTCTCTGTTCTATAATATGATTTTAGCGAAACTATCCCTAATTGGCAGTTTAATTCATTCAATTAGTTTGCTCATTCAAACGAAATCTGATTTTCGTTTTACTTTTTTTTTCTCTCTCTCTCTCTATATATATATATATAATTACAATTTACATAATAAGCTTAAAACTATATAATTTTAGATCTAATTTCATCAACTTTCACTAAAATCTCTTTCATAATTGTCAATTAATTTTAATCTACAGTTGATGAAATCAGCCGCATTAAATTGTCAAGCTTGCAGATACAAGATATATAAAATTTTTAATTCTTGGTAAAAAATTGACGTCGATCAAGTTCACAACGTTTATGATCAACGTTTGAAAAAAAAATATATATTTTTTTAAGTTGCGAAAATTAATTTTTTTTCCAGAAATTTTTTTTTAATTGTTGATAAAAAAAAATTGCAAAAATTTTTTTAAATAAAAAAATTGTAAGAAAGATATATTTTTTTTTCTTCTAAATCGTTGATAATAAATGTTGTTAACTTTCACCGATGTAAAAATTGTAAAGAGAAAAAATAATTCTCTTTTTACCGCATACTTTTTTTATTCCAAAGGCACAAATATAGGGTCTAAAAACACTATTTTTGTGCCAGTGAGCTAAAAAAAATGAATAATTATATTAATTTAAATAAATTATTTTTAAGATAATCTGAATATTCACTACAAATAAAATAAATATTTCAGTTTCATAAATAAATAAATAAATAAATTATTAATAATAATAATAATATTAGTACAATAATACATAATATATTAATTTTTTTTCCTTATTTTCGTTTATTTTGCAAATCATAATTTTTACCAAGTTAAAAAAATATATATATATATATATATTATTTTTATTTGAAAAATAAATAATAGTTTTTTTTCTTATTTTTTTTTTATAGTCTAAGGGGGTATAATAAATATATATGGTAAATAAATAGATGATTATTGAGATAATGTTCTGCAAACTTCTATTCACGATATTTAAAATTCGTCATTCTAATTCTCTCATTATCTCATGTTCTTTCGCATAATTTATATCGGAAGTACGAGAAATTGAGCCTATAATAAAAGTTAGAAGTTAATAACTTTCATTTCGAAAGCTTTACCTCTATCTTTCATTCGTGGGGGTGCATTATTATCATCGTCACTATCGATATTCTCATCTTCTTCAGGAAAGTCTTCTAATCGATCTTGATAATCGTCCAACTGTGAATGAAAAATCAATTTTGTTATAGAATATTATATATTTTTCTTTTTAATACATTAAATCTAATTTATCAATTGATTCTATCATAAATTAAGAGTATATTCTTTTAATGTTTTAAAAGCACAATAAATATTTTTTTTGAAAATATTATTTTAAACGAATAGGTAATAATTATAATTATTAAATTTTTTTTTTCTAAATTCAAAACATAGAAGCGCATGAATTTCCCACAAAAATCATTAGTTTAAATTTTTATTTTTATGCATTTTATTAGATATAATTTTTTTTTTAGACGAATAATCATTTTTTGAATTACAAAATTTGATATAGAATTTGTTTTAAAAAAAAATTTTTATTTAACAGATTTTTTAGATGCCGAATTTCTGTTTGACAGAATTTTTATTTTACAAAATTTCTCCTTAACCAACTTTTTATTAAAAAAAAAAAAATGTTAATTTAGCCGAATATTAATTTATCAGAAATTTAAGTGATTCGAATTTTTACATTCCAAAAATTTCCAATTCACCGAATTTCCATATTTGTTCGGTATTAACAAATGTCCGACAATCGACCGAAAAATTTCGGCGCGAATTTTAAAATTAACTAATCACAATTTTCTTGATAATTTCTGATTGATTAATTTTAAAATTAGCGCCGAAATCCTTTTTGTCTATTGTTTGTCGGATATTTGCAATTTTTGAAAATTCGAAATTTGGCGTTTTTATGAATTCTATCAAATAACAATATTCTTGGAAATAAATATTTAAACAAATAAATATTTGATAATTTGAAAATTATGGCATTTAAAAATTCGAATCATTTAAAATTCTGTTGAATGAGAATTCTGCTAAATGAATAATATTCGGTTAAATTAGAATTTAAAAGAAAAATTTAATTGTAAAAAATGAAAATTTGTCTAAAAATGAACTAAATAAAAATGTTTAAAATGAAAATTATAACCATTGATTTGATTTTTTTAGGGAAATCCATACGCCCTGAAAATGTATAATATCAAAAATCAGTTGATAAATATATATTATTTAAATTAGTTTATTTTTAAGGTTAGGTGAAAGTCGTTGTAATTTTTTCATTGAAGCTCTATATGTAAAAATTGCATCGACTTTGATCTACCCTTAATTTATAATGAATTTAACCCTTAACGGTCACACTGGGTATGAATGTCATTCATTCATTAGTTTTGAAGATTAATATTCAATATAAATACCTTTTTTGCAAGGAAACAAAAAAACGTATTTTTTCCTTAGGTATTCTATATTAACTGTACAAATTTCAATTAAAAATATTAAAATTTCAAAAAGTTATGATTTTTTTTTTTACCAAAAACATCAAAAAGAGGTGTGACCTTTAAGGGTTAATAATGAATAATGTAATAATTTACTAATTAGTGAGAAATTATTCATTAATAAAAGTACACAAGTAAAATTACATTTTTTCATATTATAATTTTTGAATAATTTCTTACTACATAAAGAATGTTTTGATCAGAAGATTTATTATAATTCATTCCATAAATATGAAGTTTAATGTTTTCGGCGTTTGAAGATGAATTTTCTTTTTCAAACATTGTCGAATGGAAAAAAAATGGAATTTAATTTACCAGATAAATCTTGAATTCTTTTAATAGATAAATCCAGTTTTTTTTTTTTTGTAGAAATGTTAGTAATGATTATTAAAGCCCGAACTAGCGTTATTTTTAGCTTGTTTTTATTTTGATGTCAAAGTTGAGAACACTACTTTCGAGGAGTGGGGATAATGTGCAATTACCAATCACTGCACAAAGAGTGGAATTAGCGGTGTTGTGATTGGTAGATGCATGTTCCCCCCCACCACTCTCAACAGACGCGCGCAGCATTCTCATATCTTACAGACAACACAAACTGAAAATGTCCTTAGTCCAGAATTTAGATTTATGAATATATATATGAAAATGTTATTTGATCTAAACTATGGCATAATGATATTGATTGACGTGGTACATGATTTTTGAATTGATTTCATTATTATAAAAACAATAAAAATAAATATACTTTTTTTTGTATGTAGAATCTAGCTAACATGAAATTTATCTAAAATTTGCATTCTCAAAATAACTACCAACGACTCACATGTACAGTAGCTAAGCGGATACCGACGTTACCACAGACAGGGGTTGATTACCCATACATCTGCGGATCACATTTAGGTATGGTAAATATTTCATTTCAATAATTAGATATGCCAATTTATTATTTATCACAAGAATTTATATTATTAATATTATTTATCCCAAATATTATATTCCATAAATATTAAAACGAATTTTTTTTAATTACTGGATTGTCATTATTAGAAACAACTCAATTTTATCATTACATTGAATTTTTTTTCTGTTAAAATTGCATTCAAACGTTTTTTTTTCTCTGTTCAACGATATAATTCTACGTTACCAAAGAAAGCATTTTGTGAAACAAAAAAAGCAAACAAGAGAAATATTAATTTCAAGCTGTGTTTAAACATTTACAACGCAGATAGCACGTAAGCTTAGAGCAACCTTGCGGCAAGCTTGCCGCGCAATATTGCCAACATTGCACGGCAAACTTGCCGCAAGCTTACTGTAAGCTTCAAATGTTCCACAGGATCCAAGCTTGCATGGTTACTGCAAGATTGTACAATAAAAATTATCGTAATATTGCTCAGTAAGCTTGCACGGTAAGCTTGTAGCAAGGTTGGTGCAAGGTTGACAAATAACCTTTCTTTAAACCTAAAAAATTTTTTTTAATGTTTCTTACTAATTTATATAAAAAAATCTATATAATAAAATTATATAAATTAGACGAAACATTAAAAAAAAATTTGTAGGTTTAATGCAAGGTTATTTGGCAAACTTACACCAACCTTGTTACAAGCTTACCGTGCAAGCTTACTGAGCAATATTACGATAATTTTATTGTGCAATCTTGCAGTAATCTTACACTGTAATCTTTCGGTAAGCTTACCATTCAAGCTTGGGTCAGGTGGGAAATTTGAAGCTTGCGGCAAGTTTGCCGTGCAAGGTTGGCAATATTGCGCGGCAAGCTTATCGCAAGGTTGCTGCAAGCTTACGTACTATCTGGGAACTGGTAACGAATTGCATAATAAATAAAATTAATTCTATTATTATTATTTAAAAGGTGTTGGTGGCAATTCTATAAAAGTTTGTGATTTTATAATAAAAATTGAAAATTTTTATTCAAAGTTATATTAAACAATGCAGATAATAAATTATATTCAAAGAAATAAGATTCTAAACTAAATTTTCTGCATTTTAACCCGGCGAGACTAAGGTTCAATTTTGTAACACCGTGACTAAGGTAGGGTAAATTTTACCCTATAATGATTTTCTGTTTCTATATTTAAGAAAAGCTTAAAATCATGGAAATTTTTTAACAAATTTGTTTTATATTGTCTAGTAATGTAATTTATTAGTGTCACAACAAAATTTGCATTTATATAAAAATCGCAGTAAAATTCAGCATTCCTAGTTCAAACTATCGAGGAATAAAAGTTTCATAGGGTAAAATTTACCCTACTTTAGTCACGGCGGGTTAAAGTAAAACACGTAATATATAGTTTTAATTTAATTTGTAGTACTAAAAAAAAAAATAAGAGATTATAAACTGAATTTCTTTTTTTTAAAATACTTACATCGACATCGCCCATCATTTCTTTAGTTGACACTGTCGTATCGTTTCGACGAATACTTCCATGATGAATGTCGACATCAAGTTTCGTTAATTGGAACCTTCGCATAAGAAAAACGACAGGAATTGGCGCGATTCCTATAAGAATAATTCCCACTCCTATTGCGAGAACCCAATCTGGATATATTGTTAATTCGGTTTTGCCCTGTAATAAAAAAAAATATCATTTTTTTTCTACAATTTTTAAAATAATATTTACCTAAATGATTAATTTGACTAAACTGCAAAAAGATCAATTAATCTATTTTGTCTGGTTTAATTAAATAAAGTTAATTCAAATTTAATAAAACCTTTCTTTAATTATTGGGAATAGCAAAAGATTTTACTGGAATTGTAAAAATTTTAATTGTTTCCATTAAATATTTTACAATTCTATTGAAATTTTTCTCTGATTCCAAGATGAAGTTCTTTTCCGTGTATAGAAATCTATTTTGTGTTTAAATTTCGTGTAAAATAATAATTAATTTCTTACCAAAGCAGCAACCCATGCAGGATATTTTGGTTTATTCATAATCATTTGTACAACACTGGCAATTAAAATTGCAACCATGATTATTGGAGCCAAAAATCTCCATGTTATTTGCCAATACCATCCTGGTCTGTATCCAGTCATTTCTTCAATGTCTTTAGTGAATCTGTAATAATTATTCATGAATTTCGAACTTTTACAATAAAGACTGTTTGCAAAGGCAAAATCTTACTTTTCATGTCCATAGACAAATATTAGAGCTAACATTTCCATGAGAGCAACTAAAACAAGACCAATTGTTCCGGCAAAACTATCAAACATTGTTAACCAATATTCACCTGCCCCTGTGCAGAATATAAGACCCACGAAGAAACAGATAATGCAAACAACACCTTAAAAAATTTTTAGCAATTAGATAAAACTTTTTCATTAGTTTATATACTCTCTAAATAATCAGAATTAGTATAAGAATTTAACAATTTTATATAATTTACAATTACATAATACTAACCTGTCATGTATTGTTTTTTGATTCTTTTGAAAAGATCTATTTCAAAAATAACGCACAGCATTCCTTCTAAAAGTCCAATTTGTGATCCCAAACCAAGAGCAAGAAGCATTAAAAAAAATATACAAGACCAAAATGGTGCACCTGGAAGTTCGACTATTGCCTGTGTAAAAACTATAAAAGCCAATCCTGTGCCTTCTGCAGCCTGGTAAAAAGATATTTTTGTATATTTATAAATGTTAAGAATTAATATTATAGTGAGGATGGTAATTTTGATTAGCTTAATCAAATACTTAATAGGAGACACCTATTTATCATCTTAACTACAATTAATATTATATATATTTATTATTTTCCTTACATTATTTAGTTGCTCCCCTAAATCACAGACATCTAAACTTAAATTCATTGAAGAATTAAAATGATGTACAGCATTTTCAAATTCATTTGAATGAACTGAAATCGATGTATTTCCACTTAATAGTCCAGCCTCGATTAGCAAATTTTTGTTTCTAAAAAATATTAATTCTCTTTTGTAAAATAAAAAACGTTGATTGTATATTTACAGATTTTACATTTAAAATGTCAAGCATTCATAAATTTTTAATTGAGGAATATATTTCACGCTAGGAATAAATATTTTTTATGGTAATTCTACAATTTGGTTCAAATGGTTTTGAAATTTGCACATACGAATTTAAATTCATATCTCTAGTACTGGATTTTACAAATTTTATTAGTTCCTCTGGTTTTGGGTATCTCGTATATACTATTCTATCCAATTTCTTAATCCCAAGCTAGAATTGATTTTAAAATTTCATACGATATTGAAAGTTTATTTGGTTAGAATTTTCATTTTATGGAATTTCATTTGTCATCATTATTTTTGAGCCGAATTGCAATTACTTTCTGATTCATGCTCAAGGACGTTAGAGATCTAGAGAAAATAAAATCCAAATAATTGAACTTTTTCGCAGCTAAAAGATGTGTATGTTGTATTTGTGGAAATTAACAATTGGTATATTAGAGGCTTAAGTTTTTAAAATAGAGTTTTGAAATTTCTATTTATTATCTATTTTCCAAGATGAAAATCATCTATAAAATATTTGAACCAAATCGAAGGATTGTTGTCGCACCTAAACAAAAAAATTTATTCCCTGCGTGCAAAATCTCAACAAATAAAATTCTTACCCTTCAAGACATTTTTCCACATTACTCATTGCCTTGAAACCCAGAATTGCGAAAATAACAACGCTTGCATAAATTGCAGTAAAAGCATTGCAAAAACTCACAAGTAACACATCCCTAACACAATTGTTGTTGACAGTGTTGTAACTACCAAAAGCAATCAAAGATCCGAACGCCAAACCAAAACTGTAAAATACCTGCGTTGCTGCATCCAACCAAACCTTTGGCTCCAATAATTTTTCCACCTAAACATTAAAATACAAAAAGAATTGTTTCAAATTTCCTATTTTAGAATTAAGCCCCAAAAAAATCCGAACACAATCACAAAACTAGAAGCCAATACCTTTGGTGTATACATATGAGCCAATCCGGCTCCAGCACCCTTTAACGTAATCCCACGAATGAAGAAAATAGTGAGGACCAAGTAGGGAAACATTGAGGTGAAATAAACCACCTGCGAATCGATGACGACGAATTAAGTTCGATGGAGAAATTGCCTCTCTTGTAGGAAGCTATGGGAAGAGAAAAAAAAAAAAAATTCGGCGACTCCTTGCATTCCAAAAATGATTGCAACAAGAGACGTCCCTAAAATTTTTACATACATACCTTGCCCGACGATTGAATTCCTTTCATAACGATGCAAAATACAACTAGCCAACTGATTAGTAAACATATAACTATCCACCATTTTAATCCTTGGCCATCGTCAATTGTTGGTGATGCATCAAGAGTTACACGATACCAAAAATAAGCGGTCTCCGAACTTTTTGCACATTCTTCGACCGGTTTTCCATTCACCATTGGACAGGAAGCCCACAATAAAGGTTCCTAAATAATTTTTTTTATTAGTAATTGTTTTTAGTTTTCTTTTAAAAAAAAACAACGTATTTTTAATACTTACACCAAATTTATATGTCACAGCCTGATGTGCAAATAATTGTGTGTGGTGGGGAAAAAAAGGAAAGAAAAATTAGTATTATTAATGAAAAAAGAAATTGAATTCTTTCGAAATTATTTGCGGATGATATTACCTGTAATGAGTTAAAGAGATAATAGAAGCACCAGGTGATGATTACATTGTAATAAAGTGCCACGAAAAATGTGACGATACAAGCAGCCATTCCTATACCTCCTAACCATGGATGTACAGTATTCCATACACCAAGTGCGCCTTGTCGCATTTTTTGACCAAGGCCCAATTCAATCAGGAACAAAGGTATACCTTCCAATATGAGCATGATGAAAAAGGGTATGAGGAACGCTCCTAAAAGGGAATAAAATCAAAATCATTTGTTAATTATTTACAATTACCAGAAATCTATAAATATATGATTTTCTTTATTTCAGATATAAGGAATACAAGCAGTTTTGATTTCAAAATCAGTATTCGAATTTTAAAATCGCGATTAATTTGGAATAGTAAAAATTTTTGTCGTTAGTGTTTCATTGCATAGAAATGGTGATTGGCTAAGACCTTTTTAATTAGTATCAGTGTTAATATTAATATATTAATATTAAAACAATTTTAACTCGGGTGTAACGTGTCAAAATTATCACGTCACAGTTGATATTCACTTTCTCCTGAAAGTGACAATCCTGAACGTTTTTAAATTATTTTTTCTTTTTTATTAATTTTACGAAATTAACTCACTAGTAATTGTTGACACATATCTACAGTCAAAATTTTGCATTTATACTTTTGCAAATAAAAAATTCTTTAGCAGTTTGATCAAGTAGAATCTATGTATAAGAGCTAAAACTATTTCATCTCCGTAGCCTTTTTGGGAGACATTTCATCTCCCAAGCTCCTGCATAAACTTTTTAGGACTATATATATTTGTCCAAACCTGCTTTTACATTACTCAACAAAATATAAACTACCACTAAGAAAATCAGCAACACCTAAAATCGAAGAAATTTTTATAAATTCATTTAAAATCAAAAATTAACCAAAAGGTCACTTTCAGGAGAATCATCCACCTTTTGAATTCGCAAATCTGATTTTAAAGCTGAGTTTATACTTTTGTAAAATTTATCAAAATCTACTACTTAGCGATGCCAAAAGTCATTTTAAGAATGATGATTTTTCAGGGCATGAATTCTCCATAAAAATTATTAGTTAGAATTTTCATTTGAAAGAATTTTTATTAGATATAATTATTTTTTAGACGAATTTTTATTTTTCGAATTAGATTTGGCCATTTGCAATGTCGGACAAATAAAAATTTGTTTAAAAAGAGAAATTGTGTCAAATTCTAATTAAAAAAATAAAAATTCGTCTAAAAAATAATTATATCTAATAAAAATTCTTTCAAATCAAAATTTTAACTAATGATTTTTATGGGATAATCATGTGCGCTTGAATATCTAAAATTAATTTATCAGAAATTTAGAAATTATATTCATTCGTCTAAAAATTTTTGTGTACCGAATTTTTATTTGACATAGTTTTTATTTTACAAATTTTCTCAGTCTCAATTTTTTATTTAAAAACTTTTCATTTAACCGAATATTAATTTAGAAGAATTCTCATTCAATAGAATTTTAAGTGATTTGAATTTTTAAATGGCTGAATTTTAACGAATCTTCATTTTCCCAAATTGTTATTTAATGAAGTTCCATAATAACGTTGAATTTTTACTTATTGAAAATTGCAAATGGCCAACGAAGAATATTTTTAATAATTTTTCTCTCGTTTGTTTGTCGGCTATTTGGAATTTTGGACAAATAGAAATTCCGCGTTTTATGAATTTCAAAAAATCAAAATTTTGGCAAAAATGATGATTCGGTGAATTAGAAATTCCGTCATTTAAAGATTCGAATCACTTAAAATTCGGTTAGATTATAACTTTTTAAATAAAAAATTGGTACTGAGAAAATATTTAAAATAAAAATTCTTTCTATAGTAAAAAATTCGGTTTCTAAAAATTTTGTTTTTTATAAGTTTAAAATGTTTTTTGTCATAAAATTTAACAATTGTTTTGAAAAAATTTTGTGTCAAAATAATACCGTTATATAAATTTTATATACCGTGGATGTACCAGTTACTGTCCATGTCCCAGTTTCTGTCCATTTTACAAATATCTCGTATAGTAATTTAAATTATTTTTTAACAATAATTTATTCCTTTTGTCACACAATCGACTTATTAGTTTAAGTAAACAAATAAAAGAAAATAATTTTTTTATAAATGTTATTTTGAAAATTAAACTGGACGGAAACTAGGTCTTAGGTGGACGGTAACTGGGACATCCACGGTATAAAATTTTTTTTTCTAATTGCTCCAGTTGGTTTTAAAAAGTTATTGATTTTTTTCATTTATTAATAAACACATAAAGATCAAGAGTGATGCACTCGTTTCAAAATGCATAACTGAGCGCGAGGATCGATAAATAATCGTTCATGCGCAGAATCATGAAAACGCGGATATTTGAGATGCGATAAAAGTCTAACCTCAAAAATATATGTGATTTCATCTGCGCAGAATCTAAATTCCTTTGAATAAGTTTATTTAATATTTTGATCATAGAACCAAACAAAAACGCGTCGAAACATGCGTAAAGCGATTTTCGTTTAAATTTTACTAAAATTTTTGTACTAAAAACATTTTTTTTCAATAATAAACATGAATATTTAGAAATGAATTCCAGTAATATAATTTGAGTACCGTTGAGTACCTATAAATATTTAGCAAAATGGGACTCAGTATATTATATGTCCTTGAAAATAGACCCTAACCATCTCAATCCTTATGAAATCTATATAGGGGGTTTTCCTTCCGCATACCATCTCACAACATTTCTCTCTCTCTCTCTCTCTCTTTCTCATGTATCCTTTACAGGCCAAGCAGCCAGACTGTCTCGTATTGATCCAGCAACATATACTCTCAAACTTTCTCACTCTCTTCTCATTCTGATGTTCTCTCTCTCTTCCTCGTACTACAAACTCACAATCGAATTACTTTAGTTCGCAAAGGGTATGAAAGGGACCGATATGGAAGCTTCTAGAAATTCCTCTGTTATATAGTTGAGAGGTTAGAAAAAAAAATAGAGGAAGGGGAGAAAAAAAATGAATTTCCAAATCGAAAAAATTTATTAAATTAATCACATAAGACATTCTCATTAATTTTGTTTGACCTATATAAATTAATTAAGCTCCCTTCTTTGTAATATATTATACTACATAATTTTTTTAAAAAAAACATTGAAGCAAAAAAAGTTGAATGAATTGTAGATAAAAATAAATGGATTAAAATAATCTATATTTTTTTTCTCTATATATTTTTTTTATAATCAATTTATTTTTTATAAGATACGTTTAGTTATATAGCATAACTACAAATGAATTTTGAAATTACCTTTAGGGGCTTTTTAAGTATTATGTAAGCCCCCCATCACCTCCAAATAAGCAAATTTTAATGGAAAAATTTAAAATTTTGTATGGTGCGTAAGCAACTCAGGAACACCTCCCTCCCCCTTAGACGCTTACGTAATACTTGAATGACACCTTGTACAAAAAATTACCTTTATATAAAAAATTGGAAATAAAAAATAATCTGTACCATAATTTCGGGCTATAAAAATCAATAACCTATTTTTAAAAAACACCCTCTCCCTTTTTTAAAAAAGGGGTCATTCAAGTATTACGTAAGCATCTAAGGTTCTTTACAAAAAAAAAAAAAATTTAAAAAACCACCCCTATTTTCCAAAAACTACTATTGTATATACACGGAGAGAAATTTCTAGGAATATTTACCGTGCTGCCACCTGAAAGTGAGTGCAAAGTACATTCTGGCAGTTTGTACTGTGCTTCCTCTATACAATCTGTAATGCAAAATTGTAAGGGCAGCACAGTAAAAACTGCCAGAATGTACTTTGCACTCACTTTCAGGTGTCAGCACGGTAAATATTCTTAGAAATTTCTCTCCGTGTAAGGGGTGCAATTCGAGATCAAATGTTTAAAGTTATTGAACTAGCTTGTAATTTTGTTAAATTATTGTGGGTGAAAGTTTTGAAGTTTTAAATGACACTGGCATTTTAAAATCCACATAATTATCTTTTAAAACTTTATGTTTGAAAGTGGGACAACAATGGGTTTTCGGGAAAAGTACAAAGTAGTATAAGGAGCTCTCATAAGACTTTTTATTTCAAAATGAGGAAAACTCTGTTTTTGTACTATTTAATCTTATGAACGTACTACTTTCTGACCAGATAATACGACTAAACAGTACAAAAACAGAGTTTTCCTCATTTTGAAATAAAAAGTCTTTCAATGTAGAAAGTGATGACGATTTTTTTTCTGTCTGATGTCATACTTAGTTAGCGATTGGAGTACATCTAACGTAAAAATGTTGCAACTCAAGAATTTTCACATTTTTCGTCTGCTAAACACATAACGCATGCGTAGATTTACATGTCCGCCATTTGTAATAATTCATTTCTCACCTGAGTTGCAACAGTTTCCCCGCAAGAGCGCTAGTATCGCTAACTACACTGAGAGACCTTTTGGACTGCAGCGGAACAAGGTAAGTGACAGCAGCGCCACTATGGTTTTGGTGTGTGGCGGTGCAATTTTGGGAGCGTGACTGCCCAAAATATTAGTGAGTGCAAAAGGTCTCTCAGTGTAAGAATGACTCAAGTAGAAAAGAAAAATCGTCATCAAAATTTTTCGAATGTATATCCATAGAGTGGGAGATCCTTATACTACTTCATTGAGAAAATTTAAAATAAGAAAATAAATAGTTTTTTTACATTTCCTCACAAACTTTTTGTTTTCCCATAGCTTATTCGCTTTAATATATGCCCAACCAAAAATTTCAGTACTATACCAGAGTTGACTATTGGCGCAGTATTGGTTCAGTATTGGCTGCCGAGACTGGGCAGTCTGTACTGAACCAGTACTGGTATTTTCATTGTATCCGTACTGGTGCAGTACCACCCTCCCAGTACTGAGCCGATATTGAACCAATATTGGCTCAAATAGATTTTCTTTTTGAGTAATACTAGTTTACAAAAAGTTCTAAAGTGAACCCAATGAATTTTTTTGTTTTTAAATATTTTGTTCATCAGAATTTTTTCAACTTGATTTTATTTTTCAAAATTAAAATTTACTTTATTTTGCTTTTTCTGTGGGTAAAATCTCGGGTAAAATTATTTAAACAAAAAGTTTCCTGAGACCAAGTCTAAAACATTTTGCAAGATTTTCTTTTTGTTTTCAGATATGCAATAAACCAAAAAAAATTTTAAACGATCAAACTAACAATAA